GTTAGAAATATCAAAAGCACCTGAATTATCCTTCCTTGTTCTTTATTTTGCCAACCATCAAGTCATCCACAAAAAATCCATAATATCAAACGGAGAAATTAACCAAACAAAGCACTAAAATTCAAATAGACAATGTGTAGCCAAACCTGAAGATCATCAACTTCACAGCCAACGTGGAGCAAGACCCTTATACAAGCTGCAAAATAAGAAATCAAACACAAAAGGCTAGCAGTAACAAGAAAGTACCTTCCAAAAAAATGGTTACATTTGAACAAGGCTGGCTTTCCCATCCAATTGATTACATTATTCTATAGCAACTAGAAAACTATACGTGCATGTTTACCACCACATGAGATCCTTCACAAAATGCCAACATACATATAATACCGTAAAGTGTCAGGTTTCAAGGGCTTCATTGTTGTGTCTACATGCAGGGCTATTATGAGAAAAAATTGGCCGATTCGGAAATTCAGATTTAAGATTGTCTCAAAGGGAAAATAAGGAGCAACCAACCTATCAAAATATGCCAACAGTGGTAAAACTTCAACCGGTTGCACGTTTTTATTGGTGGAATGAATTGGTTGAGACTTGCATGCCTCAAAGGATGCTTCAATATCCATGATTTGTCTCTCTCTAGAGACCAAATAAAAATAAACCATTAGACCTTCTTTTTTCACTTTGTTTAGAAATACACAAATTTGAGAAACAAGACACCTATTGTTAAGATTGTGCAAGATGTTGATGCCTCCTTTCATCTCTCGCAGTTCCTTTGCTTGTTTCTCAGTTAGCGACTACACATGGAGAACATATGAGATTGGAAATTGCTTTTACAAGCTATAAATCACAAAAGAAATTTCCAACAAGTGAGAAATACAATTAAAGTAGCTAAACGTAATCAACCATGGAAACAAATTAAAGAACTTACAATTTCAACTCTTAAAATGACCAAATCTTAATAAAGCAATGGAACAAATAGAGAAAAAGAAGCATAAAAGACCTTTCCTGGTTTTGTTTTTTTTGACGAGAAGCTTGAGATAGAGATTATCGGACTTAGGAGCAGTCTTTTTGTCTTCTTGTTCTTACCTCCTACTACAGATCGTTACCCTACAACACCAATAAAAAAACAGACCGGCATAATGCAATTTTTCCAGTTTGAGTCTCACCTAGACATTTTATCGAACATCTAGAGTGCACAATGAGCTCATCTACAGAAAAACTACATAATCAAAATCCCAAGTCAAACTGGTTAAAACTAAGCAACAATAAGAGATAAAGTTGAATGAATGAGAGATTTCGATACAGAATCTGGAAATGTAAGCGGGGATGATAGAGATGCACAGAGAGAATTTCCCAAAAGCCATGAATAGGGGTCTTCAGATGGTGGCGACTGGCGACGCCGAGCCACAGTGAAGAAGAAGAGGCAGCTTCAACAATTGAGAGAAAGCCCTAATTCACTAGCTATCGATTCAGAAGAGAAAATCATAAAGAGAAAACAAATCGGGAAAACTTTGGTTGATGATAAACACCTCTACAAGTTGGCGAAACCAGAAGCATGTGACGGAGGACGAAATTGTGACCATTGACGGAGGAAGAAATTGGGGCCGGCGGCATGTTTAGTACCTACAGCTAGCTTCGACAGCGGCAGCGGCGAGATTCGTGGGTGGTTGGGACGAAATTGGGATGGGTGGCTAGGTCTAAGCGATTTTGTTTAGGTCTAGGGGAAAAAGGAGAAAAATCTTAAGTGTTCGTGTTACAGTGAATTTTTGGCTAAGTATTAGCGGGATAAATGATTTTACTTTCCCGCTTATTGATTTTCTATTATAGCGATTATTAAATGCTATACATAGCAACCTAATTCTAAAATTGATCATTCATAGCAATTCAGTATACCGTGCTATAATCAAGTGCTATCAATGAAGACTTTTTTTGTAGTGATTCCTATATTTTTTAATAGTAAGCTCGATGAATTATTCATCAAGATGTTAGTTTTTAATTAATAAACTCCGTAGAATCATGAGTTCTATGATAATATAGGTATAATTAAGAGATCTCTAGTTCGACTATAGAAAATTAGTATCCGAACTGTCAAATAATGAAAACTTTTAACCAACCAAACTAATTAGAACCTCTTTTTTTGTACCAAACCACACTAACGATTCTCTATTAACTGGTTTAGTTCAATCCTTTTTCTGTGCCTGATGTAGAAGATAGCAAGTAGAAGAAAGACTTGTGTTTGGTTACTTTAAAAATAATTATATCTAAGAAAAATAAACATTTTAGTATGTCTCTATGATTAGTGGTACAAAGTCCGACATACGTATCACTCGGTCGCACGAACACAATATTCGTATCTCTTTTGTAGGTTTTATGTTACCACAGTGCTGAGATTTGTTAAGCAGCCAAACTAAAATCACAAAACCAAATAAGTTACATCAAGGTCAATACAATCTCATGTTCCAAGGTAGCATTTCTTTCCTAAACACTTCGGACACTTCCACGAAGCAAAAGTGCATTAATCTTTAGTTCTACTAGCTAGTAGTGGATGCAAATAAATACTGAAGTTAAACAAAATGTAAACAAATACTCAACACAATATTGACCATTTATCAATTTCTACCTACTTATGAGTTAGTAAATATCAACATCAAAAATATTTGAGGTAAATTTCTTAAAATGCTTTATTTAGTGATGGATAAAAAACAAAGATAGATAGTTTAAATCACCGTGGAAGTTGTTGAGAAGTTACTTACTTCTAAGACTTCTTCAACTGTGCTTGGCATTTATTATATTTTACACTGTTAAAAATCAAGTAAGATATTAGTATAAAGTAGAATAATTATACTAAAGTCGGTCTTTAGCAAACGGATAATAGCAAACGGATAAAGAGGCATGTCCAAGATCGATGTTCATGTGTTTTTTTTTTCTTTTCGATTTTCTGCATTTCGTTGAATTATCCAAACTGTGAAAAATATTCATAAATCAAGTAAAAGTATTCAAATAAATTTTTATCAACTGTATACTATGGAGAAAATTTAAAATTATAATATGGCAAAAATGTCGTATTTGAACATAAAATTAAAAGTCTTTTACAAAAAAGATGTAGGAACACTGTAGAGTATTCCAAATAAAACTTTATTTTTAGACATCTTCATTTGTTGTAACACGTTACAAGTTGAATAGTCTATCATGAACACTGTAGAGTATTCAAAATACTGTCCAAATCGTAAATTATAATCTAATGTAATTAAAATAAGAGAGGAATATACTGTACTTTTGTAAATTTGGTCCCCTAAAGATCTAGTAATATATAGATGGAAATCCACAGTTAATATATGCGTGATTCAACGGTGCCCTCTTTAATTCCTCACATGAGTTTTGCACTCAATCTTTCTCTCTCTTTTTTTCTTCTTCTTCTATTTTTCCCATATTTATCCCTAAAAACTTGATCCAATATCTTACGCAAATTAAGGCAAAACAGGAAATTTTTGCAAAAGACGAAATAATGAAGGTGTTGGTAAATAAAGTTAAAAATGTACTATAATAATGATGCATTTATTTCACAACAATGGGTTTCCACATCAGATTGCTTCTGTTTAAATCTTTTACTACTTTCAGTTTTATATCTCTGAAACTCTAGAATATTGACTGATTCCTCAAGGACACTGTCTCAGAAATCAGAATATCTCCCTTACATTCTTGTTCAACCTTGATGGATCATGTTTTTCACTATAGTAAAAAATCGTCCAAGAAATTCATCGTTTTAAGAACGTGACATATTAAGAATTGTATACATGTTTAACTTATGTATGAATTATAATAACGAAATACTACCTTTTACATGAGTTTTGAATATTTAAATAAATTAGTTCAGATGTAAAACCGTATTAAAGTCGTAAATAGAGAGTAATTAAAAATGAGAAGAAGATTTGACAAGACGGGCCAATGGACAAGAATGTAGTACCGTCAATCAACCTTTATAAGTATATAAAATTACTATATGGTATTGGGATTTGTTTTCTGCAACATTTTCTTGTAAGCAATCGTTTTTAATTCTTTTGTGTTCTGCACAGTGCTTTGTCATTGGCTCGGGACTAACATCTTTTTTTTTTTGTAGTAATATTTTATTTCTTTTTTTTAATAAATATTAGTATTAAATTTTTCTTGTCTTCAACCAAATTGAATGCTACTGCTGTGTCTATGTAACTTATATGACTTGTTCATGAGTATAATAGTCTCATCTTAAATTCAGAAAAAAGACAAAATAAACAAAATTCAAATTCCCATACAGCCATTATATCGTGTTTGCATGAAATTTTTGTTAGCTCAAATTCACCTCTCCACCAACCCATGTAGCTAAATAACAGTATGTAAATTACATGCGGATAAGTGTTTGTTTCAATCGTCTCACACAAGGTTGTCATTTGAAAAATACTACAATAACTTTACATTTATAAATATGGTTCATTCATTCTATATGTGTTTCAATGAATAAACGAGAAAGAACACAACGATAATTTTCTTGTTCAAACACGTATAATCACATTTCTGATTATTGATTTTTAAATTTGATAGCGGAAGTGTGTGAATTATCTACGATATTTTTTATAAAATGATTTTAAATTATTTGAGAAAATATAAAATTGTAAATTTATTTGTCAATTATTTAGATGGAATAGTGTAAAAAATCCAAAATTAAATTTGGATTGTAGCAAATAATAGATTGGAAATTACTATTGAAATCCCGGTTGAACAGTAAACGAATCCAAAAAGTTAAACCACAAAACAAAACAAACTATCAACTTCAATCATCGTAATTTTAGTTACGACTTTAGACTAAGCAAATTTTAGCTGTTGATAATAACAACGTAACATTAAAATAATTAACCAGAAAAAAAACTAACAAGAAATGTTTTTAAAAAAATATCACAAAATTAAATACACACATGACCTGACCCACCAGCTCTCTCCTATATCACATTCCCTCCAACTCCTTCCCCTTCCATTAATTGCTAAACCCAAACCCAAAAAAAAAGAAGAAGATCGGTTTCAATGGGGAAGAAGAAGATGAAGCTCTCTTCTCTGTTCAAAGGCGGAGCCGGAGGATTACTAGCGGTTCCTCTCTGTTACAATGCCAAAACTCTTTCCTTCCGTGTCGGCGACGACATGATCAAGACGGTGAACTCTGTTTTCTTCGACCACAACCACAACAATGGAGGAGACTTGTTGGAAGCGGAGACGCCTGAATCATGGTTTACTAACTCGTCTGAGACAGCGAGTCACTCAACCGAGTCGGATCAAGACCTTGACGCTGAATCGTTGGAGATGGTGGTTCGTGGAGTTGTTAGATCGGAGCGGTTATTCTTCGATCCAGGAGTTACGAGTTCGATTCTAGAAGAGATTGATGATAAATCGAAATCGAAGGAGACGGTTGCGGTGGGAGAAGATCGGGGTACGCCGATTGAGGAGATTAGTGTCGCGGTGGCGATGGAATCGGAGGATCCGTATGGAGATTTCCGGCGATCGATGGAGGAGATGGTGACGAGTCACGGTGAGTTAGCTAAAGATTGGGAGAGTTTGGAATCGATGCTCGCTTGGTACTTGAGGATGAATGGGAGGAAGAGTCACGGCATTATCGTGAGTGCTTTTGTTGATCTTCTCTCTGGACTCTCTGATTCCGGCGCCGGAATAACGTCGGCTTCGGTATCGGACTCGGCTCGTTATTCCACCGCCGTTTCGTCTTTGCCGTCGTCGCCGGTTTATTCGTTATCTCAAGGTCAGACGGAGATTGAAGAGGAAGAGAGACGGAGCTGTTAAAAATAAAGCTTAAGATTCGGTTTTAATTTTTAATCTCGTTTTATTTAGATTAATTAACCTTTTTGGATTTTGTAAAAAGTAATTAGTGGTTAGAGGAAAAAAAACCATTAAATATATATTAAAAAATATTTTTAGAGCCATTATTGTTGATTTATGTATAAGAGTGCCTTTTGTCATAACTCGAAAGTAACACTATTTTTTTTCCCGAAAATTCATGAAACTCAGCGAAGTTTATGCTAACAGATTCAGAGAAATTTTCAATTTGTATAACAGCCCCTTAAGAAAAGGAAATACATAAGAAGAAATTTTGTAAGCTTTTTATTTAAGATCCTTTTCTTTATTTCCCCCTTAAGAAAAGGAAATACACAAGGACTACTATACACTAGCATAAACTACAAGTTAGACTCATTATATAGTATGGTCTGATAACTCGTGTATTAACTAAGAAATTTTAGTTATATGATTTTAACATGTCATTTACATTTGATTTGACACTTAAAAAGCACCATCACGTAAGCTATTTAGCAAAACACTTATGTTATAGTTATAATCTTGAAAATAAGCGTAATAGAAGTACTGATAATGTACTGATGTGTAGATGTAATTGTCATGACTTATTCTTTTTTTTGCAATAAAACATATAAAATTAGTAATAATGTAAGAATCAAATTTTTATTACTGTTGAAAATTTTGGACGAGATTCAATTTTTAAAAATACAAAACAGGATAGTGTATTTACGAGGGTGCATTAAAAGAGAATGTTGGTCTATAGTAACGTTTGAATTGAAATGTAACAAAAGAGATTTGTAATTTGTATTTTGTATGGTGAAGTGAATGGAGTAACATACGAACATGAGATGAGCAATGGTGGTGTGGTCAGTCAGTGGTCACACACACACACAGACCCTGTGAATCCCAACATCATAGACCTACTCACTTCTCTATTATCTCTTTTCATTTATTGCTCTACATTTAATTTTGGGACCAACCTAGACGACGACGTTTAATTTTTTTTTGTTTTTATTTTCCTTTCTTTTCATTATTTTAGAGCTATGCATGTTCTTCTTCCTCCTCAATTTCACAAAATTGTTTTTTCTATAGGAAACACATATAAATAGGGCTGGTCCTCAAATATAATTTGGATAGTATACAATTTGGAGTTTTTCAAGAGTACAGAAAACTGTCATCAAATATTTGTATAAAAAAACACAGAACTGCCAAAACAAAATAAACTGTAGCGTCCAACAGCTACTTTTACATAACTTTTTTTTTTTCTACGGTACTTGCAAAATCACTGTCATTTTTTTTTCTAAGAGTATATAACAGGGGCCCAAACATGTACAAAATCTAACATCTAAATACATTACGTCAAGAACGAGACCAAAAAGTAAATGGATACTTAAATTTGACAGTGAAGGCCCATTTGAGGAAGGATCTTCGATCCGGTCCCACGTCGGTTTATTTTGATTTAGGAAAAATCAAACCAAAAAGCTAACCAAAATCAGTATGGTTCTTGTTCCAAAAAAAAAAAAAAAAAAAAAAAATCAGTATGGTTCAAGATGGGTTCAACTACAAGAACTTTTCATTCAAAATTCGTTATTGATAGTACCAGACTAAAATCCAACAGAAGATTAACATATTACAAACTTTTAAACTAAATTCGAAACCAAACCGATTTAAGGAGTTCCTCAAATTCAAGTACTGTTTAGAAGAATCTAGACACTAGAATATGCTGTGTGTTTTGTTGCGTATTTCCTTTGTTCATTGTGAGTCAGGATCTTTACCAAAACCCATCATGGCATGAGTCGCTAGCATCAAGCCTCTTCGACCCATCTCCATTACCCGCCCGACCAACGGGAAGCTAACCGTGTCTCTGTTCCTCAGAGGTTTCTTGTCCCACCTTATAGACATTATTCACCAATAAGTTAAGGAAACGAAATCATCCAAGAAAACTGTGAAAATTAGCGGTTTTGAGAAAGGGATAAGGCAGGTTATTATTACCAGTCTTCGTGTCGGACAATCTTCCCGTTCTCGACATAGAGTTTAATGAGAGAGATCATATCTATGTTCCTTCCCATGATCTTGTAGTGTTGTTTGTTGTCAATTAGTATCTGTTTTTCCACAAGTTGTTTATGTTATATTTAGATACTAAAAAGGAACCACAAGATCATGTTATATAGTAAATGAGGATTCTAACCTCTTTCTTCCCAGGCGAGATTTCACTTTCTTGAATATGATATTCAACTATTTTCGACTCACCAAACACCTATAAGAAAACATGATGTGAGATTGAGTCTTTGCAAGGAGATGGTTCCATCATCATAGTAGTTAACAATGAAGTGAGGGAACAAGAGTTTGACATAAACCTTAGCGAGTGAATAAAATGCTGATTTGATTTGCTTCACTCTGAAAAGCCAAGGGTGGGTCAAATATTGAAATTTCACAAGTGAGGTAATCCCTGCAATAGTAAGCAAGAATGTACAGTAGTTGGAAGATTGACATACCCCTGAGCATGCGTCAAAGGGTCTTCAAACGAAGCATTTGGTGCATACATGTCAAAGTCATTGGCTTTTGCACAAGACCCGTACCTAAAACAATACCACAACTCGCATTAGCTATTCAGAATCTTGATGGTTTTGTAGTTCAACAAAAGGCCATGAAAGACTTATCATAATCACAATCTACAAAACTCAAATTTATGCTGTGCTCATGTGTGAGATGGACAACAAACATTTCATCTGCCATTTATCAATTATAAACCTTGGGATGCAAGGAACAACTAGGAGTAAGTAAAGCACTCAATTTACACCAACCTAAATTGTTTTAACTGAATCAAACGAAACCAAAAGTGAATCTAAACCTAAATTTTCCGTGCAAATTCCATAAATACAAGATGAATCTGTCTCTTAAACCGAACCTAACTCAAACAGAAGATCAAAATTTCAACCTAAATGAAAATCGAAAAACAAATCCAAGAGATGGCTTACAAGTTGAGAAGATGAGGCATGATTTTATCAGCAAATCGCTGATTCGATTTCAATTCGCAAGCTCCTTTGCCTTCGCATTCCCGCGACGGATCCATCGCTGCTTCATAAGATAAACCACAAAAACAAGGACCATCATCACCAGAAATTCGAAGAAGAAGAAGATGAAGAGACTCATCCAGAAACCATCAATCATCAGATCGTACAAGAAAACGAAGAAGTAAATTCACTGGTTTCAACGAACGAACCTGGACTCGGGTTTTGGTGTTGTTTCTCCATGGATGTTGCAGATGGAAAGAAGAGACGATCGAGATTCGAGAGATGAAACTGGAATCGAAATTGAAGCGAGGGAAGGAGACTGCTATTTGCTAATTTGCTAATTTGCTAATAGAGAGATGAAAATGGATCGTGGTGGATTAGCATCCACGTGGCAAAATCATCTCCATAGGTAGTAATTTTTGACCGTTGATAATTCTAATGTGTCCCATCTCAAGTGTTAGGCACTCCCGATGAGTGGCCTGCTTTTGCATCGGAGTTAGAAGATTTTAGCTCGTTGAAATCTCTTTTTCCTTCTTTTAGGTTATCTTTTATTCCACGTAGCAACAATAGCCGTGCTGATTGCCTCGCAAAAAAGGCACGATCACGCGGATCTATCTTTTCCCATGTAAGCTCTTCTCTACCGGACTGGTTTTCATCTAGCTTGAATGGATGAACTTATTTGCTGTCAAAAAAAAAAAAAAAAAAAAAATGTGTCCCATTTTTTTCTTGTCCCTTTTAATTATCCCCTTTTTTTAAAATGTGTCCATATTAGTAGTAATCCACAAATAATTTGATGGTTTTATGCTAAATGATCGTGTATGATACAAACAATTGTCTACCATTTATTTTAAAGTCTTAAAAAAATGAATTGTCAAATCGATATGATACTATCTTTCTTTTTTTCTTAACAAAACATGAGCAAAATGGTTCATCTGCTATTACAATGTCAAATGTGTTATTTTCTTATGTCATGTCTCTCTCATGCTATTTCTCTAGAATACGTCTACAACGAATATTAGTTAACTTCCTACAATATAATTTCTTTGTTATTATTAAACTCACTAGAAGTCTAGAACCACTCATATTACACACACACGTGTGAGCTAGATTTTAAGCAAAGATCAGGAATAATTTGGATTGCATATCTAGAAAAAGTTTACGATAACTATATAGTCTATATGTGACTTCCTTTTCCCAAATTATTACTATTATTACTATAAGCTTCTTTTAGCTTATTTTTTTTTTTGTTTGACATGTCATTACAACCATAATTAATACAAAATGAGAACACAAAAAATCTCGACTTTGCGTAAACGAAACAAGTACTCGATATTATAATAATAGTAATACTTTAAAGTTTCCTGAACAGCTAGCTGTCTTTTTGTTTTAGTTTTTGGTTTTGATCACAGCTGTTATACATTGGTCAAGTACTCAAGTCTATTGTTAAACTTTAAACCTTTGACCCAAAAAATGCAAAAAGAGGACCTTTGATTAATTTAAAAGATACATGCTTCGTCACTTTGTTATCAATACACAAAACGTTACGTTTTTCTTTTTGGCTCATTTTGTGATCCGGTGGATGAATTTGAAAAGAGTCACACTCTACAATCTACATTTACAATTGGATTCTCAATTTTGGTATATTGGTATGGTACGAAAATTAAATTTATGCCTATTTTTGGTATCCATTTTTTTTTTTTTTTGGGAGTAGCGAGTCTTTGCTTGTTTGCAATTGTTTGATTTGTTTGTTCACAAGTCTTAAGGAATTTGAGTAATTTATTTTTGAGCCATAAATATTCTGACTAATCCGTTTGACATTCATTAAGAATAATGACAAATGATCCACACATTCGCAACAAAACACCAAGTTGAGATCGACTAGAACACCTGAATGGCTGAACCTATACGATTTGTTTTGGGTGCTTCAAATAATGTTACCACTACACAAAATGTGTGAAGAAGTAACTAAAGATTCTATTAAATACGAATATTTGAGATATAAGAAATATCGAATATAATACACATCTAACCCATATGGTAACTGGTAAGCGAACTTAGTTAATTACTATTCAACCATAGTGATTACACTAACCATATGATAATACAGAAACTACAATTACAATATAAACAACACCACTTCCACCAATACAACTCACTTTTGAAGACTCTTTAATTCTTCCCGAACGTTCTAGACTAATAAAAGTAAATGCTAAAAATCAGATGAAATATCGTAATCAATGTGAAAAACACACAAAAAAACAAAAATCGATAATTAAAAAAGGTACGGATGGAGATTGGTCAGGTCACTGAAGCCTTGTTGCTTGACCCAAAAAAAAAAAAAAAAAGGGCCCAAAAGAGGCGTCCGTACGCCTCCTTCTCCAGCCAATTGGGGTTTTTTGATATTTGTTGCCCTTCTTTCTTCCCCAATTCAATTCTCCGTTATACATTTATACGCAGCTGTGACAGAGAGAGAGAGAGATAAAGCAAACAGAATAAATTCTTCTCCTTTTTTTTTTTTGGTTTGGCAAGTTGCAAACTAGTGAAAAAGAAATAGAAGGATGGACTAATTTCCTTGGCGTTTTAGCTCTCTTTTTTTATCCCGCATTGTTCCTCTCTGTCACTCTCTATCTTCGCCGGAGATACCTGTTTTTCTTTCCCCGGAGGTAAATAAGAAATTCCCCTTGATGATTCACAAGTTATTATTACTTGGTCTGTTTGATTTTTTTTTTTATGTGTCTCGATTCATAAGCACTGTAGATTTTCAGGGTTCTCTGTTCTGTTTAATGTTTCTGCTGAAATTTCCAGGTTTTTCTGATTTCATTGCCGTTTTCTATATCTTGTAATGGGTTTTGGGTAACTGTTTCATTCATTCGATGTTGTTTCTTCGTCTCCTTATTTTTCTTTCACTCTTTTGTCTTGTGGGGTTAGTACAAGAATGGCTGTCGGATTTCACTATTTTTTTTTTACTAAATAAATTCCTCTTTTTTTTTTCTGGGATTGAGGTTTCTGTTTGATAGCTGATAAAAATCCAAGCTTTCAAAGCTGTAAAATTGGATTCACTGAAAGTGTTTTCATTGATTAGAGCTATAGTTTTACTATTCTCTAATAAAGGTTATGAATTGTTGATTTTTTAGGAAATTCTGTGGAGCAACTCTCATAGTTTGAATCATGTCTAGGCCTGCTCAGCTTCCTCCTCGTTGCCCCATTCAAAGAAACTGTCTTTGAGTCCCGTTGCAGATACATTCTACTCTTCTTCCTCACCCACTGAATCATACATTGGTCAATACAAGTCTTCTACTCAAGATTCCAGGCTTGAGGATCAACCTGCTTGGCTTGATGAGTTGCTCGGTGAGAAAACAGATGGGTTGCTCACTGGAGGAGGTCCTTTGCGCCGCTCAGCTAGCGACTCAATTGTGCTTTTGGGAGACATCTCTGCTCATTTTTCTGGTTTTAATCAAAGTGAAGATGAAGAAAGTTTGAGTTCTGAAGCTTGTGGGGACTTAGAGTCAGCTTGTGTATATGGTCCCAACTCGCCAAGAGCAAAGAACAACTCTAGCTTCTCTAACAACCCTATTGCTTCAGCCTTTTCGGATTATGGTTCTCAGAACTTGGATGATACGGTGAAAGGGATCACCTGTTCACCTGTGGCTGAAAGTGCCTGTGGTTCAATGGGAATACCAAATGCCAAAAGGTGAGAGAACATTAATCTTCTTAAGACATTATTATCTAACATCATTACTTTATTGTGTAGAAATTGATAAGCTTTGGTCCCTTAAAAGTAGTATTCTTTATCGGCTAATGTTGCTAATATTCATGTTTCATTCGGCTGCATCAAATCTAGTCCCTAAGCTCTTATGTGGTACCTCTGTATCTAGTTCTAGATCAAGATACATCGGTTTCTGGTTGTCAGTGAAAAGAAACAAAGGAATAGGAACTTCCATATCTCTCTGGTTTGCACTTGGATTTGTAGTTAATGATGGTGTTTGTTATGTCACTAGGCAGATATATGTGTGTCCACAAGGATGTTCTTAGAATGTCAGTCCGGTACTTGTACATAATCTTGTTGTGCGATATGTTTATTAGTTCTTGATTTTTCTATCTTTACTCTGCCAGGAACCGGGACAGCGTTCAAGAGTTCGTAAGCTCCAGTACATTGCTGAACTTGAGAGGACGGTAGGCATGTTGCAGGTAGAGATTCCATTCAAGCTTGTGCGCTTTGTTAAAACTCAATCGGGTCTGGTCCTCCATTGTATTGGTTGTTTTGTCTGTGGATCCTCTGTTATATGTACAAAATACAATGATGTATGTTAGATCTCTGTGGTTGGATGATCTAGTTATTGGTGTTACTACATAGTTAGATGCACAGAAGTAAAACATTATACAAACACCTAGCATATTGTATCTGGTAGTAACCAATAGCAATCTCGTTTTGCAGACGGTGGAGGCGGATTTATCAGTGAGAGTGGCTTCACTTCTTCAGACACGAGCAACACTGTCCCTCGAGAACAGCCAGTTGAAGCAGCAGATGGCGATACTAAAACAGGACAAGCTCATAAGAGAAGGTAAACAAAAACATGACATGAACCACATTCAAGGAGTCTGGATTACAGCTTGAGATCGATCCACTGATACTTGTATCGAAATATTCTCTGTAGGTGAGTATCAGTTACTGAAGAAGGAAGCTCAGAGATTGAAATCTGGATTGGGATACTTAGGGAGCAATAACAACAATAACAGGCTGGTGAGGTCATATTCTGCTGGTTCAAATGTAGCTCCAAGGACAGCTTCGTCCCACTTGGACTGGAATTTGCTAGATCTGACCAAACTCAATCTCAACTAAAGTCTAAAGACAAAACCCTCCATAAGAATAAGTAGCTTAAGTAATTCAGGAGTTAACAATTCTATGTTCGAAAAAAAGAACAAATCTCACGTGTAACAAACCGCCGTCGTTTCGTGTTTTTTTTTGTTTCCGTAAAATATGAAAATGTTATTTTGACGATGTAACGCAAAATAACACACCTTGGACACGTGTCAGTAACCAGCAGAATCAGATTCCCTCACTCTAAGGCCTTGAATGGAACCAGTTTTTGGACTAGTTTTTAGATTATGATTTTGCAAAAATCTAAAAATTAACCATTCATGATTCTAAAAAAAATAGATTTCCTAAAAAATAGGGAAACCAGATTTTGGCAGATTTTAGCTATTTCTTCATAGAATCCAAAAACCAAGTTTTGTGGGTTTTTCCAACAATTTACGTCTAAATCTCACGCTTGAAAAACAAAAAAAGAACTATTTTTATAATAATTCACTATATTTTTGTTAATAAATTTTACATGCAAGCGTTGGGAGTCCTAACTCGATATACTCAGTGAAGGTCAAAGCTCCTAAGAGACCTGTGTTTCAAACTCGTGGATCAGACGCTGAGCTATAGAGTATGGTTTGTACTGAGGAAGAAAAACAGAGGAGGGGAGCACAAGGACAGTTGACTTGGGTCAACTCTCAGAATCTGATGCAGCGAGTTAGAAGTCCAATCTCTGTAAACTAACTGAGCCAATGAAGGGAAACGTTTCATTCTGTTTCAAGAGTTTGTGTTAGCTTAATGGTAGGTTTATTAGGTTCTGTAAACCTCGTGTTGGTTACTACCAGATACAATGTGCTAGGTGTTTGTATAATGTTTTACTTATGTGCATATAACACCAATAACTAGATCATCCAACCACAGAGATCTAACATACAACATTGTATTTTGTATATATATGTAGGATCCACAGACAAAACATGAATGGACTTGATGGCAGCCGAATGAAACATGAATGCAACATTAGCCGATAAAGAATACTACTCTATACAAATAAGCGAAAATACGTAATTAAGAGAAAATGCATAGTTTCATAGGAAATCTCTTGCCAGACGAGAAAAGGGTGAATCCCTTTCACTTATGATTAATGTCAGGGTACTAACCTTATCGCAGCTTTCCTCCTGGGAAAATGACATTTCGACTAACATTCTAGTACAGGTTCAGTATATAAATAATCAATCCAGATTCTAAAGAACATTCAAAAACAATCTAAATGGCTATCCTACTAAACCTGATTCCCCAAGTCCTCTGACGACACTCACTCTCCCCTCTTCATATTCTTGGCTCTCTTTGCGTTTTATGTAACTACTATAAAATATATAATTTTTCTTTTTGACATAATTTTTCTTGCTTATATTTTGCTTTCTTTTTCTTATATAAATTTTTATTTTGTCATATTTTTTCTTGCTTATATTTACTTTCTTTTTCCTTATAATTTGCTTATTTACTGTTACCAATGATTAAGAAAATGGTTTAAGAGCACCTAGTACCAATATGAAAAAACAACTATTAGACGGATTAAACGTCTAGTAAACGGGTTTAGACGCCCCAAATTTTCTCCAAAAAAAAGACTCGATTAATCGGACAAAAATTTGCTTATTTCGTATTTATCGATTTTCTTAAAATATTTTCTTATACGGACAAAGTTGTGCAAAAACATTTTCTTATACTAGGTGTTATTTAAGCTATGTGCAAAGATTATATTATATTTATAGAAATATTCAAAAAAAATTTGTAGTTTAATACAAAAATATACTAGGTCACACAACTTTACACGTATATATATATATATAGCTATATCTCACACACATAATAACATACTAGGCCAAATTGGTAAGTTGAATGCTGGAGGCCGAGACTGGCTCAACTCGGGGTTTTGTTTCGTTCCGGCGTTCAAGACAGTAGCAAACAGCTGCTCCAACGAAAATGAGAAAAAGATAGCGGCATGAAAATGAAAATGGGAGAGTGAGAGTCAGGATTTGGGGAAATCTGGTTTTGTAGCGTTGGTCATTTTGAATGTTTGATTGTTCTTTAGACAATGCATTTTCGCTTAATTATTTATACAGAAGTTTCACATTCTTAATGAAAAAGTGTAGAATGTTAGTTCGACAACAGTCATTTTCCAAGAGAAAAATTAGAAACGTACTATTACTTTTTGTTTCGACCTTGATAAGGTAATACATATGTTAGTATGTTAAATTGGATGTTGACATTAAAAAAAGGTATAATTTTATTAAGACTAAAAGATATACTTTTATAGCAATAAATATTTTTTTGTAACTTAAGCTTGAATGGTTACTAGTTTTAACTTTTAAGTGATTTTTTGGTTTTAATTTTTCACCATTCAATATTTTAAAAAATTAGATTCCCTAAAATTTAAGATAACTAGTTTTTGAGTGGTTTCTCCAAGTTTCAAAGAAAAACTAAAAACCATTCAAGTTTCTCACTTCTCACTAACATATCTTACACATCATTTAGCATGCGATGCTGTAGACATGTGTAGATACCCGATTAGATTTCCTTATAAAATAATCCAATACAGACCAAATCTGAGGATTCAAAGGTTAATGAAACTGCTATGCAAAAAACGTATTACATCTGTTATAAGGATATAAAAGCATAGTAGTTTTCACGAATAGAAGTCGCTGGAGATGAATGTTTATGCACACAAAGAGGTGTGTAAATGGGATTTAGCCCCGAAGTGATGCACGTGGTACCGCTGGTATCCCATTCATCCTCAGCCTGTTCATCATTACACCATCATAAATCTCTCATCAGACATACATAAAAAGTTGGAAGTACAGAGTATAATATTCGGTAGTTACTGAGTAAGAAAAATATGCAAAAAGCCATCATCACTCATTAGTAATCAAGCAAAATGTGGGAATAAAGACTACACCAGCCTCATAACTAAAGATAAGTTTGTCATAGGAGGACATTTGTTTTTAGAGGTTTATCATCTGAATTCTCAAATTTTGCTAACTTACTTAGCTCTAAAGCCCATAAATGACTTCAACATGTCTTTTCTGTGGTAGAGCAAATAAAACAAAAGAGAAATAAATTCACCTGAGCTCGTCCGGGTGGAGCTCCTGTATGCCCCATTGGTGCTGGAGGTAAGTTCAGTTCATCATTAAGATCCGGTTCCTTATCGGGTTGGAGATAGGAAGGCACTCCGTCTGCTTCAGTCTCGTTTCCCATGTCAGCTTCAAGAGCATCAAGCTCTGATCCACAAACCCATATAAGTGTAGGGAGGAAACACAGGGAAATATAGTAGTCCTAAAGACAGAGCAAGAACTTACCGCCCAAGAGGTCATCTTCATCAATGTCATCAGGAACATTATAGCTCCTACCCAGTGTCTCTTGAATTTCAGAACTCTCATCCATTAAGTCCATCATATCATCTTGCAAATTCTGTGTTATACAAGTTGATCAAAACATTATCTACAAGAGAGCTAGAAAATAAGAACCAAGGTAGTCTGACATACATCTATATCTTGAATCTTGACGGTTTTCATCATTCCTTTTAACTCCTTGTTAGCAGATTTTAGCGCTGTCATCTGCACATTTATGTACATCAAGAATCATATGAATCATATATAAAAACAACAATCAGATTTTGGTTCAATGTGCTCTTTTTTCGAGGAAGAAGATAAGAAACAAACTTATTATGGGTACATACAGTTTGTTGAGCATCTTTGAGGCCTTCAGCAGCAAATGAAACTTGATCAAGGTTAAAAGTCTGATTATAGAGCATGTCACGTTGTCCTTCGTACCTAAGCAAAAGTGGTAACAGTTGAGAAAAGAAGCAGGCACTTGACATAGAAGAAGCAGAAAGAAAGTCTCACATCTTTTTTTGCTTGAGAACTCTCATAGCACGAGCTTTGATAGCTTCCTGAGCAGGACCAGGTCTAGTCCTTTTGATTTGATCTTTGTATTTGCAGAGCTCAGCATCAAGCCTCTTCACTTTATCTTCCACTGACTCTCCTCTTTTATTGATCTGAGAACATCAAAAACTGGAATCAATCAATGAAACTGGACTTACACTTACACCCATCTAAACTCCAAACACAGAAATCAACGGCTCTCTAAGAACCCTATACCAATCCTTCTCTATAGATTAAAAGCTGAGGAGGAATACAAAATGAAATTGAAAGAAACGAGAGAGAGAAAGAGGAGGAACCCGATCAGAGGCATCCTGAATAGACGGTGGAGGCTCTTTGTTATTCTTCGCACCAAATATTCTCTTCATCTTTCTCCTTCACTAAGCTACACACGCTCAAATCAGATGATGCTAAGCTAATGCTACACGCACAAGCCGAAGAAGAAAGAACTCGATTTAACTCCTTTTTTCCTCCTACTCTGTCTCTCTCTTCTTACAAAATTACCTTTTTTATTTTGTTCCCAACAAATTAATTTTCTTATGTTTTATCAATTCATATTATAAATTGTTAATTTCAAAACTCCTCCGAACTCGGCCTATTATCATGTGAAAGACCTAGTAAGTCTAAGGAAACATCAAATTTCGGCCCATTATCGACTACTATCTTTTGAAAAATACAATTACCGATTTACTAAATACTTGTAATAATAACTCTGGTAAATTTCCTAAATACAAATTATTGGAGTCAGGAGAGGAGGAAAAGTCTATCTCCAAAGAAGACATTATGAACATCAAATTAGCCAGAAAAACAGCAAAGGCGGTTATCAAGTTATAAACATCAAAATTCACATAAACGGAAAACTCCTTTTCTCTATACACTTGCCTTAAACTTTTACCCCCAAAAGCTCAGCCATTTCGCAACCAAACCCACCACTATTGCTGAATTGGCTCGCCAATGACCAAGCCACTGTCACAGACACAGCAGCTTCAGACACAGTTTCTTTGGTTGCAGATGATTCAAGCAGATTGGCTTGGTGGTCATGAAGGTGTTTTGTGTAGTGAAGCTCTATTTGAAGACGGATGCAAAGACGAAACCAGTCCTTTCTTCATATCAGCTTTAACTTGCTGTATCGGAATCGCTGCGAGAAAGCTCTTTATACTCTCTACATGACTCTTTACCTCTACACACTACTACTTCTTGTTGTTCATCTGTTTCTTTTGATCTTTCAGGTTGCTCAGACTTGTTCTTACCGCCTTGTTTTTGGTTTCCCATGTCGACGTTGTTGTCCTTGACGACGTCTGGTAATCTTTGGATCTCTGCATCTTTGTCAAATTTCAAGACATACGCTTGGTTGCAACCCTCATAGAGCCTCTCTCCAAGCGTGTCTATGATGTAATAAGCATCATGGTTCACGAGGAGTACGAAGAAATGATCATTCCAGCTTACAATGTAGATCACAGGTTCGCTTGCTGACTCTTCTAGTTCTTGCTTCATGATCTCTTCCCAGATACTGTCAAAGGACATTACATCTTTGAGAAAATCTAGACTAGCCTCTTCTTCCTCTGATTTCTCTGGATGGAAAAACCCGATGAATGATTTCTCAGGGACTACACAGATGGGTCTGACTTTTGCCTGGAGAACCGTCTCGAGATCGAAATGTTTGTCTGGAAACCGTTCCCGGTATTCCACGTTTTCGCACATATTTCTCCACTCGGATGATCCTTCTCTGATAAGACTGTCAAACTCTGACCTTGTTGGGATTATGTCTCGGTTGGATCCTAACCAATGTGCCATCACTGCAACTAGGGCTGTGCAGGCGCTTTCTCCAGCAGCTCTCTCGCTTCTCTGATCGATTGATGCGAGAAATACTTGAGCCGTTAGTTTCATCAGCCCATCACGGCTTATAATTTCTTTGGTTTCCCAACTACCAACAACGAAATCATCATCTCCAAACTGGGATAATGGTTTCATGATTGCATCATCAGACCTATACCACTGCAAGAGAATCAATCAAGAGTTCAGAAACAATAAATTATGAAAACCGAGAACTATATAAACAAACGTAGTCAAGGTTTACATCAGAGTAGACTCATCGGATGAACTTAGTTGTCTGCGGTCAAATCGATATCATCACCTCCTTCTTCAAGACAATCCTTTTTAAGAAGAGGTTCGCCTTTCTGTTTAGAAGATCTAAAACTGAGTTTTCTCTTCTTCCAAGATAACATTCTCTTCTTAGACATTAGTCCTTTCGCCTGCTCCAAGCTTACTACATCATTTGAAACCTCATCACCGCAATGTCCGGTCTCTGTTAATGGACTGCGGTGGCTGTAATATATCAAGTCCTCGTATTCCGGGTTTGTATCAGTATGAAATGAGCCTCTCGCCCAATTAGCAGATCTAAGTGTTTTGTAATTAACTGGATCAGCTAAGCTACTTTCATTCTCTTTGTTCTCTTCTGATTCATCCGCAACATCACCTTCATCTAGAGAATCAGTATCAAAAGGATAAGTAGAGTCAGAATCAAGATTTCTCTCCGGACTTTTGCCTTCACTTCCGCTTCCGCTGCTTCCATCTTTCTCAGTCTCCTTTTCCGATGCCTGAGTATTAGACATGCAACTGTTGAAGGTTTTCATCTTTCTCAGGCCTACTTTAACAACAGACTCAGCTTTCTCAGCCTCTGCGGAAAGAGGAGACCATAGAACAGGAAGAGCAGATCTCTGTCTTTCAGGCAATGATTCTTTAGGAGAAAACTGAAGTGATATCTGCAACACGAAGCAGATATTACAAATGGTTAGAGAAATGAAACAATGATAGATTCAGAGAACTATCTAAAAGAAACAACTAACGCACATGAAGACATGGACTTCGAACAGATGATGAGCCACAATTCGTCAGAGGCACTTTGACTTGAACATCATCTTCTTTCATCAATGATAAGTATTGTGCAATGTTCAGTGATGCCTTTCCAAAGCTACGAACTTTCTCCTTCGATCCTTGATTCAGTCCCTATATAACAAAACCCATACATAAAATCTAATATTGTTCCAAAAAAACTCCAGAATGAATCAAAATCCCTAATTTTACATTCGAGCTAAATTACAGAGGACATAAGCAAAGGTACAAGCTTTATACAGAGCAGACATCAAAGTCAACGATTTCAAAGAAGATAGAGAGAAAGAGAGACTAACACTCAAGACGGTTAAAGAAACGATCCATGGAAGAAACGATCCTTCCTTGTAAACCGAGAATTCGCAAACCCTCTTAAACTCTTCGTTCCATTCAACGACGCCATCGCCGCGAAATCCTCCTTCTTCGGTGAAATTCCGTACGCTGGAGCGTTTGAGAGTAACCGATTTAGGTCCTTTCCACTTTATCTCAACAACAGGTCTCTTCCTGTTGTCCCTCCTCGCTGACTCTGATCAGTACTATCATCGCCATCACAATCGGAATCCAACAAACCATCTTGTGAACAACGACGATCACGTCGAATTTGACGGCGAAGAGAGGAGGCCACGGTGGCCAACGCATGATCTGTTTCATTTTGACCACCATACAATTCACAAGTGGCTAACAAAGCCTAAAGATTTGGGATAAGGACGAATCTTAGAGAAAAGGGTATTGGAGTAATCGAGATTTGCGGAGGAAAGAATCGGATTTTAAGAGATGGGCATGGAGGATTTGGTGGACGCGGTGTGATTCAGACGCAAAATATTTGAAATTTGAAGAAAGTGAGAGAAGAGAGAGAAGAGTAGAGAGAAGGAATCTCTGGGTTTGGTTTCTTTAGAGTCAACCCTTATAGAGAGAGAATGAGAAAGACGGTAATATAAAATTGTTGATTAAAAATAATTAAATACAATTAATATTTTAAGATTATGTTTGACATATTGTTTTTATTATTTATTAATAGTATAGAAAATGAATTTTGAGAGCAGGTGAAACAGAGGATGTAGCATACGTCTCTGTATGCTATAAAGTCTTATTTGGTTATTTAGTTTTTAATTACATATGATATAGTTTTATATACAGTAATTCCTATTCTTGAGAAATATAATTAACTCAAAACTAAAATTAGCTGATTTCTTGTGTGATGAGTCGATGACCTTCTTTTTTGGTATCTATGTGAAAACCACAATTTTCAAGTAGTCTGTTACTTTTATTAATTGTCTTTATTAGTGTTGAGATTTATAAGATTATCCGGTTTCATATATCGTATTTTGAGGAATAAGTCAATACTTTTATTGCATTTATAGATAAACGCAATAAATTCTAAAACTAGTAAAAACGGCCATTTATTTTTTGAATAATGTTGGATTTTAATGGCTGAATTTATTACTAGTTTATATTATCTGCTATATTTGGTTTAGTTATTTAAAGCTACTAAAAAAGTATTACTTTTGACTTTATAATAGAAAAGAAAACAAACTTTTTGTCAGCTATCTTATCAATACGTTTTGACTAGATTTTCAATAATTTTGTTTCCACAATGTTCTTTAAATTGCAGCCAGAAGCAGGGATTCATATCTATAATAGAGTCTAGAGGCTCTTTAAATCTTGATCACAAACTCACAAGTATGACTTTAATATGCATCTCGCACCATTGTCTATACAAATAATTTCGACCAATCTTCTGTCATATGAAATTGTTCTGTCTAATACTCAGAAAATTGATAAAGGTTTTATTTTTAATTAGTGCTAACTAATTAGAAATCTTATAGCTAATCTATATTTTTTGTCCAATCCATGTGAAAGATAAGGTTTTTAATGTTCATGAAGGATAATACTTTTAGGTGTTTAAAGTGTAAGAATTAAAAGTTAGGTATGTCCTAATTCATAAAGATTTAGCTCCTAAGTCCTAACCATATGTCATTGCCTTGAAGTTAATAGTCCCTACACTAACTCATGCTCCCATGATCCTTTTTGCTTTTACTTCTTTTGTAATGGAAAACAAAATTACATTTCAATCCAGCGTGAAAAAATTATAAATCAATTCGTATGTGATGGGTATTTCTTAGATGTTTTTAAGGGTTAACAATAATAAGTAATTGTTATAACAAAAAACTAATAAGTAAAACACGTACATTCTATATTTCGATTGTTTTTTAGGTTGCATGTTTATTAATTTGATGTGTTCAATTTTGTTAGAAATTGAAAATCCCGAAAAACTCACTTTACACGTACAACTATTAATTAATGATTTCATTTTCAATAAAAATTAGAAAAAGTAAACTTTTAGGGGGGGGGGTATTGAAGCAAAGAATGTCATAGAATTTAATAGAATGGATTTAAGACATAAATACAGATTTGTAAGTACCTGTAAAGATTTTTTAAAATCTTTCTTTCAAATTCTACGAATATTCTACAACAATTTAATAGAATAGAAAAGAAATTTCAATAGAATTGAAAAGAAATTTCAATAGAATTGGAAAGATATATTTACAAAATTCTTCTACCTCTTGTTATTCCTCCGGAGAGCCTCCACGAAATTACTCCGGTGGCAGAAGTGACGGTGGCAACAGATGTGGAAGCCACTGCTGGTCACCGTAGCGGTGGTGACAGTGGCGATGGAAAGAAGAAGTGTGTGGTTCACCGTCGAAGCATCCAAGATCGTTCAAGTGTAGGTATCATCAACATGAATATCAGTGGCTTCCTTCATCTTCTTCTTCATCCCTTCACAAATAACGCATCATCAATTTATCATGTAAACAATAATTATAGTTTTCTATTTTTATTATTCATGGTTATTTTGATTCGTTTAAGTATTTCAATCAAAGTAGAAATTGTGTTGTGGTTCTTCGTATTGCTCATCAACTCCATTAGATCATATCTATGTTCTATCAAATTCCCCTGTTGGTGGGAAATCTTTATTTGCAGGGAATGAAAGTTTCTTTGGTGTTTGTGGACTCGCTGTCGCATCTTGTTTGGACATGATGTCTTCTAAAACCCTTGAAGTTCCCTTACGAGAAATTTCTGTCGCTTATCGTTCTAGCACTCATACATTAGTAGCAGAAGATATTGTAGCGAAGACTGCCTTATCATTGAAGAACGCCCTCTTGTTGGCGTGGAATGAAGACTCTTTGGTTTTGCAATTGTTCTTGGACTCCCAGTTCATTGTAATACCTTTCAAGTCACTCGAAGTCACCGTTGAGCTAGGGAGAATTCTGCTTGTTTTAAGCTTCTTCCACCTCCGATTTATCCCCTTGTTTTTGCATTAATCTCTTGTACTGCATTTGTGTTTGCAGTTCTTTCAGTCCTTAGTGCTGTGTTTTACTCTTGTAATGGAGGCTAATCATTTTTTTTATCAATGAAATCAGTTTGACCAAAAAAGATAGGATGCTACAGCTCTGTTCTTCCTTGTAAGCTTTTTATCCGCTGCGTATCATACTGCTTGAAGCCTCCCAAGTTAACCATCACCAAATCCGAAAACCTAGAATCAAATCAACTCTCTTCTTAGAGGTTTTTGAAAATGAGATAAATAGTTTCTTGTTCACTTGGTTTCTACTTGATACGATCGTTGGTGTGATACGTTTAATCATGTATTTCCAAAAACGTTTCTTGGCTAGAAAACAAATGAACATGAAAAATAGCAAAGTCGTGACAGAAGGAGAGTACAATGGATCTCAAAGCCTGAATCATGATAATAGCAAAGATGCTTCTTCCAGATCACTCGACATTGAGATTGCATGGTCCAATAGGACAACGGATGAGATCATTGAGAAAACAAACTACTCAATCATCACAAGCACAATGCACTTGGTCATGGGAAGACTTAAATCTGTCTACTGCTCCTAATGACTGCATTTGGTAGTAGAAGAAGGAAAGCAAAGTCTGCAGCAGATGTATAGCAATACGTGTATATGGGTAATGAGTATGGTGTGTGAAAAGGGACGTAAAAGCAAGAGTATGGTGTGTAAAAAGGGACGTAGAAGCAAATAAGTCATTGAACAAAAAACAACCACTGCAACGGTTTTCATTATTGTAACAAAATTTTATTAAATGCAAAACTTGAAAACTAAAAAATCATCTATCAATGAATTTCCAAATTCGTGGCATCTTTCCACATGTCTTCAGCCATAGATTTTCTCCACATATTTGCGTTTTCTCTGTCTTGTTCTTGTGTCTCGGGAGGTTCCTCACTATCAATTTCATTGGTGTTCATTGCATTACCTTCATTGTTAACTGCATCACCTTCATTTTCAACTTCATCAGGGAAGTCCGCTTCATCTGATCGACATTCTCTACGAAGAAAGTTATGCAACGCTGCACATGCTAAGACTAATCCAGCTTGTTTGGTAAGAAAAAAGGAGAGATTTAAAAATAGCAAACCCATTCTTATCTAATAAAATTGGAGCATATCCATAAAGAATAAATAACAAACATGCTTCAGCACTGATGTGTATCAAATAATTTTTCTCACGTTATTGTTCGTCCAATAACAAAGTTTGTTGTTCTCACGTTAACAAAAACAGGCATCACGATTCACGACTCACGAGCACACCCGAAACCTTGCAGATGTCGCAGCTACCAAAGCAAGCGTGTCATTGTCATCTTAGCTTGTGTTCACGAGGATAAGGAGATCAATCCGAAGTTGTTTGTCGTTGCCGTCGTTTGGCGTTGTTTCATTTGAGTCACCGTGGTTGATCTCGATCAACCCCGTCAGATAGAAAGAGAGACACGGCTAAGACATGGTCACATGGCATCTCTGGAGGTTACGAGAAAACAGGAGAAGTGAGGTCTCATGTGGAGATGTGATGAAAGAGGCAGTAATCTCGTTAACACAAAAATGAGAGAAAGGGAGAAGAGGAGAGAGAGAGAGCCATGAAGAAGAGGAGAGAGTTGGAGAAGTCGCACAGGTGGTGGAAATCACTGGTGGCTCTATTAGCACATGTCATGGTTGTGGAAACTCTCGATGGTGGTGAAGGATCAAGCTTGGAGCAGATCAGAGGTGGAAAAGAAGATATGTTGCACATGAGTTCATAGCTAATGGTTTGCACATGAGGCTCTTGGTTGCTCCAGAAGAGATGTCAATGGGAAGACGAATCATTTGAGGGAAATTTTGATGAGGTCTTGGCTCCAGAAGAGATGCCAATGAGAAGAAGACCCATTTGAAGTCCGTACGTCCTTTTTTTTTTCCACCGAAATCACAACGTAAAGGCTCAGAATTTGTTCAATACATTTTACACTAATGTTTCTATTAATTTCTTGTCAAATAATGGTGTCATAGAATTTTACGTAACATTGAATAACACTTGAATTTAATAGAATTAAGAATTCAACAAATTGAATAACACTAGAATTAAAAATATTTCAAAAGAAAGGTTACAAATACTTATCTCAATAACACAAGAATTTAATAGAATCTACAAAAAGTCAAAATGAATAACACTAGAATTCAAATTCTGTTTAATTCTATCAATTTCCTTCGTCCAATCCCCCCCCCCCCCCTTATACTTGAACTCTTGGAGAATTTCAAACAATACGTTAAACACGAACCAACATATTTGCTTTAGAACAATTGGACCCCTACACAAATAAAACTTTATGATACAGTTTAATGATGATCACGTTTTGTGGACTGAAATTAGGAAATTTTAAAGGGATAGAGACGCGGCTTTGAAATAGACAATTTACTAAGTTAATTTAAATAAAAACAATTTAATAATATTATAAATTAAGAAGTCGTACCCCAGAAATGAACACTTTTTGATGTCAACAACAAACGCACGCTTTAATTTTTTTTTTTTAGAGAAATAAGTTGATTGTGAGACCCACTTCTATATTTTTCCTGCAAAATAAAAAAAAAAAGAGAAAGAAGTAAGTTAGGTATTTTTTTTTTTTTCCTCCGTAAGTTAGGTATTTATGTTAACAAAATTAATCTAAGGGGCCGATTGGTAACGACTGTTAATTCCCGCTGTAGAGACTTTGACTGTAAGAACTTTCGCTGTAGAAACTTTCGCTGTAAAGACTTTGACTGTATAAATTTTATAATCGATTGGTAAAAACTATGACTGTAGAAATTACAATTTTAAATAACCACCAAATATGTGGGAAAATGGATCTTAAAAGAACAAGAAAAAAATATTAATTGTAAATCTACTGAAATTTTTCACAAATTAATTTATTTGTGAAAGTTATAAGAGTTTATATACATATGAGAAAAAGAAAAAGAAAAAAACTATAAGCTTTTAATTTATTTATTTCTAAAGTCTCATTTACGTGACTTTAGAAAAAAACTGAAAGTAAAGAGTAAAAAATAAAAAAGAGACTTTGAAGACTTTAAAATTTATTAAAGCCAAAAAAGCTTGATTGGTAAAATAAAGCTTTTAAAACTTTAAAAAACTTTTTAAAGTCTTCAAAGTCTCATCCAATCACCCCCTAAATTAGCTAAAAAAACATATCAACAATAAGATAAGCTAAAAAAAAAAAAACTAATCAGATGCAGAAACATATCAAATTATCCTCCAACCGAAACCCTCCAATTGACACAGAGGTTCTCACGTTGACTTCTCCGTCAATGAAACCTAATCTAATCAGTTGACATCATCACCATCCTTCAAACGACGTCGTTGCTATGAATCCTCCAAACGATGTCGTTGTTATAAAACGAAATTAAAGTTTCGTAACAAACCTTTCCTTTTTTTTTCATTAAATGATTTCCTTTTTCTGATAACGGATATATTTCCTTTTTTTTTTTCTGAGTTTCCTTTTTCTTGGCAAGAGCCTCTCTGTTTATAAATATTCAACATCTCTTCTTAGTTCTTCCTCGAGAAATCAATATCTTATCAAAGACCAAAATAAAAAGAGAGAGAGAGAGTATATGTTCTAATGGCGACGAGAGCAAAAACATACATGAACAAGTCTGTGGTATCATCTTTTCTAAAGCTATTATCGATTTGATTTTTACTCAGTAAGTTGGTGTGTGTGATCCAAAACGAGTTTCGTTTGCTTTTTACTGTGATTTTGTCGATTGATTTCTAATCCATATCCATCTCTCGTTAGTGGCCGTGGCGGTGTTGGTGAGCCAGCAGCGTCGTCAAGTCACCGGAGAGAACAAGTCTCAATCGTCGTGGACAAAATCCATTAGGTCACAGCCGCTGAGTTACACCGACAGTGAGCAAAGCCATTCATCAACCGTTCGACTAGTCACGATCACTCAACAAGAAGAACAATCTCTCAAAACCCTCTCTGCTTTTCTTGATCTGTAAGTAATCTCAAAACCCTCTCTGCTTTTCTTTGTTTTTCTCCTATTTCTAAGTTTATTATTCATCCTTCAACAATTATAATTATTAATCCTTTCCCTTTTTTCGTTTTATTCCAAGTTATAGCTAGAATTGTGGACAACACTATCGTCAACACATGCGCTGTAAGTTATTTCTTCCACTACTTGTTCCAATTTTTCGATTATATTTAAAATAAAACACTAAAATAACCTAATTTTTTGACTACGTATATATATTATTATGTCTATACAATATATATTTATTTTATTTTATATAATAAGACACCAAAGGATTAAAAAAAAACTATTTTTTCGATTTTTAACTAAATTTTTTTGATTAACCAAAATAATTTTGTTTTTTAAAAATTAAGCGTTAAATTTCAATGCAATTGAAAACACACCGGGCTAAGCATCCCGTCCTATCCGACGGGTCCGTAAGAGGTGTTATTAGTCCAACCACTTTTCACGCAAGTAAATTTAACACTTACACTATTTTTTAAGATTTTTTTTACAAATATTTGTATAATGTAAACTAATTTCTTAAAACTATTTTTTTACTATACAAATTACTTTTGAATTTAAAAAAAACCAAGTGTTAAATTTCAATGCAATTGAAAAACAAACAGGGTTAAGCATCCCGTCCCATTCGACGGGTCCGTAAGAGGTGTTATTAGTCCAACCGCCTTTCACGCAAGTAAATTTAACACTTAGATTATTGGGGGATTAGCAAAAATACCCCTTTTCTCATGCCCCTTTTCAAAAATGCCCCTTTTAGATGTCCATTTTCAAAAATGCCCCTTTTTAAATCTGAAATTTTTATAAAGTTTTATTAGGTTTATAAAGTACTTATGGATTGTAACTACTACTTGAAGACTCGATCCAAGTATTTATAAGGTTTTATAAGGTATTTTTAAAGGTTTTACAAGTTATTTTAAAGGATTTTTAAGGTTTTTCAAAGGTTTTACAAGATATTTTAAAGGTTTTTAAAGGTATTTAAAATGCATTTATAAGATATTTATAAAGTATTTATAAGATTTTAGATACATAGAAATGTAGTTTGTGTATGTTTTAATAATATTACATACATATTTGGGTAAATCTTATATTTTTAAGAGCATTTTTTATAAGGTTTTAAAAAAGGGGTATTTTTGAAAAGTGGCATTGAAAAAGTGGCATTATTAACAATTCCCCTAGATTATTTTTAAGGTTTTTTACAAATATTTTTATTATGTAAACTAATTTCTTTAAACTATTTTTTACTATACAAATTATTTTTGTTTTTAAAAAAAACTAAGTGTTAAATTTCAATGCAATTGAAAATAAACCGGGCTAAGCATCCTGTCCCATCCGACGGGTCCGTAAGAGGTGTTATTAGTCCAACCGCTTTTCACGCAAGTAAATTTAACACTTAGACTATTTTTAAGATTGTTTACAAATATTTTTATTATGTAAACTAATTTCTTAAAACTATTTTTTTACTATACAAATTATTTTTGTACTAAGTGTTAAATTTAAATATGTTGAAGACAAACCTGAAGACAAACCGACTTAACATCCCCTTTTTTTGGTCTGAAGTTTTGTGGTGTCCTAAGTTTAACATGCTTTTCACGTATTGTAAATTTAACATTTGGTTAAGTTTTAAATTTTTAATGGTCCATAATTTAGTTTTTGTTTCTTATTATAGATAAATTATATCCTTTGTTTTCTTCTTACCTTTCTAATTTTTGCCTCCAAATTACAAGTGGATCCTTGGTTTTGCCAGTCACAATTATGTTAATGGAAGGAAAATAAAGATCTCCAAATAAATACGTGTTAGGATTAGCCGATTAGGAAGTTTGGTGGCTATTATTTTCAATGACCAATTTAGTTATCTGCTCATTACTTATAATTTAATTTGAGTCATATTTTTTTTTGGTCGGAATTTAATTTGAGTCAGGTTCTTTTCTCCAACACTTCCATCAAGATCTTCCCCAAATCGTATTCAAGTTTTATGACTCTTTGAATTTACAGACAAGAAATAGTGGTTTGTTAACCTCTGGCAGATTCGATGGCCAAATGTTAGAAGACTATATTTGCTCAAAAAGTAACACAATACAACAAAACAAGTCTAAGACAAAACCTCATCCAAAAGATTGAGAGAATCCAGAAGAGGGCAAGAAGAGAATCTTGGCTGTGTGCATATATGTCTTCAACAACAATCAATCGTATATTATCAGAAAACTCTTTGTCTTGGCTTTAGTTTTGTTCTTTTGAATAGACTGAAACTAGAGTTTAAGAGCAATGCTAAAGCTTTTCTCTAGACCCATTTTCACAGGTCCTCCTGTGATGCTTCCTTTCTGCATCATTGCCACAAATTCGTTGTAGTCTATTCGCCCGTCCTGCAAACAACAATTCAAATGTTCAACATTCCCAACATTCAACCAAATTACTAAACAAGTGTTTCAGAAGCTGTTGAAGAAATTCCCATGGGATACTAGCGGTTCCAATATATCAATCCAAAACCGATTTCAACATTGGTTACAACACATAGGTTTACTTCACCGTTTCCAGGAAAGAGAGTTTCTACTATTCCCCTAGGTTTAACAAGAATCATACTCACTCGGCCAAGTTTACAGAGAAAAGAGACATGAAAACTCTGCAAGGGAAGTGCAGTTTTAACAATGCAAGGATTTAAGAGGATCATATAAGTGAGATTCCTATGAGTAAAATGATATATAATCCATTGAAATTTGATCATTTTGAGAAGTATTCAAGTCTTTCTAAAATTAGGATGAGATGATAAAAGGTATAAAGGAACTTACGTTGTCTTGATCAACATCGCGCATCAGTTCTTCTATGCGGACATCCTCAACACCAAACTCCTCACAAGCTTGTTGAAGCTCGTCCGGGGTGATATAGCCGCTCCCATCTTTGTCAAAGTATGTAAAGGCTGCAAACAAATGGTCCTCTCTCTCTATTTTGTTTAGATGCAATGTTGCAGCTATGAACTCTTTATAGTCTATTGTTCCGCTGTTGTCCACATCAGCCTGAATTATATACACATGAGAGAGATACCAGATTACTTGGATATCCTAGCAAAAACACAGAAGTAAATAACCAGAACCAGCAGAGTAGTTTTGGATTATAACAAGCCCATTTCATAGTTATAGTTAGGGAAAACGCTGGATTAAATAGATTTGCAAGTATATGGGCGACTTTCATTCTCGAATAACAAACTCGCAAGCGAGTTAAAACTTACAGCTTGCATCAAGTCGAGAATTTCGGACTCTTTGAGATTCGCCCCTACTCGTTTCAGTCCTGCTTTCAGTTCTTCGAAAGTTATCTGACCACTCTTGTCCGCATCTATCATATTAAACATTTCTTTCAGGCCGGCTATTTCTTCTTCAGATAAGCTCTCAGCAATGACCTGCAAAAGGCATAAAGAGAGAAACTTAATCTGCATCGTCTCTTTCTTTCCACATAACAAGAAGAAGAGTGGGTAAATGTAGATCTTATGTTGATGACAGGAACTTCTTTTCATATGGTTTTAAATTTTGTTTAGCATCGAAAAGCTGCTTACTCTAAGAGCCATTTTCTTGAACTTGTTCATTGCAGAAAATTGCTTCATACGGCTCAGAACAGCAGAATCCAAAGGCTTGTCTGGAGCCACGCCGTCGACTTGAACCCACGGATGACCTGAGAAGAAGCACAACTCCATAAGAGATAGAGCGATGGTACATATGCAGTCTACATGACAACACACTTTATTCATGTAGTGAAATCTATGCTTAATGGAATTAACAGAAAGAGATCTCAGCGCTCTAACTGGAAGAGGAAGGTTTTAGATCAAAATAACTTACATAATACTTGGTGGGCAGTTAACCTTTTCTTGGGATCCCTGACAAGCATTTTCCTCACTAAATCCTTTGCACTTTCAGATATGCTTGGCCATGGATCAGACGAAAAGTCAAGATCACCGTGGAGGACCTGTTCGAAAATACCTTGTTCGGTTTCTGAATGTTCAAAGAAACAAAAAGATTAAAGATGTTGTTCAGAGCCTATTTAGGAAAAGTGACAAATCTCTTATCTGTATATATACAATTCTTACCAGCCCAGAATGGAGGAACTCCGCTTAATAAAATGTACACAATCACTCCAGCACTCCAGACATCAGCTTCAGGGCCATAACGCTTTCGAAGAACTTCTGGAGCAACATAATATGGGCTACCAACAACATCTGTAAAAACATCGTCTGCAAGGAGGAAGGGAATCGAGTTCAGAAATCATTGATCGACAAGGATCACACTATTCACGTTAAAGACCAAATCCGGAAGTGGATGTTTTAAGATGAGTAACAGTGAATGCAAACCTGGCTTAAAGAACATGGAGAGTCCAAAATCAATCGTCTTCAAGAGGGAATCTTCGTGTTTACTAACAAACAGAAAATTCTCGGGCTTGAGGTCTCGATGCATAACACCAAGAGAATGGCAAGCCTCTACAACCCCAACTATTGTTCTAGTGAGCTCAGCCGCTTTCCTCTCTGTGTAGTGACCACGTTGAATAATCCTGTCAAAAAGCTCGCCGCCTGCACAACACTCCATTACAAGGTGCACCGCCACAACATCCTCATAAGCTCCTTTAATGGAAATGACATTGGGGTGACCAGCCAAGTGATGCATTATCTGAATTTCCCTTCTCACATCTTCAACGTCTTCATCAGTCAATAGCTTCCTCTTAGCAATTGACTTGCACGCAAACTCCTTTCCTGTAGTCTTCTCCACACATAGAAAAGTCGTTCCAAATTGCCCTTGTCCGAGTTTCCTTCCCAAGGAATAGAATTCCTTGAAGTTTTCAGTCTTCCTCTGCAATACTGACTCAGTCCTAAGCCCTGCACTTGACACTCTCTTCATGTGCTTAGGCTTCTTAGGTTTAGCTGGAGGATCAGGTTTTGTCTCCGGCTTGGTCTCTGACTTGGTCTCCTGCTTAGTCTCTGGTTTGGACTCAAGGTTTATCTCCTCTAGCGCTTCAGGCTTGCTTTCAGGTGGAATCTCTCTGTCCTTGGTCTCGACGTTAGTCCCTGGCTTGGGCATTGTGACCTGTTCAGGAGGTTTATTCTGGACTTCATCAGATAATCGAGATCGAAGCTCTCCTGAAACAGCTTCACTTGCAATATCTCCATTACTCATGGAAGCGGAATCATCTCCATCTCTTGGCCGCCACATTGCAGCTGAAACAGATTGCAAGAAGCCATTTCTGCTTGGTCCAACACAAGTATTACCCATCCAAACTTCACTTAATATCTTTTTCCAGAAATAGCATCAAGATCTGGTCACAATAACCTCAAAACAATCTAATCTCATTCCTAATCTGATGAAAGTCAAATCCTTTCTATCTTAATACCATCAGACATCAAACCTCGGACTTCTCAGATGATTCAATTTCTATACAGCTGAACTGGTAAACCCAACTTGGGTGAGGGAAACAGAGAGAGCTAGCTTATACCGAGGTGAGAAATAGCAAGAAAAATCAAAAGGGTATCGGAAAAATCGTGACTTGAAACAAACCCAGAAGAGAGAAGGACGTCAATGAACGGAACGAAACCAAACCCAGAGAGAGTAGAAATCAACCCCAGGCAACAAAGAGAAAGAAACAGAGAGATCTGAAGAGTAAAGAGAAAGAATGAGAAAATAAATTGGGTTGGGTGGGAAAATAAAAGGGATAGTTTAATAGCACTACACTTGCATAAACCGTAGGGACATTTGTTAATTTAATGAGAGAGAGTCAAGAGTCTGTAGAGAAGAAGACGATGAAGAAAGACGATGAAGAAGATTGAACCAGTTTGAAAAAACGCGTTTCTTTTCTTTTGTTTTGATTATCTATCGCCGCCGAGTTTTGCGCTGAGATTTGTCTTAACTCTCTTTTAATTAATTTTGTTTTAGCAAGTCCACCCTCTTCTTCAATCTTGGCAACGAATTAAAAAACTCTTTCCAATGGAAGGGTATTTAATTAGTATATTAAAACTTTGAGGTAAAAAGGTGATATTCCATAAAATCAATTTTGAAAGATAAAACCCGCAAGTAAAAAAATTTGCAAACAAAACCTACATATTAAAGAGCAGACATTAAAATAAGACATCCACATGTTAAGGCTTGAACAAATCACATGATCCACAGTTCTACACATTCTTGTCTTCGTACTTATGTTTAACCCTAATTACTCCAGCCGACCAGAGCTTTTATTGTAGATCAAAACCTAGACTAAGACTAATCTTGGCACCTGCAACCAAGTTTGATGCTCCAAACATCATGATCCTTACTTTCCATTGTCTTTAGGTCCTTATGGAACACTCAAGCATCATTCCTTCTCCAGTATATTAGCCAATGAGATGTCCCTCCTGCAATAGAATAGTATGAGTCTCTGGACACTGTGTTATTCATCGATATGGAAAGAAGGTTTGCCCAAAAAAGAAAAAAAAGCTCTGTTGTTGTTATCAAGAGATGGTGGTTTTTGAATCAGTATTCAAGAAGATACGATTTGTGGCAAAGACACTCACTATGATGTGTATGAGACTTGGTTTGATGTAGTGCAGTATGTTCTGATAGTAGATTATCATCAGAACAGAGTTTTTGGGTGTCAAAACGCTGTTCACTGCCTCTGCCACGTTCTGAAGAAGATCAAGTGAACATCCAAGGACCTGCAAAAACAGATGATCCTTATTACAGAGATTCTCAAACCTTTCCGTACTTGTTCCTTGATTGATCCTTTCCACTATGAGGAAATTAAATTGACAACTGTTTCCATATCTTGCTATGAGAACAAAATTTCCTATCCTTGACTATAACATGGAAACTAACCTATTTGGCCTTCTGTTTATGACACTAATAGAAAACAAGCGAGGGAAAGGGAAATGACGATATTCTAGTGTCTTCCATTGACCGGGGAAATAGGTTAGAAGACCCTCACCTTTCTTATCATGTGTTGTGCTTGGAAAGGGAACTATTAAATTCTCTAACTGCATGAACATAATTCAATATCAGATATATGATTGTGCACCACAACTAAGAAACAGTCCAAAACCATCTAATTGACTAATGCAAGAAGACACCTACATTGGCTCAATCTTTGGCTGACCAAGCTTTCTGTTCCGAGCATCAAATGTCATATTCTAGAGAAATCCATATTGCTAACACCGGGGATCTCAATTGGAGTTTGGAAACTCAAGAAGAGAACCGCAAGAGATCTTTCCATATCAAGCAGATTCTCGGCGTCAAACACAATAATTCCTCAGTTCCTCCCGTCACTTGATAATAAGGCATCACAAGAACACACTACAAAGAATAAGGCCTCATTGGGATATCAAACACAAGTATGAAGAGGCAAGGCTAATCATGAGGTACAAGGAGATACTCTTGAAATTATATGTTTCAACAACATGAAAAGTGAGAAATTTATTTACCTTGGAGAAATGTGCTCGACATCCTTTCCCATCACTTAAAATATGTGTGCATAAGCAAAAACACGATACAGCAACCTCTGAGCCTCCACCTTTGACAATAGAAGCCAGGAAAAATTAGCAATGATGAAAATGATTCACACAATTGGAATTAGTTAAACTCGTCAGAAACTTTATCTAATGCTCTTAGTATAGAAATTCTATCCAATAGAATCACAGCTAACAAACTTCAAAACGTCTATAAGTACTAGTGTTTCATTAACTCTGATTCATTAACCTGAAAATCTCTCCTTTCTTCCCTAATTAAACAATCACAAGCTCCCAAATCCCTAACCTCAATCAATTGCCTCCTATCCCCGTCATCATGATCCTCCACCCACGAAACCAAGGATGGAGACAAAGTCGACAGAAGAATAATCGGAGAGGAAAAAGGAAAGCTTTTTACGGCGGCGGATACACAGAGCAGCGATTGGAGTAGCTCAGAGACTGTAGAAACATCAAAGCCGACCTCACGAAGGATTAGGAGGAAGATACAGGAGACGCATATTGAGCAGTACGCGACGGAGGCCATGGAGATAGAAGTTACGGCGGCGGGAGGCGGAGAATCTCCCTCCGGTTTAGCGTGAGATAAGAGTCGAGGAATCTGATTCTCCCGCCTAATGACACGTGTCCAAGGTGCGTTAAAGCAAGTAGTACGATATTTTTTCAGTAATAAAAAAAAAAGAAATACTCCGCTTTGAAAGAGGAAAAAAAAAGGAACTTCAGAAAAGAAAACGACGCCGCTTTGTTCGTCGTTATGCGTTATGCAGTGTAGACTGGTACAGATGTTTTTGTGGAAAAACGTGAGCCAACCCCACGTCCCAATAAAACAACACTAAACCGCATCAACGTCTTTTAACACCTCTCTCTCTCTCTCTCCCTCAATCTGCTTAAAAGCGTTTATTAACTACTCTTTTTATATTCACTTTATTTCTCATATAAATTCTCAGCGAAGAAGATCAGATATTTTCTGGTCTTGCTCTGCCTAACTAACTCACCTGTAAGTTCTTCTTTCTTCCTCCATTCTCTACTGTTGGGATCTTGTGGAAATGTGAACTTCTTCTAGTTTCATGTTTTCAGCTTTTACCCTTTTCTTTAGTTAGCTTGAATCTTGTATTAGGCCAACTTTAAACAGATTCGTTTATAAAAAGAAAATGAGAAAAGATAACTTACGGAATCGTCGGTTTGTTCAATCTTTGTTGAAACTCGAACAGTGAATCTCAAAAAAGTTTTGCTTTTTTTCTTCTTTCTTGTCACTGATGAATAAAAGTTGCTTTATTTGTTTCTTGTTTGGCTGCTGATAAGCAGAAATTTGGGGATTTCTTTTTAAGCTGAGAAGTGACAAGTCTTTCTTATCTTGAGTTTCTTCTGTCTTTGTTGTATTTGCAGAGTTTCCCCTGTTACGAAGATGAGCAGAGATTCAGTAAGAATCGTAGGGGCTCTTCTATGGATGTGTATGTGGGTTTGTTGTAATGGGGATGGAGAGTATGTGTTGTACAAGGACCCCAAACAGGCGGTGTCAGATCGAGTTGCCGATTTGTTTGGTCGAATGACTTTGGAAGAGAAGATTGGTCAGATGGTGCAAATTGATAGAAGTGTTGCCACTGTCAACATAATGAGAGATTACTTCATCGGTATGCAAAAGACAAATCTTTCTTGGATTTATTTGGTTGGCTAATTTAGTTGGTTCATTGGATTTCTCTTATTTTGTACATATTAGATGGAATCCTTAGAAAATTGGTCGGTGCTACTGTTATTGTTCAGAGTTTGTAGGTATTTTGAGGGTTTCATTCAGTTTTTGTTTTCATTGGACTTCAGTCTCTCATCATCTTGTTATTGAAGAACTAGATAAGCTGCGTAATTTGACTTTGGTATTGAGTGTCTGTATTTGTGAAACTTGAAAAACTGAAGATGTCTTTTTATTCTGTACAGGCAGTGTATTGAGTGGTGGGGGGAGTGCTCCACTTCCTGAGGCAACTGCTCAGAATTGGGTTGATATGATAAATGAGTATCAAAAGGGAGCTCTAGTTAGTCGTTTGGGAATTCCTATGATATACGGCATTGATGCCGTTCACGGGCATAACAATGTCTATAACGCTACTATTTTCCCTCACAATGTTGGTCTTGGAGCCACCAGGCAAGTACTAGCTAAAACTTTTATTTGATTTTGCATGTTTCCCATCTCTGTTTTTATGAATGCTGTCTATATTTCTTCTGCTGATAGATTTGAGTCACAGGGATCCTGATCTTGTTAAGAGGATTGGAGCAGCAACTGCAGTCGAAGTCAGAGCCACTGGAATTCCATACACATTTGCTCCTTGCATTGCAGTAAATTTTCTGTATTCTGGATCCTATAACTCTTCATATCTTTGGTACTCTGGGCATTTGTTAAAGTTGTTTCTCACTCGCTTTTTGTAGGTTTGTAGAGATCCAAGATGGGGTAGGTGTTATGAGAGCTACAGCGAGGATCACAAAGTCGTGGAAGACATGACGGATGTCATACTTGGTTTACAAGGAGAGCCTCCTTCCAACTATAAGCATGGAGTTCCATTCGTTGGTGGCAGGTGAGGCTTTTGCTAATTTGGTTGTGTTATATGAGCCTTACAAAAGTGTGTTCGTTCTTTCATGCGTGTTATTTTGATAGGGATAAAGTTGCAGCCTGTGCCAAGCATTACGTGGGAGATGGTGGGACAACCCGCGGAGTAAACGAGAACAACACTGTGACTGATTTACACGGTCTTCTTAGCGTTCACATGCCCGCTTATGCTGATGCAATTTACAAAGGTGTTTCCACAGTGATGGTTTCATATTCCAGCTGGAATGGTGAGAAGATGCATGCAAATACTGAGCTTATCACAGGGTATCTTAAGGGTACCCTTAAGTTTAAGGTCTGCTTACTTTTTTCCTCGATGTCAGCCACAACTTCAACACACATGCTCTGTGTTCTGGCAGTAGTCTTTCTGAATGAATATTACTCTTTCTATATGTATTTTGTAGAGTCTTGAATAGAACTTTTATAGAGCATGTGTGAATTCTTAGATCAAGAAGTTGATTTTGAGTGCTAAGTCCAACTTATCATCTCTATGATGTGCAGGGTTTTGTTATCTCGGATTGGCAAGGTGTTGATAAGATTTCCTCACCACCGCATACGCACTACACAGCTTCCGTCCGGGCTGCAATTCAAGCTGGAATTGATATGGTTGGTGTTTCAAAATTCACAGACATTCCTGGACTGAAATAGGAAAATGTTACTTATGTCTGTGTTAGCTAATGAAATAACATGCAGGTCATGGTCCCCTTCAACTTTACCGAGTTTGTCAATGATCTTACGTCCTTGGTGAAGAATAATTCAATTCCTGTCACTCGGATTGATGATGCTGTTAGAAGAATCCTGCTTGTCAAGTTCACCATGGGTCTTTTTGAGAACCCTTTGGCTGATTACAGCTTTTCCAATGAACTGGGAAGCCAGGTCAGTGCCTAATAATCCTGAGCTAGAATCTTTTGCAAGTACTACAAAGTCTTGATGGAATGTTCTCAATTTCTTTTAGGCACACAGAGACTTGGCAAGGGAGGCTGTTAGAAAATCCCTTGTGCTGCTGAAAAACGGGAACAAAACCAATCCTATGCTCCCACTTCCCAGGAAGACTTCAAAGATCCTAGTCGCTGGCACTCACGCTGATAATTTAGGTTATCAGTGTGGTGGTTGGACCATAACTTGGCAAGGATTTAGCGGTAACAAGAACACGAGAGGTACGTTGTGCAACTCTGATTGCAGATTATACAAGTTCTATCATCTTGTCTTGTGACTGTTTATGCTTTGTAACAAATATCTTGAGAAATGATGATAGACATAGTTGATGATCATATCCGCAATTAATATACTGTAGGGACTACGCTTCTTGGCGCTGTAAAATCAGCTGTTGATCAAAGCACTGAAGTTGTCTTCCGTGAAAACCCGGATGCGGAATTCATCAAATCGAACAACTTTGCTTATGCAATCATTGCTGTTGGTGAACCTCCATATGCAGAGACAGCTGGAGACAGCGACAAGCTAACTATGCTTGACCCCGGTCCAGCGATTATCAGCTCCACTTGTCAGGCTGTCAAGTGTGTGGTTGTGGTCATTTCAGGGAGACCAATAGTGATGGAACCTTATGTTGCCTCGATTGAGGCATTGGTTGCAGCGTGGCTACCAGGAACAGAAGGCCAAGGTATCACTGATGCTCTCTTTGGGGACCATGGCTTCAGTGGAAAACTTCCTGTTACATGGTTCAGAAACACAGAGCAGTTGCCTATGAGCTATGGAGATTCACATTATGACCCGCTCTTTGCTTACGGGTCTGGTCTTGAAACTGAGTCTGTTGCGAGCATTGTTGCCAGGTAAAATGCTTCACACGGCTTCCTGTTTCATCTGTTGCAGTATTCTCTGACACAAGATTAAGATTCTTAACCCCTTATTATTGTTTGCAAACAGGTCAACCTCAGCTTCTGCTACTAGCACAAAGCCCTGCTTAATCACAGTCCTTGTTTCTGCGACATTGTGTCTGTTTATCTTCCCAAGGTATCATCACCGGCCAGTTTCAACTTTCGTTTTGGTGAGAATCTGACATTTCTGTTAACTTTTGTTTTTCTTTCTTTTGTGTAGCTTAAGCCGGCTTTTGAGAAGATGAAAAGCTACAAAAGCTTGGAGTAGATAGATTCTTTCGATTATCTGATCTCATCCGATCCAGGGAGTGTTTTTTTTTTGTTCTTCTAGCCTAGCAAATGAGACCCTGAATCTGTGTCGTGTTATGTTCAGAGTTATTGCAACCTGAAACATTATTGGATATTTACACCGGAACGTTCTTCTATTTAGGTTCTTGAAATTTTACAGACAATTCTCTTCTGAAATCTATTATTCTTGAAACTGAATGAAATATACTGATTCCGGTAAATTTTGGTAAAAAAGGAAATAATATACTTCTCAACTGATTAAAACTGACGTCATTTGGGGAACACAAATCACAAGGCATAATAAACTTGAGAAGAAAGCAAGAGAACATTATGCTTTCTTTGTAGGAGAAGAAACATATGAATGATGACCTGAGACAAAAGAAGAGATTTTGATGATCAAGAAGACATAGCCGCAAAACTAGGAATATCCATTGCATATCAGAAGAGAAAATGGCTAAGTATTGCAGAAATTCAAGTCTTATTTATATGCAGAGCAATAAACACCTAATAATATCATCAAAGCTCAAAGTAACCAATTCAAAAGTGTTCATTAGAAAAGAGGAAAGAAACTAATTGATAATGGCAGCGAGACAACAACATAAAGGAACAGGCTTGGGGGTTCAGTACGAGGACTTTGTTCCCAAATCAGAATGGAAAGATCAACCTGAAGCCACCATTCTCAACATTGACCTCCCAGGTTGGTATACCAAATAGTAATTTTGGACTACTTTATGGTTGTTTAATTCTAATGTGAATTGGTTTTTAAAGGTTTTGCAAAGGAGCAAATGAAAGTAACGTATGTGCACAGCTCGAAGATGATAAAAATCACGGGAGAACGTCCCTTGGCTAATCGAAAATGGAGCCGTTTCAACGAGGTGTTCACTGTTCCACAGAATTGTCAAGTGGATAAGATCCATGGAAGCTTCAAGAACAATGTCCTCACCATCACCATGCCTAAGGAGACGATCACAAAGGTGGCTTATCTTCCAGAAGCTTCTAAAACTGAAGCTGCTGCTCTGGAGAAGGCGGCGAAGCTAGAGGAGAAGAGGTTGTTAGAAGAATCTAGAAGGAAAGAGGAGGAAGAGGCAGAAGCTAAGCAGAAGAAGAAGCAGCTTCTGGAAGAGAAAGAGGCGCTAATTCGGAAGCTGCAAGAAGAAGCTAAAGTAAAGGAAGAGGCTGAAATGAGGAAGCTTCGAGAAGAAGCTAAAGCAAAGGAGATGGCTGAGGCAAAGCTTTTAGAAGAAGCTAAAGCAGACCAGAAGGCTGCGGAAAGGAGGCTTCAAGAAGCAAGAGAGAGACGTGAGGAGTGGAAACTTAAGGAAAGGAAGCTTGAGGAGAGGAAGCTTGATGATATGAAGCTTGCGGAAGAAGCTAAACTAAGGAAGATCCAGGAGAGAAAGTCTGTTGATGAATCTGGAGGAAAAGAGAAGATACTAAAGCCACAAGAAATGAAGCTTGCAGAAGTGGTCTATACAAAATCCGGGCCCGTGGCTACTCCCAAACCTGAGTCCGGGTCTGGTCTCAAGTCCGGGTTTGGGGGAGTAGGCGAGGTGGTGAAGTCAGCGGAAGAAAAAATAGGAAACTTGGTGGAGAAGGAAAAAAAAATGGGGAAAGGGATAATAGAGAAAATAAGGAGGAAAGAGATAACAAGTGAAGAGAAGAAGTTGATGATGAATGTAGGAGTGGCTGCTCTTGTTATCTTTGCTCTTGGAGCTTATGTTTCTTATACCTTCTGCTCTTCTTCTTCATCTTCTTCGTCTCCTTCTTCATCATCATCTTCTTCTACCAAACCAGAATGATATATAAGTTGTGTAAATGGAAGAATGTATATTATACTATGTAACAGTGATATATTCTACACAATCTAATAAAGTTTGATGATGTCATATTTAAGACCTATATATATCATAGTTTTTATTGGAGACAAATATTTCTATTTTATTGAGACAAGAATTAAAACAAAACTCAACAAGCCTGAACATAAGAAACAAAAAATAGTCCGGTCCAAACAAATCACAAAATCCATAAACCCTAAACCCTTTTAGAATCGAAGACAGAGAGACCTGAAAGCTTTAGTCCTATCGATCTTGTCTCAACCAATAATCTGTGTCTGGGAGTGAACCCAGTTGAATTGGGCACTGAGAGAAGCAGAAAGTAAATTCCTTTGCCGGAAAACGAGAAGTGAACGGTGAAGACGGCGAGGTTGAGAACCATGCCTCTTCGTTCATTTTGTTTTCTAGAATGCGTTTCACAAAACGAATAAGCCTCTTCTTGGGGCAGACCACCAAGATTCATCAGAGTCGCTCTCTATTGGGAAATCCAACTTTCTGCAGGTCTTATATCGTTGGTCCGGTCTCTACTAGTTCGCCGGCGTTTCTGATTTCGAGTCGTAATGGTGATGGTGTTACGGGATTTTCCTACCCGATACGTCGTCGTTTCATCGGGCACACTGCAGAACAGTTCTCGGATGATGAGTACGAGTGTGAATTCGAGGAACATAAGGTTCGTGTTTTGTTCCAGTTGGTAAATTGTTTAGATAAGTTTCTCAAAATGGGAACTTTTAGGTGTTTGTTGATAGATTGTTTGGTGGAATGACTATGTAAAGGAGAGTTTTTGAACAATTTCTGTTTGATCCTTTATACTTGGGAAATGATTTGATACAAGCGTAAATTGGTTTTATAGGCTTCATCTTCTGTGGCCAATGTTGATGAGTGGAAGTGGAAGTTAGGTATTCTGTTGGCCAATGATAGTGAACAAGAAATTGTTTCCAGAGACAAAAGGGATCGAAGGGATTATGAGCAGATCTCAAATCTTGCTAAGAGAATGGGACTGTACAGGTATAGAAAACAGTCCTTTATTGGAATCAAACAACCTATTTGTTTGTATGGGCTATGTGCTCACCCAATTCTTGGTTCCAATTTAACAGTGAAATTTATGGAAAAGTGGTTGTTGCAAGCAAGGTTCCTCTTCCTAACTACCGACCAGATTTGGATGATAAGCGACCACAACGGGAGGTAACAGTGCCTCCCTTGGTTTACCGAAATCGTAAGGCTCAATTTTTGTTTGTAGTTTTATGCTGAAATTGTAATGTATCTCATCGTGCAGGTGGTGCTTCCGTTGAGTTTGCAAAGAAGGGTAGAAGGACTCCTTCAGGAACACCTTGATAGACAGCAGCTAAGCTCAGGAAAGGCTAATGAATGTGTAGCTGATTCTCAACCTCCTAAACAGACTGAAGAACTTCCCGATGAAAATTCTGATTCGTTTCTCGATGGTTCTGTTATGGAGAAGGTACTTCAGAGGAGGAGTATGCGGATGCGCAACATGCAGAGAGCCTGGCAGGTATTACTGAATCATCTTTACCTCGGCCCTCTTATCTTTTCAACAAGGACTTTTTGCTAAAGCAGTAGTTGTTTGGTTAAATAATAGGAATCCCCTGAGGGACGGACGATGCTGGAATTCCGGAAATCTTTGCCTTCATTCAAGGACAAAGAAAGACTTCTTCAAGCTATTGCTCGGAACCAGGTGAACTTTTAGAGATGAAAATCTTTGCATTGCAGCAATGCATGGAAATTAATTTTTTGAGCTCAACTTTCAAAATTCTCAGGTGATAGTTGTATCTGGGGAGACTGGATGTGGTAAGACAACTCAGCTTCCGCAATACATTTTGGAATCAGAGATAGAGTCTGGTCGGGGAGCATTCTGCAACATCATTTGTACACAACCTAGGAGAATATCTGCCATGGCAGTTTCAGAAAGAGTGTCAGCTGAGAGAGGAGAACCTCTTGGTGAAACGGTTAGCCAAGATGCTTAAGCTTCAATTGAGCACTAATTTGAAAGCTGTCTGATTACTCCAATTAACACTAAAAAATTGTTTAAAGATGCTTGTTTATTCATGATTTCATACCTAACAGAGAATTTTTGATAGGTTGGGTTTAAAGTTCGACTAGAAGGAATGAGAGGAAAGAATACCCATCTTCTATTTTGTACAAGTGGTATCCTACTCAGACGGCTGCTTAGTGATCGCAATTTGAATGGCGTAACACATGTTTTTGTTGATGAGATTCATGAAAGGGGCATGAATGAAGGTACATATTCTATATATCTAATTTATGTTTAGGTTTCTGCAAATGGAGTTTCATAATTATTTAGGTCCCTCGCTTCTTGGTTGCAGATTTCTTAATAATAGTGTTAAAGGAGCTTCTTCCACGGCGTCCAGATCTGAGATTGATTCTCATGAGTGCCACTTTGAATGCTGAACTCTTTTCTAATTACTATGGAGGGGCACCTACCATTCACATTCCTGTAAGACAATGTTCTTCCTCTATTAGTCTTGACACTCTAGATATTCAGCATGCTTTCCGTGTTCGATTTATTTCTCTGTGAAGCCTTGAATGTATAGATATTTTCAGGGCTTCACACATCCAGTAAAAGCACATTTTTTGGAGGATGTACTGGAAATAACGGGATATAAGTTGACCTCTTTTAATCAAGTTGATGATTATGGCCAAGAAAAGACATGGAAAACGCAAAAACAGTTAATGCCTCGCAAAAGAAAAAACCTGATCACTACTCTTGTTGAGGTACTTAGCTAATCTTTTTACGTTAAGTGGAAATTCCTTATAATTAACTCTAATTTGCAAGTTTTACTAGTCTGTGTTTCTGTTGGTCACTTATGCTTGCTAAGCAGACCAAATCTTCCAATAACATTGTTCACCTATGTTTCTTTAAAATTGCAGGAAGCTCTCAGCAAGTCAAATTTTGAAAGCTATAACTCTAGGACACGTGATTCACTTTCTTCTTGGATGCCTGACTGCATAGGATTTAATCTCATTGAGGCTGTTCTCTGCCACATATGCCGAAAAGAACGTCCAGGTGCTGTGTTAGTATTTTTAACAGGATGGGATGATATCAGATCCCTGAGCGACCAAATTAAAGCCCATCCTCTCTTGGGGGATCCCAATAGGGTCTTGCTATTGATGTGCCACGGTTCAATGGCAACTGCTGAACAGGTTGACTTATCTCCTCATGTGTTACTTTGTTTCCTTTCAATTTGAGTCTTGACTCTGGAGAAGTACTAATTGTAACTTATTTAACATGTGTCCCTCTGCTTCTTGATTCCCTATTTACATATTCTTTGATGTTTCCGCAGAGACTCATTTTTGAGAGAGCACCTCCTAATATTCGCAAAATTGTTCTTGCTACAAACATGGCAGAAGCTAGTATTACAATAAACGATGTAGTTTTTGTGGTTGACTGTGGAAAGGCAAAAGAGACCACCTATGATGCTTTGAACAATACACCTTGTTTGCTACCTTCCTGGATATCTCAAGCTTCTGCTCGACAGGTGGATTCCTTATGCTAAAACCTATCGTACAGATATATCCTTCTTGTGTTTTGCACCGTCCTTATATTTGCTTTCAGAACATTGACTCCTCTAAGTGATTTGATTGCATTATTACCATTGTTGCAATTTCAGAAACATCTATTTTACTTTCTGGTGCATCTTTTGATAACTATAAAGCTTTCTCATTTGGCATGTCCAACATTTCCCCTCTATTTGGCCTTCAGAGAAGGGGAAGAGCTGGGCGTCTGCTTCCGGGAGAATGCTATCACCTATACCCCAAATGCGTCTATGATGCTTTTGCGGAGTATCAACTTCCTGAACTTCTGAGAACTCCTTTAAACTCTCTCTGCCTGCAAATTAAAAGTCTTCAGGTTGAAAGCATTGCAGAATTCTTGTCAGCTGCACTTCAGGCTCCAGAGTCTTTGGCTGTAAGTGACAGATAAATGCCTTAATGGGGATTTCGCCAATTGTCATGTTACTAGTAACAACTTTGATTAATTATCAGAATTTTTGTATGTGGAAGATATGATTCTAATTGTCTTGAAACTAGTCCAACTAACTATAAGTATCATGACAGGTTCAAAATGCTATTGGATTCCTGAAAATGATCGGAGCACTGGATGAGAAGGAAAATCTAACGGATCTTGGTTTGTGTTCTAAGTCCTGTACAAAAAATAGTCCCAACTTTTTCTTATACCTACATGTATCATGACTGACTTTCCTGCTTGCTTTCTTTTTGACCTGTTCCAACTAGGAAAACTCTTATCGATTCTCCCTGTTGATCCCAAGCTGGGGAAAATGCTGATAATGGGTGCCATCTTCCGCTGCTTTGATCCGATCCTGACAATTGTATCTGGGCTAAGTGTTAGAGATCCTTTCCTTCTACCTCAAGACAAAAAAGACGTAAGTATAAGAACTCATGGATGAACATTTATTTTTATCATAAACATTTCGTGTTTTGAATTTTATTTAGGACTTCGGAGTGGGTTTTAATAGTCAGTTTTAAGCCAACAGATAGATGGATATAGCTTTGTATGGAGAATGCTATGGTTTAATCTCGCAAACTGAGAGAACATCTGATGATCCCTTGTTTTATTTTAGTTAGCTTTATCAGCCAAGTTGAGATTCTCAGCCAAAGACTATAGTGACCATATGGCACTGGTTCGTGCCTTTGAAGGGTGGAAAGATGCTGAAAGAGAAGGATCGGCTTATGAGTTCTGTTGGAGGAATTTCCTGTCAGCTCAGACGCTTCAGGCGATACATTCTCTAAGGAAGCAGTTCAACTATATTCTGAAAGAAGCTGGCTTAGTACATGATGATTTAACTCTCAACAACAAGCTAAGTCACAACCAGTCTCTGGTTCGTGCTGTCATTTGCTCTGGCCTATTCCCTGGAATAGCATCTGTTGTGGTAAGTCCATGTCTCTGGCTAAGTCTCCTTTGTTGTGTCAGAGAGTTCGGTGAAATAACCTTGTTATCCTTTTTCTTTGCACAGCACAGAGAGACTTCCATGTCATTCAAGACAATGGATGATGGCCAAGTATCGCTATACGCGGTAAGCCTCTTCAATCATATTTCCCATCATCATTACTTGAGTCTCTCGATATGGCCATCTTGTATTTAAATGGTTTTACGGTTTCTATGTTTCAGAATTCTGTTAATTCGCGGTTCCCAACAATTCCATACCCTTGGCTAGTCTTTGGAGAGAAAGTAAAGGTCAATGCCGTGCTCATACGGGACTCCACTGGTGTCCCTGATTCCAGTTTGATCCTTTTTGGTGGTGCACTGAGCACTGGAGTACAGGTGATTTCTCCCATTTTTCCTCTCTTTAACCCTTATACGAGTCACATTATGGATATTCCGGAATTGAATGGGTTGAATCTTGTGTTGTTTCCAGGTGGGACATCTAAAAATGCTTGACGGGTACATTGATTTCTTCATGGATCCAAATTTGGCTGATTCCTATGTAAAGCTGAAGGAAGAACTCGATAAGCTTCTTCAAAAAAAGGCGAGTGTTTTTCAACTTTAAAAGGAAAAAAAAGTTTGTAGTGCAGCTCTTTAACACCTTTAGTATCTTTGCGATTTTCAGCTTGAAGATCCAAGCTTGGACATCCACAAAGAAGGCAAGTACCTCATGCTTGCAGTTCAAGAGCTCGTGGCTGGAGACCAATGCGAAGGCAGATTTGTCTTTGGCCGTGACACAAAGAGGCCAAGCCAACCGCAAATAGGAGAGAACAAACACTCCAAAGACGGGACAAACCCGAAGAGTCTCCTTCAGACACTTTTGATGAGAGCTGGACACTCACCTCCAAAGTACAAGACAAAACATCTCAAGACAAACGAATTCAGAGCACTTGTGGAGTTTAAAGGAATGCAGTTCGTTGGGAAGCCTCAGAGGAATAAAACGCTCGCTGAGAAAGATGCAGCAGTTGAGGCCTTAGCTTGGTTGACTCATACCTCTGATAATAGTACTGGCCAACACAATGAGGATGCAGATTCTCGACCTGATGTTACTGATAACATGCTTAAACTCCTTGGAGGACGGCGCAGGCGGTCCAAGGGCAAGTAATTGAATCTCTCTGCAGGTTTTTTCGGAAGCGGATCTGGTTTGTGCATTTGTGCTTCGGACGATCTCAGATACCAACCAAAGCAGATAGAGAAATTATACTTCAGTAGTCACTATGTAACTATAGTGTCATTTATTGGGCAAAACAATAGTGTAGGGTTATAAACATAAAATCTAGAAACTTTAGGGGCTATGATGTATTTTGAACAATAATTGGGGTTATTATCATCTTATATGTCGCCACGTGGCTTTTACTCTCGAGGAGCTTGTTCGCTTACGCAATCTCTCTCTCTCGCTGAGCTTCTGTGAACCTCTGTAATGGCTACTTCGAGTAGTTTCAATGTCTCTTCTTCTCCGTTGCTTAGGCTTCGGTCTTCCTCCGTCACAAATGTCACCCAGCTTCCGTTCCTCTCTCCTCGTTACCGGCGTCGGTTACTGGAAGAACGCTTCGGTCTCGCAACTATCGTTGTTACGCGCCAAAACCTCTCGGTTACTCCGCCGTCTGCGGCGGTGGAAGCTCGTATCTCAGGGAAAAGAGAACCTATGACGCCTCCGTATAACGTCTTGATCACTGGCTCAACCAAAGGTTTCATTCACTCTGTCTTTGTCAATTGACTCGAGTTTTTAATCTTGAGAAGGAAAAAAATAAAAAACATATTTTTGAGTTACATTGGTGACATGAGCGAAATCTTTATCTCATTGTGTCTCTAAAGAGTAGTATTTGATTTATTGATCGTTCACTTCAGGTATAGGATATGCATTAGCTAGAGAGTTTCTGAAAGCAGGCGACAATGTTGTGATTTGCTCTAGATCAGGTAAGAACCTTTCCCCATTGTTGTCTTGAAGACCTTTTCTAGAGTTTGTGTGTCAGTAGATTTTTGCTGTTATGACTGTTCTTGTCCTGCAGCTGAACGAGTTGAGTCTGCTGTTCAGAGTCTTAAGGAAGAATTTGGGGAGCATGTGTGGGTACCCGCCTTCTTTTACTGTTCTTTTCCATTCGAGTATTTCTCTGAGGTTTTTGCTTAACGTACAGTGATATCATGAAATGTAATGCTTTAAACCATTTTCTATTAGTAGGGAACTAAGTGTGATGTTAGGGAAGGGAAGGATGTGAGGGAACTCGTAGCTTATAGTCAGAAGAATGTTAAATACATTGACATTTGGGTACACTCTCAACTATGACGATCATTCATTTGTTGGTGTCATCTGTGTTAATCTTTTTCAGAGTATTTTATTATGTTTCCTTTTCAATTCTGTAACCATATATGTCTTGTGCAATTATCTTAATACTGTCTTGAGATGATACAGATAAATAATGCGGGATCTAATGCATACAGCTTTAAACCATTGGCAGAGGCCTCAGATGAGGATCTTATGTAAGTCTTCGTGTTAAGCTTGATCCTTCTCTTCGTTAGTTTCTCTGTGATTGGTTTCACTCATTTACTTTTTTGAAATCTTTACGCAGTGAAGTTGTGAAAACCAACACTCTTGGTCTCATGTTATGTTGCCGAGAGGTATATAAGGAGATGAATTCAGCGTGAGTTACGTTATTATCAGTTGGATTGACTGACATGTGTTCATGATTAATAGGCAATGAATATGATGTTGACCCAATCTCGAGGTGGTCATATCTTCAATATTGATGGAGCTGGTTCAGATGGGAGACCAACACCCAGGTTTCCTAGATTCATTAAAAGTTTCTTGAAAACATGCTTTAGTAAATATGTTTTAGGCTCTCTTGTCTGTAATGTCTAATAGCATTTTCTTGACTAACGTTTGACAGATTTGCTGCATATGGTGCAACTAAACGGAGTGTTGTTCACCTGACAAAGTCATTACAGGTAATGCCAAAGTTATAACTGTTGAACTTGTCTTCATTTTCCCTTTTCCTTATATAACTTGTCTAGTTATTTCTGTCTTTCATAGGCAGAGTTGCAGATGCAAGATGTCAAAAATGTCGTGGTGCACAATCTATCGGTATGTATACAAGATATATTGCTTCATTTCATTTTTGGTTGTTTTTAGTGTGTTTTATCTTCCTAGATGCACTGATACAGACATGCGCATAGAGATGATCATAATTCTAATGTGTTTTCTCTGGATTATTGTTGCAGCCTGGAATGGTCACAACTGATCTGCTCATGTCCGGAGCAACAACAAAACAAGTTGAATGACTTTACACTGAGACAATATTTAGATTCCATGCCAAGAGATTCCCTCTAATATCTTGTCTATGCAGGCCAAGTTCTTCATTAATGTTTTGGCAGAGCCAGCTGAAGTGGTAAGAAACAAAAATATCTACTCCTTTTTAGCATACAATTAAAAGAATGATCTCTAATCTCTAGTCCCATGTTTCATGATTACACATGCTTTTGCAGGTAGCTGAGTACCTTGTCCCGAACATAAGGGCAATACCGGCTAGCGGATCTATGAAACCGACTTACATTCGTTTCCTAACCGGAATCAAAGCCTACACCAAAATATTCTCAGTTAAGAAGATAAATAGTTGCATAGAGTTAGATCAATGCATGTAAACTATTCCAGCAAAATACTTAACCATTTTGTTTGTTTGTTTGTCAATTTTGGGGATTTGTTTCAGAGAGTTGCATTGGGAGCAAGGAAGAACAGGTATGTTACTGAAGAGTAGGTGTCGTCAAAATAAGGATTAGAATTGTATTTGTTTCAGTGTTTGCTCAATGGTAAATAAAAACCTCTACATCTTTTGTTAATTACACTCGAAACTATTTGTACAACTTGGATTGAAGTTCTTTTGCTGCAAAAATGTTAAAGATTTCTCAATGAATGATGTATTAGATGATTTAAAAGTTACAATTTCTAGTTTAAAGGCACTACATTTTGAAAATCAGACCAGATTGGTCGGAATTGCGAACCAAAATGCCTGTGGTCTGGTTTACAATTAACAAGCAGCAGAAATTCAATTCGAAACCAGAAAACCGGGTAAAACCGAAGAACCGCCTCAACCGGACTCGATATCAAAGCGATTAATCAAATTACGGTTCAATTTTGTAAAATCGATTAAACCGGGTAGTTCGCAACTTTCTCTTTGCTTCTTCTTCTCTCTGTCGTGTTTGAGAAGACGGAAGAGTCGGAGAAAAAGATCGGAGGATGAGTGCCGAAGATTTCCAGAAGAAGGTCTCCATCAGAGATTCCCTCGCCGGAGAAATCGAAATCGAACGCGGCGTTTCCGGCGACGGGTCTACTAGTTCCACGGTAGGCTCCGGCGTCGCCTCGCAAACCCTGGTTCTGCTTCGGAGTCTGCTGGAGATTCAGCAGCGTCGAGCTCAGGCTTACACTAAGCTCAAAAGGTTCGGTTGGTTATTTGAAATCTCTCTCTCGGAGTGTTATGCTTTTTGTTAATTTTTGTTAAGTTCCATCTCCTATGATCTATTGTCCTGGGTTTCATTTATTTGTAAGATGTTAAATTGAGACAAATAATGTCAAGAGTAAGAAAGAGATGTTTTTTGATATTAGTAAATTTACATGTTTGGTTACTTCATACATATATGTACACTGATTCCTCCATCAATCTGTCTTTGTGTACAATTCGGTTATCAGTGGATTCGCAGAGTATGTGGAGTCTGGTGCTGAACCACTTTATCAGACGCTGTGCAGCGAGATTACAACGGAGTTCAGTGAATGTTCCAAACAAGTATGGATCACATGCATTGTTAAATTGTAAACCAGACCACATGCATTTGAGTGTTTTATTTTTATTGACTACTTCCATAATGTTGTTAAAGATTGAGCCTTTGATGACAATGCAAAATGCAGGTGCGCGAAATGGAATCTCAGTTTCTGAATCCACAAGTCGGTAGAGCTGATCTTGCTCAACTTCTCAGCGACATTCAAACTCAAGAGAAGCAGAAATTGCATCTGGTTTCATTCCCATTTACTCTAATCTAGATATCTCAATGGTTGAACCAAAGTTTCTTACTTTATAGTTCCTTTTCTTGCAGACCGTCACAATACAGGTGCTGAAGAAGGCAGGGAGACCGTCAGAACGAATGCTGACACATGAGAACTGCAAATTCAAGAAACCAATGCAGCACGAGTGTGTGCATCTTCATGAGATTACTGAAGCTGCAGGAACAGAGGAAGCAGAAGCGGATGCAGAGTTTGATAACGCTTTAAAGGAGGCCATTAGAGGAGTGCAAGACGCTGTGACTAGCATCAATGAGTATTTGGAAGACATTCGGTACGAGATTGAAGCCCTTGAAGCTCATTAATTTCCAATCCATCACTTGTTTACCCTTTTACAGTAAACTTGCAGTGTTAAAGCTTTGTTAAGTAGCTTAAGATATAAGATATTTAGATATTGTGAAATGTGAAAATGGAAAATTTTTCCTCAAATATTTGGGTTTTGGTAAGCAGACATTATGGGATTATTTTTTCAGTCAATCAAGTGGCTAGTGGTTACAAAAGCAAATCCCTAACTGCATCAAACCAAGGTATTGCAAATGCTTTTGGTTTAGCTCTTGCTGAGAAGCAATTGGCTGCTAGAAATTTAACAAACCTGATGATGAGATTGTTGACCACTACACGTAAGATTCTCATGTTGGAAACTGCTGTTTTGGATTGAGATGGTTGTCAGATGGAAGGGATTACATCTAGGGCTTACATTTTTTTGAAATTACAGTTGATTTCGGTTTGGTTTACATTGGTTTTGAAATTACAATTAATTTCGGTTCCGTTTATATTGGCATTAATAAGGTTTTGAGGAAAAAAAAAACAAAAAACATTAATAAGTCACGCGATGGAAATTTTGGAGAGAAGTGCGTCGATTGAAATAGGCATGATTCCGAAAGGTAAACCCCTTTAGGAATTGCTCTCACTCGCGCAACGCGCACTTGGTGCGAGTGGGTCTGAAATAGAGCCTTCTGATTGGCTTAAAAACTCTAAAAAAAGTGAAATAGTATACATGTTGCTAGCTCCTCTTTTTATGTTATTATATTTTTTTCCGTCTTCTTCTCTCATTTTGAGGCAAAAACACGAAGAGATCCACAACTAATTCATGCTTTCAGATTTCAGACTGGTGAGTGTTAAAATCTGTATACACCTTAATACATCTTCCGTATTTGTTCTTACTTAATCTATAGTTCTGGATGTGGACTTTTTTATAATTTGGAACCATGGAAGTAGAAATCTTCTTGGCTTGATTTCAGAGTTTATACCTCTGGTATGAATATTTGGTGGTTTTATTATGTGTCCATGTCTGTTTTGACTTTGTTGCCCAGATATTTTACTAAAACTAGTAAAGCTAAGCTCGTTTGTCATGTTTAATTTGGAGTAGTAAATTATTCTTCTTCCTCCATTAGATGTGGATTTTTTAATAATTTGGAACCATGGAAGTAGAAATCTTCAGGAATCTTCTTGGCTTGATTCTGAGTTTTTGGAATGTCAAAGTTTAATCCTTTCCTACACTTCTTGTGAATAGAATGTTCAAAGATTACTGTGATTTGGATCCTTTTTCTACAGTTTTTAGTTTATGAGTGGAAAGAACAAGTTGAGAGAACCACATGGTGGTGGGCGAGTGGTTCTCGTTTGGTTGGAAGGATCGCCCTGTTGGTCTAGGCCAGGGATCGATCCTCCCCAGACGCAGTTTCGCTCTCTCACTCCTGTGGCCACCTGGGAATTTACCTGCGGACTTGCTCAGGCGCCCCAGACCACCAGTTTATCAGGGGGCCCTTAAGTGGAGGCTTAAAAATCCCTGTGACGCGGGCTTAGGCCCAGTGGGCTAGTCAGATCACTGTGTGGTCTGGATACTGGGTTATCAAAAAAAAGAACAAGTTGAGAGTGAAACTGAGACTAGTCGTCCTCTGATTCTTTCAGATAAAGACCAACAACATACACCACAAGGCAAAGATAGAAATAGTAGACATGTTGCTCCTCCTCTCCTATATTGTTAATTGATAAATTTTTGTACTTTCTTCATTTTTTCAGTCACCGGAAGTTCGAATTTGGTTTCTGATGGGATCTAAACAAGTATCAAAGTCTAGAATTGCTGGATTTAGCAAGTTAAAGGCTGCTGAGTCCCTTGTATCTTCAAAACATTTATCCAGAGACATCTGTGAATAGCCATAGCTCCTCTACTTCTTCATCTGCTCAAAGCAAGCCTCTATATACAGGAAAGGTACCACCTAAGCCTTTCAAGGTGTTTCAGTATTTGATCTTCATATATAATTACTTTCTGTTGGTATGACATGTATAGTGCTGATTTCACTGTCTCTTATATATTTAGGATTCAAACATGCATAATTAATCAATAGCTTATGCCTCTGGTTAGTCTTTATTGTTGGACTAGTGTTCATGAGTTTCTGTAGGCATCATAAATGTTGTTCTGTGGAATGGAATGAAGTTTCCTGCATCATGAATGAAGACCTAAATTAAAGTAGATGTCAAAGTCAATCTGCCATATTGTCTCTTGAAATTTCTGTTGTCCTTTCTTGCAGATCGTATTTTCAGGCCTACGACGACTACGCTCCATGTCTATGGTGTTGCTGCTAAGCATGTTGTTAAGGTAATAAGGTGCTATGGGAGGGATCAATGGTATGGATTAAACACTTTGTATTAGCCTATCTAGTTAAGACTGTATTCTTAGAAAAGAAAGAGATATTTATATTATTAAATCTTACCCCGAGCTACAGTATTATGAACAGTTTGCATGACCATTCATTTAGAACATGTTATCTTTGAGTTGCCAAACTGTATCTAGTGCTTGTTCTAGTCTCTAGAACAACTTTTGAGTTAGATTTTTTTTGCCAATTTGATTTTAATGTAGTGAGTGTTAATCCTACCACAGGGACCATCTTCGCATATGGAGTGACAAGCAGTGGAAAAAATCACACTATGCATGTAAGATTCACTAATCATGATATTTCTTGCTTTTCATCTTATTATAATAAAAAGGAAATGATGTTACTACCTTGTACAATGTACTTCAATCTGTCATCCCAGACAGAGAGTCATTTACCTTTTCCTTCGTTACTGGCTAAATTACTGAGTAGTTCAGGAGCAGATTTCATCTCCTATTGCAGCCATAACATTAAGCAATGGAACTCAACGTTTTGATCGTAAGATGATTTTTTTGTATTGGATATTTGGCTATTCTCCTTCTAGCTAGTGTGGTTCTGTTGACCCTATAAAGCCTTTTCTTTAGGTTAGTTCTCTGCTTTACACACTTTGCAACCTAGTAGAACTTTTCTCATATGACACCTATGATCAATACATGGTCCTGCCCTTATGCCGGGTGATTGTACATACTTCATTTTAGAGACCATGTTTACGTTTTGGAAAACAACTTTTTGGAAAGTGATTTTACAATCCTTTGTTTAACTTTCTTGATAACATCACTTTATTGACCACTGTGGTTTAACAAAGGGATTGCTCACAAACTGTTTTATTTTTACTGTTTTTTTCAATGTTACAATATCATCTGAATAATCTTCCATTTCGTTTTAAGAAAACAAAGATTTTGATTTCTTCAGTCCTCTGTTCTTGAGAGATCGCCTTGGTGGTGGTGATGAATCGCTGAAATAGCCAACCATATACATTACGACAACTGCCATTAGAAATCCAGAAGGACAACCTATGACTGCAGCTTTCCATGAAAACATTGTTTTTCTGGCTGCTTGGTCTGCGTAGAGCATGGTTCTTGGATTTGCATTCCACATAGTTTGTTGTTGTTCACGTAAATGTTTGGATCGTTCAATCTGTCTAGCTGAGGACTCTCAGGGATTCTACCTGTAAGTTTGTTGTTGCTCAACTCCAATACATTCAGCTTGCTGAGTTTGGAAAGTGTCTGCGGGATTTCGCCTGAAAGGTTATTGTATGAAAGGTCTAAGATCTCTACCTGACTCAAGATTTCCAAAACTTTGTGGGATCAATCCAGAGATGTCGTTGTATGAGAGGTTTAAAAGCTTTAAGCTTTTGAGATTGCCTAAAGAATATGGGATTTCTCCGAATAGCTTGTTCTTGGAGAGGTAGAGGTTTCGGCTTGCAAGACCTTGCTTTGAATTCTTCCAGTTCACTGCTAAGTCGTGTATTTCGATAGTGAAGCTGTACAAGTTGAGAGGCAAAAGAACTCACGTGTCAAGGATTACATCAGCAAGGACACTTGGCCTGATATGTCATTCTTCATGGCAACATCAGTGAAGATAATTTGATCAGATTGTACACCTTGGGCAGCAGCATCTGATATAAGATGAGAAAATAAGGTTAGTGCAAGGTTTGGAAAAACATTTACCAAGTATTAACGATCTCAGGATCCATTTTGTACACTTGGTTGAAGCATGCAAATATGAATTTGTCTTCGGGAAGTCCATAGCCTGATTGCTTGGGGTTAGAATTTGGATCCAGCACATCCTGATTTATACAAATGAGTTTTATATAGCTGATCAGTGTATAATAACATGGTAAAGATAACTTTTCTGTGAGCATACCTGCTTGTAAATCGTTGACAAAGTAGCAATGGGGAAGATGGACCAGCTTTTCTGAATAAATATGTGCATATTGCAGAGGAGACACGAACTGAAACGTGATATCTGGAAAACTCTAATTTAATTGCAAACCTCATCAGTCACTATCAGTCTATAGGTTAAGGTTTGCGACACCTTGCTGGCTACGACAGCGTTAGGGCTTGTCATCTCTTACTCTGCTTTTGTCCTGTTTTCGTGCTCATTTGGTGATTTGGAGTCTGAGATTTGTAAGGATTGTAGAACAAATTTACGATGGCTGATATCAGTGTTGGAATTGTTTATTTGGAAGAAGATTTGAAGAGCTTCCGTCAATGGGGAAGTAAGACTCCAGAACAAACTGGTTAGTTAGATTTTCTCTGCTTCTCTTGGGTCTTTTAGTTGATGTTGATCTTTGTTCATACATATGTACACTGATTCCTCCATCAATCTGACCTTGTTTTCGAATTCAATTATCAGTGGATTCTCAGAATATGTGAAGTCTGGAGCTGAAGCACTTTATCAGAAGCTGTACAGCGAGATTACAACGGAGTTCAGTGAATGTTCCAAACAAGTATGGATCTTGTCTGAGTGTTTTTTGTATTGACTACTTCCACAATGTTGTTAAAGGTTGAGCCTTTGATGACAATGCAATGCAGGTGCGCGAAATGGAATCTCTGTTTCTGAATCCAGAAGTCGGTAGAGCTGATCTTGCTCAACTTCTCAGCGACATTCAAACTCAAGAGAAGCAGAAATTGCATCTGGTTTCATTCCCATTTACTCTAATCTAGATATCTCAATGGTTGAACCAAAGTTTCTTACTTTGTAGTTCCTTTTCTTGCAGACCGTCACAATACAGGTGCTGAAGAAGGCAGGGAGACCGTCAGAACGAATGCTGACACATGAGAACTGCAAATTCAAGAAACCGATGCAGCACGAGTGTGTGCATCTTCATGAGATTACTGAAGCTGCAGGAACAGAGGAAGCAGAAGCGGATGCAGAGTTTGATAACGCTTTAAAGGAGGCCATTAGAGGAGTGCAAGACGCTGTGACTAGCATCAATGAGTATTTGGAAGACGTTCGGTACGAGATTGAAGAAGCTCATTAATTCTAATCCATCACTTCTTTACCCTTTTACAGTAAACTTGCAGTGTTAAAACTTTGTTAATTAGCTTAAGATATAAGATATTTTTTGATATTGTGAAATGTGAAAATGGAATTTTTTTTTCCTCAAATATATGTGTTTTGGTAAGCAGACATTATGGGATTATTTTTTCAGTCAATCAAGTGGCTAGTGGTTACAAAAGCAAATCCCTAACTGCATCAAACCAAATTTTCTCTGCTTCTTTTGGATCTTTGTAATATAGCATTGTTTGTATTTGCCAAGATGCAGGTCCTCTTGAACAAGGTATTGCAAATGCTGTTGGTTTAGCTCTTGCTGAGAAGCATTTGGCTGCTAGAAATTTAACAAACCTGACGATGAGATTGTTGACCACTACACGTAAGATTCTTGGATTCTCATGTTGGAAACTGCTGTTTTGGATTGAGATGGTTGTCAGATGGAAGGGATTACATCTAGGGCTTACATTGTTTTGAAATTACAGTTGATTTCGGTTCGGTTTACATTGGTTTTGAAATTACAATTAATTTCGGTTCGGTTTATATTGGCATTAATAAGGTTTTGAGGAAAACAAAAAAAAACAAAAAACATTAATAAGTCACGCGATGGAAATTTTGGAGAGAAGTGCGTCGATTGAAATAGGCATGATTTCTAAAGGTAAACCCCTTTAGGAATTGCTCTCACTCGCGCAACGCGCACTTTGTGCGAGTGGGTGTGAAATAGAGCATTCTGATTGGCTTAAAAACTCTAAAAAAAGTGAAATAGTAGACATGTTGCTAGCTCCTCTTTTATATAATTTTCTTCTTCTTCTCTGTTTTGAGGCAAAATCACGAAGAGCTCACCACTATAGATTCATGCTTTCAGATTTCGACTGGTGAGTGTTACAATCTGTATAAACCTTAATTATTTCTTATCGTCTTTGCTTTTATAGAATCTATACTTCTGGATGTGGATTTTTTTATAATGTGGAACCATGGAAGTAGAAATTTTCAGGAATCTTCTTGGTTTGATTCTGAGTTTTTGGAATGTGAAATTTTAATACTTTCCTACAGTTCTTGTAAATAGAATGTTCAAATTTTACTGTGATTTGGATCCTTTTCTACAGTTTTTTAGTTTATGAGTGGAATGAACAAGTTGAGATTGAATCTGAGACTAGTCGTCCTCTGATTCTTTCAGATTAAGAGCAACCTCATAGACCACAAGGCAACGAATCTCATGTGCATGAAAAGGTTTGTTTTTTTATTCATTTTGATGTTTCTTAACTCTTTGGTGGATTTCAAACAGTGTAGAACTGTTTGTCTAGAAGGAAGGAGTTGGGTTCTTAAACTGATACTTTACTTGTCCAATGCCTTTTCTGTGACACATATCGTTTTAGTGACTTGCTTGTTTCTTTAGATGTTGAACCACAGTCCCATCCCTTTGAGCATATCCCAATCTTGACTCCTCCAAGTGATGCTTTCGCTGAAAGAAAAAGCATATCAACCATAGTTATCTGAAATTCCACACTCTTAGTTAACTTTACTAAACCATTTGATTGCCAAAGTATCATCTAATGATGATATGAATGTCTATTTGTGGCAGAAAACTCTATCTCAAGAAAATAAATTTCAGAAGCTTAATGAGCTGGTCCGAGATCTAAGGAGACAGTTTCTGCAATGAAGAAATGAAAATCAGGTTGAGTTGACATAGCTTGATCAGCTGCTGTTAAAAGGTGTTTAGTCCATATTACTGGTACATTATTTTCCCCTACCAAATCTTTCTCTGTAATGATGCATGATTGAAAGCATTTAGTACATTTAACTCAATACATTAAGCAAATTACATACTTCATCTAGTTTAGCAGTAGTCACGTATAATCCAGCGAAACCAACATGTGTTTCAAATTTTATTTCCAACTTATTATAATCATTATGGTATGGTTCATATCCTTGACACTGACTAAACCATCAATGCTCTTATTAGATCGCAGGGATTGCAAGTTCGGAAATGAACCATTACTCAAAATAACCCACAACAACAGAGCTTTGAACTCAGACGTTCTACTTTAACCACAAGGTTAGGGGAAGCATCCAACTCCTGCCATGAACCATCCTCACCACAGGTTTGAACCACGAACCGGACTCCCTTCACATCTGATCCAACGACCATATCAGAGACATAATAAGCATCAACATGAGCTGTTCCAAGAAACACTTTCTCGCTTCTTGGTTCTTCCATAACTTTCCTTGGTCTATAATCACTCGAATTCAGATTCTCTGCATACACATTGTACTTTGTAAAGACAGAGTCTTCTTCAGGGTGCTTCAATCTCCATTCTAGCTTACGACTTAAGGTCTTGGAGCCAGAACCACCCGGTACAAACTTTACATGATGAGCCTCAATAACCCATGATGACGCCAGAGGAAAAAGCTTGTTTTTTTGCTGGCTTTTGATGGAGATATGTCCAAGCAAAGCAAAATACTCTAGTGTGTTTGTTTCTTCTGTGAGATCATCTGGTCTGGAGCAGAAGGCAGATATCTCAGTCAGTGTGTGCCCATCCAGAACAAGGTTTGTTTCATGCACCGTCCAACCGGATGTGGTCTGTTTTGATGTGAGAAGACATGGCAGGAACATGTCGCCAAATCTGTTGATGGATTCATTTGGCACCATAAGAAAGGACTTTGTCTCATCATGTGAAGGAGATGAAAAATGGAGCAAAATGCTTAGCTCGGATCTTTTATCTGACTTTACCTGCACCAGTCCAAAGACTTACATGAGTAAAACTTAAAGATTGAAACTTTGTGGAGATGAGGAGGAGCTCAAATCTTATGCGTTAACTTACAGAAAACGAGATTGATATTGGGGAAGCAGAGAGCTGAAGCTGAGGTTTGAAGAGTCTTGCAGTGAAATGTGCATTTCTCTTTAGTTTTCCTCTGAAACTGACGTTCCCTCCTCCATTATAAGATGCTTCCCCACCACTACCATATTTGTGTTCTTTAATGTTAGATATCAAGCTTCATTTCTTTTCAGGCTGCTTGAAAATCAAATGTGAGGCTAGTGTTATCAGAATTCCGAACTTACTCAACGGTGACTGGCATGATATCTGAATTCTTTCCTTCATTGAATTCTAGGAGTGGCTGTCACAAAGAACACAACAGAAGACCAGATCAAATTGGGATATAGATAAGTCCAGATGAAAAATGTGACAAAAAAAAAAAAAAAAAAAAGAGTTCTATTGCAATAAAAGCTATAACAAGGAGTGAGAATTGAACCTGCAGACTTTGGCATGAAATGTTGTACCAGGGAGCTTCTGATAATTTCTGACCTCCAAGAGAGATATGAGAACCAAGGCCCTATATAGTAAACAAGAGAAGAGTTTCAAAACTTAGCAGAACATAGAATAACCATGCTCATTTGCATCTATACTCTGGGAACAGAGTTTCACTTCACCTGATTAACATCTGAGTAGAAAGGTAGGACTTGAGGATATGTTTGAACTATACCCCATGACTTCTCAACAAGTGACCACCATCTAAAGAGAGATAACATATGATGAATAAGATTGCAAAGATTCTTTACACCATCACATATTCACATTTGCAAGCATTACTTATTTTGTGCCGTGTAAAAATCCGGTAGTTGCTCGGTTTCGTAGACCCATCCAGGAGCAAATATCGCAGCTGATACATTACTGCTCTTCAGCAAATCAAGGGCAACATTTGCCTACCATGAAAAAGAAATGAACAAAGGTAGATAAACTTTATATGCAACTTGGACATTTCAGATAACTGGTTGAATGAATTTTTAAGATACGTACAGTCTATTGCCCACCACCATAAGTGCCCCGACCAAAAACATCGATTCCCATGTAGACATCATGTTTCCTATCACCGGCAATTTCAGCTGATGCTTTAGGATAGTTCTCCTGAAAGAGATACCTACTATATCACAATCAAAACATATAAAATGAATGAAGATGAAGTGAAAGGACAAACCTTCCATGTATAGTTCATGAATATTCCATCGCATATATCAAAGAAAGGTTTATTCTTCTCAGTTAACTGATCTTGCCAAGCAAGCTGACCATCAACAGTGACACTATCATACCTACAAAAAAAGTAATCGAAAGGAACAGTATAGTCTAGAAACAGAACACAAAAGAGTGATTTTGACAAAAAGAAAAGCTTCTCAACACTCACCATATAACAAAAACCATCAAATTTGGAATTTGAACTTCATCTATTACATTCTCTATATTTATCTGCAAGTAAACAACCATAAGATCCAAATTAGAAGGCAATAATCTATAGTTTCAGATGCTGCTTCAAATGGTTAAATCATACACCACAATATCGATTCAAATATGAAAAAGATGAGTGGAATTGTGAAACAAACAAGGCTATATATAGCAAGAACCCACCAGCCAGCCATCAAAGCCAAGAGCAGCAGCAAGTTCAGCCAAACGCTCTGCATACATCTGCGCAGACTCCTTTGTCGCCAACAACTCTTTACACGTAGCTTTTCCTTCGTCCCATTCTGTGATGAAAGTCCCCAATACCTTAAGATTTCCATAAAACATACACAAGTAAATGAATCATTCCTTATAAAAACCATTATTGTACTTCACTCTATCATTTATTCATTTTGTCTCTAATCAAAGTTCATTTTTTTTTCTACAACTTACATACAAAGATCGAAACTTTAGTTACTTCAACTATAAATCAGACTTTAAGAAGTCAACACATTGACTAACCTTGACGCCATGTCTGTGAGCAGTGTTGGTCCAACAAGGAGGAGGCAGAGTCACAAGCGAGTGTGAGAAGTAAACAAAAACGTCCATCAAATACCAATCCCAGATGGCGTAACCAGCGTTGTTTCCACATCCTTGAACTTACTTATCGTCAACGTAGCCTCCTTTCATGTCATGACAAACCAAGAGCCTAGATCGATCTGGCAAGGCGCCAATGTTCCGACGGAGAGGTACGGAGGATGGCCATATGAGGTAGCTGAGGATGTGAAAAGGTAAGTAGAACCTAATCCTGACTCCGGAAAAAGCTCTTCTTCTTCGAGGTACGTTTGATTTTTACTCTTTGCTGTCTAAATTTCCCGTTGGGATGTTGACAAACCATGGAAACTGCAGCAATTTTCTGTCCAGAATTTGCTGATTCCGTAAGAGAAAAATGTTAATTTCGGTTCGGTTTACATGGTTTTGAAATTATAATTGATTTCTGTTCGGTTTAAATTGGTTTTGAGAAGAAAACAAAAAACATTAATAAGTCACGCGATGGAGATTTTGGAGAGGAGTGCGTTGATTGAAAAAGGCATGATTCCTAAAGGGGTACACCCACAGAATTGCTCACACTCGCGCAACGCGCACTTTGTGCGAGTGGGTGTGAAATAGAGCCTTCTGATTGGCTTAAAAACTCTAAAAAAAGTGAAATAGTAGACATGTTGCTAGCTCCTCTTTTATATATTTTTCTTCTTCTTCTCTCATTTGAGGCAAAACACGAAGAGCTCACAACTAGATTCATACTTTCAGATTTCGACTGGTGAGTCTAATCAGTTACAATCTGTATAAACCTTCATTATTGCTAATCGTCTTTATTCTTATCGAATCTATACTTCTGGATGTGAATTTGTTATAATTTGGAACCATGGAAGTAGAAATCTTCAGGAATCTTCTTGGCTTGATTCTGAGATTTTGGAATGTGAAAGTTTATTCCTTTCCTACACTTATTCTTAATAGAATGTTCAAAGATTACTGTGATTTGGATCTTTTTCTACAGTTTTTAGTTTATGAGTGGATTGAACAAGTTGAGAGTGAAACTAAGATTAATCGTCCTCTGATTCTTCACATAAAGAGCAACAACATACACCACAAGGCAAAAATAGAAATAGTAGACATGTTGCTCCTCCTCTCCTATATTGTTAATTGATAAATTTTTATACTTTCTTCATTTTTTCAGTCACCGGAAGTTTGAATTTGGTTTCTGATGGGATCTAAACAAGTATCAAAGTCTAGAATTGCTGGATTTAGCAAGTTAAAGGCTGCTGAGTCCCCTGTATCTTCAAAACATTTATCCAGAGACATCTGTGAATAGCCATAGCTCCTCTACTTCTTCATCTGCTCAAAGCAAGCCTTAGTTTCTATATACAGGAAAGGTACCACCTAAGCCTTTCAAGGTGTTTCAGTATTTGATCCTCATATATATTTACTTTCTGTTGGTATGACATGTATGACATGTATAGTGCTGATTTCACTGTTTCTTATATATTTAGGATTCAAACATTCATAATTAATCAATAGCTTATGCCTATGGTTAGTCTTTATTGTTGGACTAGTATTCCTGAGTTTCTGTAGGCATCATAAATGTTGTTCTGTGGAATGGAATGAAGTTTCCTGCATCATGAGTGAAGACCTAAATTAAAGTAGATGTCAAAGTCAATCTGCCATATTGTCTCTTGAAATTTCTGTTGTCCTTTCTTGCAGATCGTATTTTCAGGCCTACGACGACTACGCGCCATGTCTATGATGTTGCTGCTCAGCATGTTGTTAAGGTGCTATGGGAGGGATCAATGGTATGGACTAAACACTTTGTATTAGCCTATCTAGTTAAGACTTTATTCTTAGAAAAGAAAGAGATAATTATATTATTAAATCTTACCCCGAGCTACAGTATTATGAACAGTTGCATGACCATTCATTTAGAACATGTTATCTTTGAGTTGCCAAACTGTATCTAATGCAAATGTTGTTGGTTTAGCTCTTGCTGAGAAGCATTTGGCTGCTAGATTTAACAAACCTGACAAAAATGAGATTGTTGACCACTACACGTAAGCTCAAAAGGTTCGATTGGTTATTTGAAATCTCTCCAAGTGTTATGCTTTTTTTCCGTTGCGGTTTTTGTTAAGTTCCATATCCTATGATCCATTGTCCTGGGTTTCATTTATTTGGTGAATGTCTTTGTAAGATGTTAAATTGAGATATAGTGTTAAGAGTAAGAAAGAGATGTTTTTTTAAAATTCATATTAGTAGATTTACATGTTTGGTTGCTTCATACATATGTACACTGATTCCTCCATCAATCTGACCTTGTTTTCGAATTCAATTATCAGTGGATTCTCAGAGTATGTGGAGTCTGGTGCTGAACCACTTTATCAGACGCTGTGCAGCGAGATTACAACGGAGTTCAGTGAATGTTCCAAACAAGTATGGATCTTGTCTGAGTGTTTTTATTGACTAGTTCCACAATGTTGTTAAAGATTGAGCCTTTGATGACAATGCAATGCAGGTGCGAGAAATGGAATCTCAGTTTCTGAATCCACAAGTTGGAAGATCTGATCTTGCTAAACTGCTCAGCGACATTCAAACTCAAGAGAAGCAGAAATTGCATATGGTTTCATTCCAATTTACTCTAATCTAGATATCTCAATGGTTTGAACAAAAGTTTCTTACTTTAGTTCCTTTCTTCGCAGACCGTCACAATACACAGGTGCTGAAGAAGGCAGGGAAACCGTCAGAACGAATGCTGACACATGCGAACTGCAAATTCAAGAAACCAATGCAGCACGAGTGTGTGCATCTTCATGAGATTACTGAAGCTGAAGGAACAGAGGAAGCAGAAGCGGATGCAGAGTTTGATAACGCTTTAAAGGAGGCCATTAGAACATGTGTTTGATACTACTGCATCGAACCAAAAAAAAAAATCAGTTTCTTTCAATACTTGTTTGTTGCATGCAATTTCACACGCCTGAACAATTACAAAACAAAACTCTACACACCTTTGCCCACAAAAATTAAATAAATTATTGGCATTTTGAGTCAAAAATCCAAATTTATGTTTGTATGTTTTGTATGTGTTATTATTACAAATAGTCTACATCAAAAAGCTTTGTCATACAGACAACAAACTGGTCGCTTTGATCCATTCACCGTACGTCCCAAAGTCCTTGACTCTGTCAAATGTAAGAAGGCAAATACAAATGTTAATTAGGTTCTCAAAGATCAACACAACAGAAAATAGATCATGTGTGTTATTTAACCTACATATGGATATTAGTGGGATCGATCTCGGGGAACAGGTTGAAATAGAATCGAAGCCCGTCTGGGCTCATGTCCCTACATAGCAAACCTGTTCAAACAAATGGGAATGTGAGCATCGTATGAATCTGATAGATACATGTTTCTCTACGAGCAGGCTTTGATTGGAGTTGGATTTGGTACCTTTGGTCTCTGCAGTTAGTAGATGTTCCTTAGCCATGGCAGGAGCGATCTTCAGCGTCAAAGCTGCATCACTAGCAGTGACTCCAACTTTAAGAGTTTCAGTTTTTGTCACAAGCATTCTAATTCTACTCATAACCTAAATGGCCAGAAAGATATTTCATCAGGTAATTGGAAACAAAAGTAAAAAGCACATCGAGAGAGAGTACTCAACGCAGTTATAGTGGAATAAATAATCTTAAGAATATGAGATTAAGAATACCTCTTCGTCGCTGTGAGACTTGTTTTGGATGACCATCACCCCGCTATCAAACTTCCGCAGCATTACTGGACTACCCAAACAAAAATACATGACAGATCACTATTTCTACATATTGGATGCACATGTGTAACATTCGAACTTATAGGAGAAAGTATTCAAAAAATACATACACATCAAATTTCTCCCAGAGGGTACACGCTTGCCACAAATCGTCTGGAGAAATCAACTCTGTGCAATGAAAGATTTTGAATTTACAGGCTGAAGGAAAGAAAATAGAATAAACTACTCGGAATCAAATAATTCTCGTTTGTGAAGCTCCAACCTGTCCCACGAGCTCGGTTGAAGTGGTAATACATATCAGTAAGGCTGATCATCCCCCCAGCTTGTTCTAATGGGATTCTGACAAAATCTGCCAACTGCAGGTAGCAAATAAGGATGTCAACCTCAAAATCATGTAGTTCTAAGGACTTGAAGAAGAAGAATTCCCCAGATTCTAACACATTTTCCCGGGGCATAATATCCCAAGCTAATCAATCAGTTGAACGGTTCGCTACTAGAATCATCGAACAAAAAAAATCATATTCCAAACATCTCATTCAAAGTAATCACGGACAAGATAAGCTAACAAACACAAATATCTCTGTTGCAAAATATAAGGAAGAGAACCTGGCGGGACAATTCTTGGTGGTACAATGCACCAGCAGATTCCTTTGTAACTGGGGAGATAATACCAACGCTCAACATCCACTGTTGCATTTCTTCTTTGGACCCCATTTCTTCATCATCAGTTGAACCGTTCTGACTACTAGGAGCAGACAAGAGCTTTTGCCGCATTTTTTCTGCCAGACTCACCATCTCTTTAGCCTTACTCTGTAAACCCAATAAGAGTACTAGAATTTAGACACAATTTGTCTTGAATACGAAACCAATGATAATTGAAAGAAAAAAAAAGACTTTTCTCTAGAGTTGCAGATAACTCTTCAAGATCATCACAAAGAACAAATTGACCACCAATAGTTAAGCATTTGAAAGGCATGTTCCAGAATTATCATCTATTCATAAACTTCTTAACATGATCATCTACATAGGTAAGAATCTGCTAGGATGATGATTATAAAGGGTGAGAAGGAGAAAGAAGAGAAGTACCATAAGAGCATTCAAATCCTGAAAAGCATCTTGCAAGCTCTTGTCTGTGCTCTCCCACTGTTCTTGCTCCTTCCTCAAAATCCCAGCCAATCCCACCATCCTCACCGTTCCATCGTTTCCATACAAACCTTGCGCAACAGTTCCAGAACCTGACCTTGAAGTCTCACTCTCGCTCTTCTCCTCCTCTTCCCATGCTCTGCCTCTCCAACATTCCCACAATTTCGTCAAAAATTCATCAAAATCCCCTTTCCCCCTAAAGACAATCGTTACAACAATCGAACCCGGATTCGCTTGAAATCGGATTCTCGGTGAATGGAACATAGACTTGATTGATTTCTTATGGGAATAGATGTGAGTAACGGCGGCAAGAGGAACTGAAGAAGGAACAGCTCCGTTTGATTGAGAAGGAATCCATATGAGACGATGAGTGGTAAGGATTAGATTTCCAGACCTCAAAGCGGTGAATCGCGGCGGATCATCTTCGGAATCTATATCGACGGAGGATAGGAGGAAACATTCAACCTCATTGCGACGAAGCACTGGTCTTCCACTCGTAGTCACCTCCGCGTTCTCAAACAAACCACCGATTCCGATGCTGCTGCTTCCACTAGCCATGGAGACTCAATTCGGAAGCAGATCGATCATACAGCTTTTCCGCTGCGTTCCTCTCTAGTCCAATCAATAGATCAATAACTCCGATGAATTTCCCGGCGACGATCAAGGTGCCTGAGGTCAGAGAGATTCAACGGAAGAACCGAAAGAAGATGGTTTAGTAACTCACGTCTAGAATCACCCTTGGTTTCGTATAATTATATTTCAGTCCTTATTAGCAAAAACATATTACGATAATAGCTCATATGTTTTAATTTTACTTTTGAGTCCAGATTTAGAAGATTTGAAGTGATGTTGTAGTTTGTGATCATTCAATCCTTCTTTCATCATACAATGTTGAAGATAATGGTTTTGAAAAGTTAGTCCATATGATGCGGACTGGATAATGCATACCAATATTTTAATATGCAAAATGTCGGACTGTAATATGGAGCAGACAATTGTATGTTGGTATGGAGCTTTTGGGGAGTGGAATGAAAAAATGCGGACCAACAGTGAATTTATGATGGTATGGAGAAGTATGCTCAAATGCATACTAGTATGGAGATTTTTAGTATGCAACAGTGCATACTAGTCCGGAATAGTGAATGGTGAATGAAGTGCGGACTGATCCGATTTTAGTCTGGTCTGCAGCATATTATACAACCATTCAAGACCAATATGAAACGAAATGAAGAAGTGGAGAAGTTTCACTAAGAATTAATGACTTTTCAAACCAGACAAGATATGAAATGATGTTGTAGTTTGTGATCATTCAAACATATCCTTCTTTCACCATACAATGTTGAAGATAATATGAAACTAAATGCAGAAGTGGAGAGGTTTCATACCAATAATTAATCTTTCCAAACAAGACAAGAGTATATATGGCCATCTTTGAGATGTGATATATAGATGAGAAGACTTATACTAGTTAAAGACTAAGTATGAGAATGATATATGAATGAGAAACTTCAATGGTGATCTAAGCGTTGGACACAGTGCATGTGATGACGATGACATTCATTGGAATCTTGAGATAAGGAGGGATTTTTTTTTTGGTTTTAGTTAAAAGGAGGTATTGTTATATTGACCCATTCCATATGGTGTGTCAACGAAACATCAATAAAATCTTTAAGATTCAATTTATAACTATGGCGTTAATCCATGTTGTGTGTGTGATAAAATCAATTTTAAACGAAAAAAATTGTTATTATCACATGCAAAACATGGATAAGTTATATAGTTACAAATTGTTCGTTGCTAAAGTATGTTCACAGTTGATTACTTTGAGCTAAATCGTTTTATTGTTCAAACTACATATTGCTAAAATACTAAAATAACCAACTTCTTTGATTATTTACGGCATATTTTACAACCAAATAAATGACGTTTAGTTTTATTTGTAAATCTTGTTAGTATAAGGTTGTGCGAAGATTTATTTTTCTTTCGCTAACATAGTGCGGATTATTAATGTATACTTGTTGTGATACATACGTACACCTTTATTTAAGATTCAACGTACGTGCTTAATCTTTAAACAAACTTGTACGAAAGCGATGCCGTTACGTGAATAATTAATGTATAGAATATTGTTTATTTGTTTAATCATCATACATACAACTAACTGGTTCCAATTATCATGTTAGTGTATGTTGTTATATGACGATATGTGTACAGTGTTAGCGTGAAATATTAAAACCAATACTCGATCGGTAATGACCAATTTGCAATTCTTTAATATTTTTGTTTTGTAAAACCGTGAAAGACTAATTAACTTTAAAGTTTTAATTACTCTAAAAAAAAATTATATTAAAAGTAATACAATCAAGGGCGTGGACATCGTGTTCTTCGACTCTTTACATTGGTGTGGTTGGCCATGTGAAGTGTGAGCCGCTTGAGTCTTCACTTGTTTGTCTTTGCTCTTTGCTTTATTATTAGTTACAACTAATTATTAATCTGAGTATGACAAATTAAAAATCATATTAAGAAAGTAATATGAAGTTTCTAGAACGTAATTATAACGTTGAATTTACGACAGTCTAAAACTCGATTACCGATTACAAATGGAAACTCTCATCAGTCAAATGCGTTAAAAATCCAAACACGATTCAGATTATGTTAGCGCGACCAAAGTCGAACTTGTATAATTTCATATATCGTACACTACTATGTGTGTACAATGTACGTATATAGATGATTTTTCTTGTTTTATTATCTTTTTTTTTTAATCCATACAATATCACCATATTCATTATTCATACATAAAGCTATAAAAATAAAATAATATCTAGATCAGCCACTAATTAAATCAAATGAATTGCGTATTTGCGTTTCCTCATATTAGTGAATATACTTTTCTTTTCATATAAATACATACTTGGTGAAAAATCAAATATTGAATAATTCAAAGTATCAACTTCAAACTTCATTATTGAATAATGAAAGATATAGACGTGACATCTTAAAATTCAAAACTTGGATTCACGGAGGGAAAAAAAACAAGAATTGATTAACTCGTAGATTTCTAATTATGTAACGAATATTTAAGGTGGTTGATAGTTTATACTTTTCTCACAAAGGTTGATATCAGAAAATATATATTGATAACCACTACATCTCACTAGGTATAAAGTTTTGTTTTTTTCTTTTATTAGCATGTTACGTTTATCCCGATTTAGTTAAATGCGGATATAAGAAATACTTTCGATTAATCAGTGAAAAAGTATTATGTAAGAAAATTATTTTTTAAAATATACATTTTGAAAAAAAAAAATTTTAAAAAAAAAAAAAAAATATATATATATATATATATATATAATACGGCGGCTCAAAATAAAAAGAAAGTATCTAGAAGAGTAAGAAATTGAGAGTGGCTTCTTCTCTGGACCAACACGACATGACTTTTCCTCACTTTCTTCTTCTTCTTCTTCTCCATATCTATCTCTCTGTTCCTTTTATTTTCGTGCCTATAATGAAAATTAAATAAAAAATATTAAAATAAAAGTCGAATAAAAGATTCGTCGACGTCGCCAGCCATTGGCGACTTCTCCAAACCTTCTCTCCTGTTCATTGTCTCCAGATCTCTCTCTATCATCAAGTCTTCGTTCTCATTCGTCTCCTTCTTCGTCTTCGTTTACCTTTGAATAAGAGATACGAAACTCCCATTTATTAGCCTCTCTCTCTCTCTTCTCGTTATTCCTTTATTTCCTTCTTCCTATTGACGTATTGGCTTGCGTCACCTCAAATCTCTTTCTCTTCAATTCCATTTTCTGGGTATAGATTCATTTTTAGCGCCCAAAATTGAAGATCCGGATCTACGCATTTGGATTAGCTAGGTCAATTTTGCTGGATCAATTCCATTTTCGTCTCCAAGAGGTGGGTTTGTCTGGATCTGCCCATTTGCAATTGTGCTAGGTCAATTCAATTCCATTTTCGTGGGAAGGGGGTTTGTCTCCGATATCATATATTCAAGCTGCTGCTGATTCGAGCTTATGTGGGTTTCTGGGTAAAATCATCTTCTTCAGGAGGTGTGTGTGTGTTTCAATGATTTTCTGAACAAAAAAATCTCAACTTTCATTGTCCAATCAAATTCCTGTGAGTGGTCCCTCAAATCCTGGACCCGGCTAATGGATCCCAGGATATCTATTGATAAGCCGCCTCATCACGATCCAATTCTGGGTGTATCTTCACAATGGAGCGTTTCTTCTAAAGACAACAATTCCGTCAGAGAAGTTACTTTCGGTGATTTGGGTTCAAAGCGTATCCGTCATGGATCAGCTGGAGCTGATTCTGAGATGCTAAGCATGTCTCAGAAAGAGATCAAAGACGAAGATGCTCGTTTGATTTATATTAACGATCCTGACAGAACTAACGAAAGGTTTGAGTTCACAGGGAATTCTATCAAGACTGCTAAATACTCTGTCTTCACCTTCTTGCCTAGGAACTTGTTTGAACAGTTCCATAGAGTTGCTTACATTTACTTCCTTGTAATAGCAGTGCTCAATCAGCTTCCTCAGCTTGCAGTTTTTGGCAGAGGTGCATCCATCATGCCCCTTGCCTTCGTTCTCTTGGTCTCAGCTATCAAAGATGCTTACGAGGATTTCCGGAGACATAGATCAGATAGAGTTGAGAACAATAGGTTGGCTTTAGTGTTTGAGGATAATCAGTTTCGAGAAAAGAAGTGGAAGCATATTCGGGTTGGGGAAGTCATTAAAGTCCAATCGAATCAGACTCTTCCTTGTGACATGGTGCTGTTGGCTACAAGTGATCCTACTGGGGTTGTCTATGTGCAGACGACTAATTTGGATGGTGAGTCGAATTTGAAGACGAGGTATGCCAAGCAGGAAACTCTTCTGAAAGCTGCTGATATGGAGTCGTTTAATGGATTTATCAAGTGTGAGAAACCTAACAGGAACATTTATGGGTTTCAAGCCAACATGGAAATTGATGGTAGAAGGCTCTCCCTTGGACCTTCTAATATTATTCTTAGAGGGTGTGAGCTTAAGAACACTGCTTGGGCTTTAGGGGTTGTTGTGTATGCTGGTGGTGAGACGAAAGCTATGCTGAACAACTCTGGAGCTCCATCAAAGAGGAGTAGGCTAGAGACTCGGATGAATTTGGAGATCATTCTACTCTCTTTGTTTCTGATCGTCTTGTGTACAATTGCAGCCGCGACCGCTGCTGTGTGGTTGAGGACGCACAGGGATGACTTGGACACTATTCTCTTTTATAGGAGGAAGGACTACTCTGAGAGGCCAGGAGGAAAGAACTATAAATACTATGGTTGGGGGTGGGAGATATTTTTCACCTTCTTTATGGCAGTCATTGTGTACCAGATCATGATTCCCATTTCTCTCTACATATCGATGGAGCTTGTCCGTATTGGTCAAGCATACTTCATGACCAATGATGATCAGATGTACGACGAGTCTTCAGATTCAAGTTTTCAATGCAGGGCTTTGAACATAAATGAAGATTTGGGTCAGATTAAGTATTTATTCTCCGATAAGACGGGTACTCTCACGGACAACAAGATGGAGTTTCAATGTGCCTGCATAGGAGGTGTAGATTACTCTGCTAGGGAACCTACTGAGAGTGAGCATGCGGGATACTCCATTGAAGGTAAAGGAAACTAGTTTCTTAATCATTCTTCTGTTGTTAAGAGTAGTATGTTTTTCTGTTTACTGACTGTCACTTTTTATGATGCCTGAATTTGTCATGATACAGTTGATGGGAATATTTTGAAGCCAAAGATGAGGGTGAGAGTTGATCCTGTGCTTCTTCAGTTAACGAAAACTGGCAAGGCAACAGAAGAAGCAAAACGTGCAAATGAGTTTTTCCTCTCACTGGCAGCTTGCAATACAATTGTGCCAATTGTTACCAATACATCTGATCCCAATGTGAAGCTGGTAGATTATCAAGGGGAGTCCCCTGATGAACAAGCATTGGTCTATGCAGCAGCTGCATATGGTTTCTTGCTCATAGAGAGAACCTCTGGTCATATAGTTATTAACGTGCGAGGAGAAACGCAAAGGTAATTTAGACATATGATGGCTACTTTTTGCCATTAATTTATATTGTCATTGTATCTCATTGTAGGTTGTGGCCTTTAGTATTTATTCCTTTTCCTTTGCCCAGTGCAGGTTTAATGTTTTGGGATTGCATGAGTTCGATAGTGACCGAAAAAGAATGTCAGTGATACTGGGATGCCCCGACATGTCAGTGAAACTCTTTGTAAAAGGTGCAGACTCATCCATGTTTAGTGTCATGGATGAATCCTACGGTGGCGTCATACAGGAGACCAAAATACAACTTCATGCTTACTCATCTGATGGTTTGAGAACTCTTGTTGTTGGGATGAGAGAGCTGAACGATTCAGAGTTTGAGCAATGGCATTCTTCATTTGAGGCGGCAAGCACCGCCTTGATTGGTAGGGCTGGATTGCTAAGAAAGGTTGCTGGAAACATCGAGACTAACCTTAGGATAGTAGGAGCCACTGCAATTGAAGACAAATTGCAGCGTGGTGTCCCGGAAGCAATAGAATCTCTCAGGATTGCAGGGATAAAAGTATGGGTCTTAACTGGTGACAAGCAAGAAACTGCCATATCCATTGGCTTCTCTTCGAGGCTTCTGACAAGAAACATGAGGCAAATTGTAATAAATAGTAATTCATTGGATTCATGTCGGAGGAGTTTAGAAGAAGCAAATGCCAGTATTGCAAGTAATGACGAAAGTGATAACGTGGCCTTGATTATTGACGGTACCAGTCTCATATATGTACTCGACAATGATCTTGAAGATGTGGTAAGTGAAATGTTGATTAAAATCTCTTGCGTACTCTGCTTATGACTGTCTTTGATGGTGATGTAATTGCTCATTTTTGCAATGCAGCTGTTCCAGGTGGCATGTAAATGCGCTGCGATACTCTGCTGCCGGGTTGCTCCTTTCCAGAAAGCTGGAATCGTTGCACTTGTAAAGAACCGGACTTCCGACATGACGCTTGCCATTGGTGATGGTAATGACTTCACTCTTCTTTCCAAAAAGTAGTCTGCCTGATCCTGTCTAAACAGACCCAATTCTTTGTTTTTTTTTTCATCTTCTCATATGCTTTGTGTTTTGACAGGTGCCAATGATGTCTCCATGATTCAAATGGCTGATGTTGGGGTAGGGATAAGCGGCCAAGAAGGTCGCCAAGCTGTGATGGCATCTGATTTCGCAATGGGACAGTTCAGATTCTTAGTTCCGCTATTGCTCGTCCATGGACACTGGAATTACCAAAGGATGGGTTACATGATACTATATAATTTCTATAGAAATGCAGTTTTTGTTCTAATTTTATTTTGGTGAGTACCATCTTACTGCGTTTTGTACTAATCCGTCTTAAAACAATGACCACAGACTAACACTCACCAATTTCACGCAGGTACGTTTTGTTTACTTGCTACACCTTGACAACCGCCATCACAGAATGGAGCAGTGTTTTGTACTCAGTCATATACACAGCAGTCCCTACAATAATTATCGGTATTCTTGACAAAGACCTTGGAAGGAGGACTCTTCTAGATCATCCTCAGCTCTACGGTGTTGGCCAGAGGGCAGAGGGATATTCCACTACGCTCTTTTGGTATACAATGATTGACACAATCTGGCAAAGTGCAGCAATCTTCTTCATTCCTATGTTTGCTTATTGGGGCAGTACAATTGACACGTCGAGCCTAGGAGACCTATGGACCATTGCTGCAGTTTTGGTGGTTAATCTTCACTTGGCCATGGATGTAATTAGATGGAACTGGATCACACACGCCGCCATATGGGGATCCATTGTTGCAGCTTGTATATGTGTCATTGTGATCGATGTTATACCCACACTCCCTGGTTACTGGTAAAGCTCTTTCTCTCTACATATCATTCTGTCAAAAGCAAATTCAAAATCTCTTCTGGATACTAAAAGTCTCAACTTTTTTTTAATGGCTGTAACAGGGCAATTTTCCAAGTGGCCAAGACGTGGATGTTCTGGTTCTGCTTGCTTGCCATTGTTGTGACAGCATTGCTTCCTAGATTCGCCATCAAGTTTCTTGTCGAGTATTACAGACCTTCCGATGTTCGGATTGCTAGGGAGGCTGAAAAGCTTGGAACTTTCAGAGAATCCCAACCCCTGGGAGTTGAAATGAACCTGATTCAGGATCCTCCAAGGAGATGATATGAAGCAACAACACATTCTCAAATCAAAATTCTTTATACCCTTCAGCCATAAGTAAATATAATTTATATATTCCATTTTTCCCACTTGGTTGCTTTACTATTTTCACGAATAGAGAGTTTGTTGGGTTGTAGTGTAAGAATATTTACGTAATCTCTCGGCTGTATTTTTTCTCATTTTGTTGTAACATACGCACAAGTTTTCCTTTGTAAAGAAAACGTCGAAATTTGATTTAAATTTCCTGGTTAATCAATTTCCACTTTAGTTTCTTCTTATAAACTTGATTTTTGATTCATTGCGCTTTGTCTTCTTTTCTTTTTTTTTTCTGTTAAAAACTAATAACTGTTAAAATTGACTTGTACCCTTTATCACATTCACATAAAAATAATCTTTATAATCAAAAGAGGCTAGAGTTTCCAGAGATTTGTCCTAAAACCGATCCGAAGACTGACTAATATGATTACATATCCAAAAGGAGAAAAACATGAGGACATCTTCCACAATCCGAGAAATAGACAAGGTTTTTGCTGGAGAAGCAGTAAAAATCCTTCACAGCTTTGCGTCTTATGCTGTTGAAGAGAAGATCAAAGAGACTTACTTTAGTTGCTACCAAAAGTACTCGATTCCACAGATCAGGACTCAACACTCCAGCTGCCAGATAAACAAATTTAGAGATTCCATATGTCAAATCATATTCAGTAGACCAAATGGGACAGCGATACAAACCTTTTGCTACCAAAATCATCTGACTCCAGTTGTTCAGCAGAGATCGCTTTTCTCCCCATCATCATCCAAATGAGCCACGGCAATACGCTGATCCACAAAAGCATTTCTTTTTGCCATATAAAGGATTGCCATTTTGAGTCCCACTTGGTTTAGATACTCCATAGTCGTAAGTCAACTCAGTCATTGGAGGGATGTGAGCAATGGCAAAGAAGGCGACATGCACGAAGAGTTGACTGTTATTTTCATAAGTAACCGGCTGCCAGAAAACATTAGGTGAGCAACTATGATTCATGAATCGGGCAACGTTCCCAACATTCTTAGCACTGATTATCAGTGGCAGCGGGATTTCAGATTCTTCAGAAATCTCTTCAGAAGCATCTTCGTCTGCTAAGCCAGGCTCATAGTTCCACTTGAAAGGGTTATAGACATGGGTTGTATCAAAAGTATAATCATCATCAGCCATAGTTTGCTGCACCTTCGATTTGTCTTTGGCCTCACCTGCATATATACATATAAACGAACCAGCACGAATAGCATCCCATGAGCGCAAGCCCCATCCTCTATTCGCTGTCTTGAAAACTTCCAGCCTCACTTTTACTCCCATTTGAGTCACCTTGTTTTTGCAAGTCGAGCACGGGCAAGATGGACTGCATTCATATATCATAGGCTTGCGACTAACTAGAACTCCATTACCGGTGTAGGGGAAATCACCTCCATTTTTCCTTATGCAGTGACAGTCCAAGTTCCCTGGTTTGCATGAGTTGGCACAGTCACATCCAAAAGAAGGCTGTGTCAGCTTAAACGACTCTGAGTATTTCACCGTTGTGGAGTAGGTGAAATAAGCAGGCCCATTGTCGGTATCAACTTCGTTAACAAGTGAAACAGGTATACTTTCAACCCCAGAAGTCATATCGGGAAGAATAAGTCCTTGCCTTGAAGGCAAACCCGTCTTCCATTTCTGGATTGCAGTCCATGTAGCAAATGCAGGAGGTTGACCAGGAGCTCTAACCAGTTTATACTTGAAGGTGTTGTGTCCCGACTTTCCTTTCTCTACCCATGACTCTTTAATCTCATAGAGTCCATCATAAATATAGATCTTAGCATTATGAGAAGCCTCTTTCAAGCCCCTTATTACCCTAACTGCACTATTTCTATGCAAGCTCTTCTCCAAGGCAAGATTACCCCTTTCTAGCTTTTGGTCAGATGATTGCTTATCTTTATCAGCATTACCACCCTGACCAGTATAAATCAAAACATCGGGATTACCTTCGTCATTATCATAATATCCAGATGACACAATGCTAGTGGCAATAGGTTCTTCTTCCGCTTCTCCCTTGACAACCAAATAGTCAATCCCAGCCATTGATGGAGAATGCAACCCCACCAAACACATCTCAAACCTGAAGAAGAATACGTCCCCGATCTCAACACCAGCAACAATACCAGGTCTTTTTTTGGTGTTTGTCCGGACCCCTCTGCCCATACAAGTAGATCCTGCTTTCAAATCAGGGCGTTTGATAACCCCACTAACTGCTTCCTTTGCATCCTCAAGTTGTGCAAATCTTCTTCTTAACGCATCAAACCGCATAAGAACACTCACCACCAACTCCCTGTTGCCATTCTCTCTTTCAGCCACGTTAATCCCACTCTCGAAATTCATATTCTCAGGCCGAGCAATAGGACGCCTTTTAGGGATCTTTCTTTTCACAGTTGACCCCTCAAGATCCGTGTTGCCATTAGACGCATCAGGAGATCTAAAAGACCTTAAAGGAGTAACCAAAGAAGGCTCAGATGCATTCTGAGGCTGCTGATATACCGGTGGTGGATTCTGAGGCTGCTGATGTTGCTGTGGATACTGAGCTTGATTAAGATCTGGTGTGTGTTGATTCGCTTGAGACGAACTAAACGGATAAAACGATGAGAACCCAGGAGGAAATGGTCCAAAAGGAGGTGCACACACAAAAGGCGGAGCTTGATTTCCACTGGGAAACACGGGTCTTAGAGTACGCAATGGCTTAATATCCAACACTCTCGTCTTATCAGTGTAGTTACCACCATTCCCTTCCATGGCTAAAAATCAAAATTTCCTCAAATCTGATCTTCTATTCAAATACCCTAAGCTATCAAAGATCTGGGAAAGTAAAAAGTCCAACTTTTTCTTCACAAATAAACCCAACTACGAATCAGAGATCCTCAAAAAGCCAATTGCATGCACAGAGAAACAAACATCCTCGCAGATTCAGAGATTACAATAAACAAAGCAAAACCCCCAAAAAGCTTAAAACTTTCACAAATTAAACCTGAAAATGCGCTTTTGGATAGATCACACCACACACCCTTTTCAAGCTGGCTCGTGAAATTAGGGTTTCCGAAAAGAGAGAGACAGAGAGAAAGAGAGAGAGGGAAACAAATAAGCGAGATTTTGTGCTAAAGTTGGAAATTTTCATTAACAATTTTTGGTGTTTATTGACATCTGTGACATCACTGACATCTGTAACTGTTACAGAAGCTAAATATTAACCGTTGGATCTAAATTTATTTTTACTATCTTTTTCACCGTACAAAGATCTACTATGACTTGATAACCTGCGTAAGAGGTTGTTGTTTCTGTTTCGATTTCGTCCTGCTTAGTGCATTCGTCAGTTTGTGATGTAATTACTTTTTCGGTTGCCGGTTTCACCCGTGTGTAAGATGTTGTCGTTTTCCTTTCCTCAATTTGGGAAATTTTATCGTTCCACTCCCTAACTCTTGATTTCTCATAGTTTTGTGGCTAAATATATATTTATTATACATTAGGTCCACATGTGTTTCTAACTCTATAATTTATCTAAGTTCATATTATACGCTTGCTCAATAACCATGCTTCGAATTATTTCAAATGGGATTAACAGATATTAGGACAGATACTCTTGATTGTGTTTCTCTAAATAGCAGTTTCCAAAAAAAAAGATTATTCATCGGTTTAAGTCACAATTTGTTTCCTTTCCAGTCACCACTAACATAAATCACAAATAAGACCAAAATATGATGCTATTTAATATAGAAATATGGATGTGGATTCTCAAGATATGCTTTTTTATTTTATTTTGTATTGATAATATATAAAAGTACAACAAACAAAAGGTTCTGTATCTTCGTACAAAACGAAGATCAAAGAACTCTAAATTCACAAACTTATGCTTAATAAAAGTAGCCACACACGTTACAAACACACACAAGACATGAAATGAAAAGAGCAGTTATTATAAGACAAAAACACTAACACAATCTTAAGAAAAGAGATGTGTTAATACAATTAATTATCTGTTTACTCGATGGCACTACACTCCTCGATCATATTCTTCTTACCACGGTTGTTCATGATCGCGTGGATCTTCGAGCAGTTACAAGGCATAAACATGCAGCCACGAGTACCATTAACCCCGGTCGTGGTCGAACCACCGAGCTTACGTGCGATCACAACCGAGTTAACCACGTCATCGGTTGGATGATAGATGGTCAAGAGCTGAAAGCCTTTGAGATCAGAAGAGTCAACGATGGGATATAAGAAAGCTCTGAGAGCATGAGCACTTCTTAGCATAAGAACAGCTCCAGGAGCCATGTGTTTCTCCAAGTGCTCAATGGCTTTGACCTTTGACTCTTTGTCCATCCCAACAAGAGCCGCCAAGAAAACAACGTCATATTGGTCAAGGCCTTCGGTTGCGTTTAGTACGTCTGTTGTGTGGAAAATCATGCGTTTTGAGAGGTCCGGATCGCGAGAGACGAGGTTTGAAGCGAGTGTGTTTGCGTGTGAGTCGATGTCGAAGTTGTGGAACGTCGTGTTGGGGAGGTGAAACTTGGCCAAGACGATGGATGTGAGAGGCATCGGACCCGAGCCCACGAAGGCAATCTTGGTGGGGACATGGCTTGAGTGTTGACTCAGGAGATCGAACTCGAGCTTGCCCAGCTTGAGGTAGTTGGTGTAGTAAGGAAAGATGTGTAAATGGTCAAGTGGGTTTTGGTCTTCTTGTAAAGATCCCAAAATTGTGGAGAAGTGTTGCTCTAAATAACCTTCGGCTTCACCACAAAGCTTGATGAGATTAGATCTCATGTCTTTGACTTCTTCACACATATTTGTGACATCGATGTTTGTATCCGTGGGTAAGCACGTGGACACGAGTTGTCCGAACAAAGTGTCGACATTTTTGGAAGGTTTTAAGCTCTCGAGCTTTGAGATTTGGTCGTATAAGTCGACGATTTGCTTCACAACGAGATTGTTTTGGCAAGCCATGTCGACACTATGAGGTTACTTCAGGAGAGAAGATAAGTATTAATAATCTTTTTTAGACTTTGAACAAATATTGTGTTGTGGCTCTTTAACCCTTGCAAAGGGTCGTTATTTATTGGCACTCGTGGGGTCAATTCTTGGCTGAAATTATTTATCTACCAATGATTCGATTCATATACGTTATAATTAATATGTGGTCGATATCTCGTTTATAATGCAATAACCTCAAATTAAGATTAGCAATTCATCTCTAGATTCCCTACACACATAATTATATTCAAATTTTATACTTAGTTTAGACGTATAAGGAAAATTGTAAGACATAGTCACATAAATGTATATACCATATGGTTAAAACTTGATTATTTTATTTATCCGTACAAAAATAAAGAAAAAAATTAATTATATATCTTATAAGTTATGTTTCGATGTATCTCGATTTATTTATCAGTTAAAATAAGCATGCGTCTAACATTAGAGATAACCTATATCATCAGGTAATAAACAGAGTAATTTATCTATATTTTGAAGTATCTATTTGCATAATCAACATTTTATACATGAGTACTGCAAATACATATATTCCTTTCTCAGATAATTTTTGAAAATAAAAGTGCGGCACTAACCATTCCAAACTAAATGCCTCTACACACATGGCATGACCCACAACTTCGATAACCATATTTGTGAATGTTCATTATACAGATAATAATCATAATATGCATACAACTTTTTTCAATTGTACAGTCCCATATTGCGGCTGCGAAGTATACAAGGTCCTCTGGACAAGCCTCAAAGGCTCTCTTCATAACCCTATATCTCTCCTACTTCTCCTCCATTCGGGCCTCAAAAACTTGATTTTTAATATTCATATTACGAGATAACGTATAGTATAGTTGGTAAATTTAATTAAGGCATGTCTCAGAACATTGAAAAGTCACCATGAAAATGTATCATATATAAAATACTATATTTATAAGAAATACTATGTTCTAGTTCGATATCATATTATATAGCGTTGAATTAGAAACACTCGTCAATATTAGATTCCGTTCACTCCCATGCTTTGTTGGGAATAAATCTCAATTGAATTGGATGGATAAATAAGTCCGTCGGGTTCCACACTTCCACTATATTTAATCTCAATTCCGTTCACTCGCATGGTCTCGGTCTGTATCATTCAGAGACCACTGAATTACTTCGAACTATATATAGATAACTATATTTAAAATAGGAAAAATCTTTTTGCAATAAATTGATGTTACATAGACATTGATTTATATTTATATCAGTGTCTCTTGCTTAAAATGAATAGCCAATTTGACGTCCTTCTCAACGTACGTTGACATATAATATGATCCTAAAAAACAAAATGCGATTTTGTTTTCAGACATCAAATCAAGCAGTACTACAGTAAGCATCTTGTTGAAATGCTTTACATGATCCTGATTGTTTCGTTTGCTTTTGATTTCCCGACTGTTTTTTGATATTAGATATATTGATTACATCTTGTTGATTAAAGCTGAACCAAAATAAAAGAAAGATATATTGGTTACAAGTCTTAACATTAATTGTTTTTTGTTTTTTGTGTTTACGTTAGTTATTATTTTGCATCAGTTTCTCTATTTGAAATCTATTTTATTCTTTGGTCTATTTATAGTAATCTCAAGAACCATAAATACAACAGAAACCCCGAAATAACAATGAGTGTGTGATAATGTTTTAAACTTAACAAGTGGTCAACACTCAACAGCAGAACAAAGATTTGCATCCACTAATCAAAGCGTTTATTTCACATATTAGGTAATCTTATAACCACTTGTCATCGAGTGTTTTCCGTATCAAATAACGTCTTCACGATATCCAACGTTCGGGTAATATGAATAGAAGGTGGTCTTAGCTATCAAATTGTTCGAATCTTTGTAGGATCGGGTCCAAACATAAACAAATATTTGGTGATAAAAAAAATAAAAAATATATATATTTGGTGCTTTATAATTTACATAAACTAATTGCCCCATATAACTTAGTTTATGTAAATTATAAATCATAAACCTACAAAGATTCGAACAATTACATAAACTACAAAAAAGGTTACAAGAATCACACATGATCTTTAACCTTTTTTGTAGGATTCTTGGTGCAGGGATTAATCGACAATAGATCTTGTTAAAAAACACAATTCCGTTCCTCGTTTTAGAGGATTAGCTCTTAGACAGAATTTTCAGGTTTAAGCGTTTAAGGAGACGTTAGGCTATGTATGGAAAAATTCCCACCAATAATTTACATTGTGCTCGTCACTACTTGCTTTACAAATTTCATAAACCATTTTTATATTGAGTGAAAATGCTATAAGGGAACATACAAATATGATTTGGATCCCACCTAGGGAGGGATACTATATAATATATAATAATAATTAATTGTGATGAAGATCTCAAATAAATGTATCATTTTGTTTGACGAGTATATGTGTAAAAAATAAAATAATGGGAATCTTACACGCCAAATCGTAAGATTTTTTTTAAAAAAGGAAGACAATTTCTATATTTCAACACTTCTACATTATCAAAAATTTTAAAGCTTCATTGAAACTAGCAGCATTCTACAAACGAATGTCGAGATAAAGGCACAAATGAATGGCTCAGTGTGAAAATAAAAATAAAAAGAGTAATGACTACTAATATTAAATCGAATCTTATTGTTTTCAATTAGAATTAATCTACATATAAACATGAAAATCGACTTTAAAAGTTTACCAAAAGAATTTTTTTTTTAAAGGATTTTAAAATAAAGAAATAAAACGAGAAAGATTCTAACATATGCACACAAAAAAACATGAGAAGCACTCGCAATGTTCCCAGCTTAACAATCAAACGATCCATATTAGTGCCTCCCACGCAAAATATAAATGTGCCGCGTAAAATCAAACTTAGTTATTATCTCCAATTAAAAATATAAATCGACGACTATTATATATCCTCTCTACAAGAGTAAACAAATAACTCAAAAACATTTAATTACACAAAACTTCAATATCACATACGAGAGGCCAGGTAGGAGGAAATTACGAAAATGTCCTCCTACGGCAGACTCGACGAGCATGAGCAAGCGAAACTTGAGGCAAGTCGGAAGACAAAGAAGAGAATTGCCATTATCGTTATATCTTCCATCGTTCTCGTCTGCATTGTCGTCGGAGCCGTCGTTGGAACCACAGGTCGCGATAACGGCAAGAAATTGCCAACGGAGAATAACGGAGAGCCAATCTCAGTCTCCGTGAAAGCCGTGTGCGACGTGACATTGCACAAAGAAAAATGTTTTGAGACCATTGGATCGGCTCCAAACGCGAGCCAACTAAACCCGGAGGAGCTTTTCAAGTACGCCGTCAAAATCACCATCACGGAGCTCTCGAAAGTTCTTGACGGATTCTCCAACGGCGAACACATGGATAACGCCACGTCAGCAGCAATGGGGGCTTGCGTGGAGCTTATTGGACTAGCCGTTGATCAGCTCAACGAGACGATGACGTCAATGAAAGACAAAACGACGTCGCCTTTGAAGAGCGTTGACGATCTCAGGACGTGGCTTAGCTCCGTGGAAACGTACCAAGAAACATGTATGGACGCATTAGTGGAAGCGAACAAACCAGGTTTAACGACTTTCGGTGAAAACCATTTGAAAAACTCGACGGAGATGACTAGCAATGCGTTAGCGATCATAACGTGGCTAGGGAAAATCGCTGACACCGTTAAGTTTAGACGACGTCGTTTGATGGCTACCGGTGACGCCAAAGTCGTTGTCTCTGACTTGCCGATGATGGAAGGTCGGAGACTTTTGGAGAGTGGTGATTTAAGGAAGAAAGCAACTATCGTGGTGGCGAAAGACGGGTCGGGGAAGTATAGGACGATAGGTGAGGCTTTAGAAGAAGTGGAGGAGAAGAATGAGAAACCTACGATTATATATGTGAAGAAAGGAGTTTATTTGGAGAATGTTAGGGTTGAGAAGAAGAAATGGAATGTTGTGATGGTTGGAGATGGACAGAGTAAGACTATCGTCTCTGCTGGACTCAACTTCATCGATGGAACCCCCACGTTCCAAACCGCAACATTTGGTAAGTACATATATACAAGTGATTTTTTGGTTCTAACGAAAAGTTTTTGTGTTTGCGTAACATCCTAAAACACTAGTACGTATATTTCTCAAAAAATAGAAAGTTGATTTTTTTTTTTTGTAATGTTTTAGCTGTGTTTGGAAAGGGGTTCATGGCTAGGGACATGGGCTTCATTAACACAGCTGGTCCAACCAAGCATCAAGCCGTAGCTCTAATGGTAAGCGCAGACTTATCTGTGTTCTACAAGTGCACTATGGATGCTTTCCAAGACACGATGTACGCTCATGCCCAACGTCAGTTTTACCGTGATTGTGTTATCCTCGGAACCGTTGATTTTATATTTGGAAACGCTGCGGTTGTATTCCAAAATTGTGAGATCTTGCCTCGTCGTCCTATGAAAGGCCAGCAGAATACAATAACCGCTCAGGGCAAGAAAGATCCGAACCAAAACACAGGAATTTCTATCCACAATTGTACTATCAAGCCTTTGGATAACCTAACCGATATCCAAACGTTCCTAGGCCGGCCTTGGAAGGAGTTCTCCACAACGGTGATCATGAAGTCTTACATGGACAAATTTATCAACCCGAAAGGGTGGTTACCGTGGACAGGAGATACCGCACCAGACACGATCTTTTACGCCGAGTACTTAAATACCGGGCCAGGAGCCTCTACCAAGAACCGGGTTAAGTGGAAAGGGTTGAAGACGTCTTTAACAAAGAAGGAAGCAAATAAGTTTACGGTGAAACCTTTTATAGACGGCAATAACTGGTTACCAGCAACCAAAGTTCCGTTCAAATCTGATTTTTGATATTATTTGCCGGAAAAGGCTGGTCTGAAAATTGATGGCTAGTCGTTCTTTAATTTGGTTTCTAACGAACATACAATATTTCCTTATACTTTTTTTACCTTGTATTGTTTATTTTCCAAAAGTTTCCGAATTTGTTTCTATTCATATAATTTCATTTTTTTTCAGGAAAATCATATAATGTATCTATGCGTCAACTGATAAAATAAGTTCCTCTTTTTCCCTTTTTTTCTAAACAAAAATGAAAGCTGATATCAAAATAGTTTTTTTCATTGAAATTATACCCCCTACTAATACATGAACCGTTCAATCATTTATTAGAGTAAGTAACTAGTACCAAATTCAGATTTCGAATAACAAAAATGAAGAAATTTTTTATTGCATTTAAATGAGGCAAGACCAAGTATCTATATAATATTTTAGGAAAAAATTTCATTCGGTGTGAAGCAAACCGCCGTAGAAGGGAATGTCGGTCTGAGGCAACCAAGTGTCTCCCAAAGTGAAATTATATACGGTGAAGTTCATGGCTTCTGCCAAGTTCAATAGGCTATATCCTGACCATTGGACCCTTTTACTTGTATCAGCCCCCGGTCCAAAGTTGTCATATTCACCATAGGAGATCGTGTCTAGCCCGGTTGTACCATTCCACTCTAGCCACCCAACGGGTTGGACAACATTGCTGATGTATGATTGTATGTAGACCGTCCTCGAGTAAGGCTTCCATGGCCGCCCAAGGAATGTCATGGTCGAGTTGGGGTCAGCCGCGAGGTCCGGCGCAGCTCCTATAGTACAATTAATTATGGAGATTCCAGTTTTCTGGTTTGGATCGGTTCTTCCATGGGCTGTCACTGCATTCTTCTGATTTGCCATCGGTTTTCGGGCATATATGTTGCAGTTTTGAAAGATCGCAGCGGCATTTCCGAATATAAAATCTATGGTCCCTGTAACAAAATAATATATTAAAGATTCAAAAAATGTATTTTTAAATTTGATGTTTATAGTTGAAGATAAATGATATATCCTACCATATATATCACATTCACGATAGAACTGTCTTAAAGAATGAACGTAAAGAGTATCTTGATAGCCTTCAAAACTACATCGATAAAATGTTGATCCATCCGCATTGTTTCTTACGGCCACGGCTTGGTGCTTCTCTGGTCCAGCTGTGTTTCGGAATGTTACATCAACTGCAACAAATCGGTCTCCGACCACCGCTACAAACGCGATCAAAAGTTATATATAGTCTAGATTCTAAGAAAATATTTAGGAGTTATTTCAGATAAAAATAAGTTGTAAAGAAGAAAATAATGAAAATATTTACCAAAGGTTGAAGAATTATAAGTCGTCCAACCATCAATAAAACTGTGGTTTCCAGAAATGATAGTTTTATTGATCCCATCTCCAATAAGCATGATGTTCCTTTTTTTATTTGAAATAACAACATATTCTTCGTAAAGACCTGCCCTTGCATAGATTACGAAGTAGCCTTGCTCTGGGAATGTGTGGTTTGGTGCGGCAGCGACGGCCTCGGTTATGGTGGAAAAGCTATCGGTTTCATATGGACCGACGGTCACTGCTTCCCTTACGAGGATCGAGCCACCGCTCGTCTCTCCTAGCTCACCTAAATTTCTGTCAGCTTTCCGACAATCCTTGCTCTTGTCGCATGTTTTGCGTAAAACCTACAAATTAGTTACTTTATCATTAGTTTTAAATACTTGTAATAATAGTAAACTATGCACATTTTCGTACACACTAACTGTCATGTTCATAAATCATACTTCTAAAAGTGATGTACATTAGGGAATCCATGTGAGAGTATTGATTGGTCCGGAAGAAATCATGTGGACCCATGTGATTTTATTCGTTATTTAGTTTTGTTAAAGTTTCATATATTAATTGAAACTTTGAAAGTTAAAAGTCAAAACTCAAACACTTTTGAATATATTCACAGTTTCGTTGACTTCTAGTATTCTTGTATGTGACTATAGGCCATCTGGCCATGTGCCAATTTTTAGTGTTTAAAATACGTAAACTCCCATCTTTGTAAACTGCATGTGCAGATTTACGCTAAAAATCTAAAATCTATGCATGTTTTGGTTCATAAGATATACTTAATTTATTTATATAACAAATCAAGCCAATTTAAAAAGTATTTATATAACAATACTTTTTGAGTAAATAAGTCCGTAAAATAAAAAGAGAATTATGTACTTAGGACTTTCTTCAATATTCCTAAACATTCGGACATGATCTACTTGTCTAGGCTTTTTTTTCTTTAGCTCATGTCTAGTTTAAAATTAATAATTTATTTAAAAACATACGAAGACAAAGCAAGAAATAAAGTGAAACAAAATTACCTTAATCAAAGTCTCGAGAGGCTCACGAACGGGTTTGTTACCACCACCAAAGATTTTCCCCTTGGACCCTTTATACCTCTTCAGATTACGGTTAAGCGCGTGACTCACAAGCCCTAACGACACACTATAGAGGCGCGTGAGATTCCCCAACGGCGTTCCAATCGCCGTCGCAAACCCGCTCTTAGCATCCACAAGACCGTCGAGGCACGTTTGCTGGTTAGTCACAACGCCACCGAGAAGACTCGTAACACGATCAACGAGCGCCGCCGTCATCAGCTCCGCTGCTTTCAGCTCCTCCGTAACCGTTTCGAGGTAATCAACGCTAAGCTGTGCTAGCTCGCCGCAATCAGCCACCGCACTGACCTCTTCCACCGTCGACGCACCTGGATCATCTTCCACGCGCTGGGAAAAGCGGTTGATGACTTTGGAGAGGCGACGAGCTTGTTTGAGGCATTGCTTCATTGTGAACTTTCCGTAATGGTAAGGATCGGACGGTGAAGATTTAACGGCGGAGAGGATCGTGCGGCAGAGCTTCGGGTAAGGAGTGGATTTACAAGCAATGTTTGGTGGTAGTGGAGAAGGCTGCGATGGAGACTGTGACGGAGGCGGTGTTGGAGGTTGTGAAGGAGGCAGCGATGGAGACTGTGACGGGGACGGCGTTGGAGGTTCTGACGGAGGCTGTGTTGGTGCAGGCCATGACGGAGGAGGCTGTGTTGGAGGGTGTGACGGAGGCTGTGTCGGTGAGACTAGCAAAGCCCATGACAGACAGAGAAGAGCCAACAACAAGAGAGATGAAGAGAAGTGTTGAGTTTGCATTTTTTTTTCTTCCTTCTTGAATTGTTATCTACTAATTAAGAGCTTGTCCTAGTTCATGTATGCATGTAAATGTATAGGTATATGCATATACATTTATAATGCATGGCTTGAGAGAGAGACTTATGAATAATGTAATGCATGTTGCCTTGTTTAGGAATTATTAGTCCGAGAGAATATTATACACAATTTTATAGAACTATATATATATAGGGGAACGTATATCATTTCATTTTGATCAAATAAATAATAGAAAATTGTAGATGTTTTTCTTAATAAGTTACCGTAAGATCCAATGGAGTGCACCAGGTGATCGAGTGGTACATTGACCAATATATATGGATATTAATAAGCTACCGTAATATATGACATAGTTCATAGTTCGATATGGGATGGTCATTATTTAATGGCTCTAGAGTCGAACCTACGTATATTGCAACTTTTAGAGCGAGTTTTCCGAAAAATCGAGTTTTAGCCTGTTTAGAAAAAGATTGTACAAAAATATATCATTGGTTTCTTGTAATCATACATTCTTGATCACATTTTTCATGCTAAATTACTTTTAATAACTAGACCCCCAAATTTATTACATTTTTGAAATTTGACGATCATAATAAGTTAAAATATGGATTGGTCCATGTCCATGAAACTTTTCAAAATACATATATAATAGGTAAATACGTGATTCTGAATAAACTAACAAAATTAAAACCAATGATACTGTCTATAATTCACAAACCGAATACGTAATGATTAATTAGAATGAAGCTAAAACGAATACATGTCACATGTGAGGTGTTGCGGAACTTCGGGGAGAAGGCATTTTGTTTGAAATCTTAAATCATCCCTTTGTTTGTTACACTTACAAGTTAAGCTCCAATTAATTATACTCTTTCCTTCCGTTTGGTTTACCAAGATTAATTTTAGATTTTAAATAAAAGTCAAATTACAACACTCGAAGAGATTAATTAATGTATAGATATCATATCGTAATTACCTCAATAGATGTAGATAGAAAATATATTGGTCTATCGAAAGTCTTAACCGAAATTAAATTTCAAATATACGGCTATACAGACAATCATATTATGGATGTATAATCATGCACAAAAACTCAGTTGCTTTGAGAAAACAAAAATCAAACGTTATTATTGGAATTTTTTAAAATTACTTTTTCATAATATATTTTGAGAATTTTATATTTTGTAAGAAATAATTCATATATAACCAAATTACAAAATTTCTTAGTTGGCAAATTTGTCAAACAAATTAAAAGAGCTGGATACACAATCCGCAAGACTTGCCGAGTTTTTTGGTTTGGTCGGCCAATATTACTAACGAAAATGGGTCTTACTCTATCCTATTGTTCACCTTTTTCACAACATAACGTCAAAGTAAATACTCTAGCGGGCTCCAAAGGTCAGCTAGTGGCAGTATCGTAATAAATGGAAACATTATGTCCTAATATCTACCAGGACGGTTTTCAACAGTCGATGTAAATTATTGTCTTCTAGTTCCGGTTTTACCCTCGCAAACCTCAACGTCGACGACAAATACGGAGCAAACCGGCCGGTGATCGGAGAATCGTGACTCGCCGCGCACGTACGAGAGCTGCCGGATTCCATCCCCGTGCCAAAGAATCCTATCGCACCTGACAAAAATATGAAGAAACCCGGTTCAGATTAACCGAACGATAACCAATCCAAATCAGAAATGTAATTGATCCGGTTAACTATACCAAGCCGGAGTTCTTCTCTTGTTCTTCTTCTCTTTGGTAGTATCTCCGGCGTAAGCATCGGAGTTATAAGAGTACTTATAAGTTGGTGCAAAGAAGATTTTGCCTTCGTGCCATCCTTTGAACACTCGACCTGCGTCTCTTTCAATCTTGAGCTGTAATTCGTTTCAGAAACAATAAACCGGTTTAGCTTTCTATTTTGAGGTAAGATCACACTGAAATTTGATTTCTTGCGAGAAAAGGAACCGTTAGTGAAACCTGATCTTTGTTAAGAAGAGTGTCCCAAGCGTTTTTATCCAAGAGCGTCTTTGTTTCAGAGTAACTCAAAGCTATTCTGTAGTTCAAATCTCCGAGCCATATGACCCGACTGAGATTAAAATGTAATAAGAAAATCGGAGATTAGCCAAGGTAGAAAATATGGTGAATTGTAGAAGATTGCTAAAGGTCTCACATTGGACATAAGGTAAAGACCTAAAGAACATAAACCAATTCATTCATGCCGGATGGTTTTGAGTTGGAAGCCTATAAATGTTATGATGATATTTGTGTTCTTAAATCTTACTCATGCTTAGTGATTCGATCAGGGACACGAGTAAAAGAAGTTCTGCAGATTCTAGGGAAAGTTGTGTTCTTGAGAATCTCGATCACATCTGAGTTTCTGCGACGTTCGTCTCCTTCTCTCTCACCAGAAGCTAGATGACTGCAGATGAAGCAGAAGCTAGTCTTGTAGAGCTGCAAACTCACAGCTATGCATCCCTATGATGAATAAGAAGAGAATATCAGAAACAGAGCTTTTTTACTTGTTATGGTTTTTAGTGTGAGTGTTAAAAGTACTGTACCTTGTTTCCTAAGCAACCCATGATTCCGCGGGTGACGCTGGAGATTCTGAGATGAGAAACGTGTTGGATAAGTTCTTTTCTCATCCACACAGTGAGGAATATTCCCACCATTTGCTTTGATGCTACTAAGCCATACTTCATCATCATCTGGTTGCTTACAAGAGAAGCAACTTTTTCTCCTCCTTCATCCTCGTCTTCATCATCATCGTCATCATCATCCTCGTCTTCTTCGTCATCAGAAAGTACACCGGATTGGTTAACTAGACCTTCCGGACATCTGAAACAAGATTCTCTCCCATACTTTTTTACAATCTCTTCAGAGAAAGTGCTGCAGTTACAGATCTTCAGCTTTCTCCTGCATTCTGTTCTGAAACTCTCACTGATCTTCTTCAAAGAAGGTTTTGCAAAGAACATCGATCCAGCGCCAAAAGATGGAGTTTTTGGACCAAGTCTTCCTCCAGAAGATGATGATGATGATTTATTCAAGGATTGATTGATCATAGCTAACCATTTCGCAGCAGGCTCGTTGTCTCCAAGAACAAGGACATTTCCAGCATTCAATGGAACAATCTCCTGAAAACTATGAGAAAAGATTAAATCGATAACCCTCAAGACACTAATCCATGAAATACACAAGAGATTTAGAAATTGTGTACCCTAAAACGTATATATCATATTCGCTGTGGACGTGAAGCAAAGCATCGAGATTAAGACCAGAGTGTGGAGATTTTCCTCCAACGTTCCATGTCGCCACAAAGACTCTTCATATATTCACAAAACCAAAACATTAGAAATAAAAACAGAGCATCTCTGTTTCGAGGGATAAAACAAAAAGGAGACTTTCATTACAGAACAAATCAAGAATCCATACAGAGAAAAAAACACAAACAAAGATGTATAACTATGTGTATATATACCTTAAGGATTGGATTTGCTGAGTGAGCATTGAAGATCTGAGATTGCTTGAAACTAAAAGAGATTCAACTACTATCTCGGATTGAGACCCTGCAAAAGTAAAAACAGAGCCAAAAAATAGCTGCAAAATATGAGACAGAGAAGACAAAATTCTGAAGATAAACAGAGACACACATGTAGATAGATATATACACAGAGGGACATACTATTAAATATATAGAGTGGATCCGACATGTTTTGTTCTAAGAGTTAAAGCGACTTTCTTTAGAGGGTTCTCATGGTATGGCCGTATGGGGGAGAATTCAAGAGCTTTCTTCTTCTGGTTTGGTCTTCGAACACTAAAGAATTATCAAACTATACAAACTATACGTTTTTCTTATTATTTTATATTTTTTAAAAGAAGAGATCTTTATCAGTTTAGGAAGCAAAGATAAGAAAGAATTAAAATAATTGAAAGAATAGATTCTGAAAAAGTCTGAAATCAAGAACACTGTTCCCTTGCTTTGATACTTATATGCCCCTGTTGTTCCTTTGCTTTTTCATTATACAAATCTTCTTCTTCCTTTTCATCTTTTGTTTTTTCTATTGTGTGGTGTATAGATAGATAGACCTGGATTACAATATATATGAATCCTTTGACCGAACTTTGATTACTTCACTTAGAAAGTAACGTTTTTAGTGCACATATATATGCGTGTGGTATATGTAGAGCCTAGAGCAGTCCAATAAAAGATCAACTTTAGTTTGTGGTCTTACAATAAAGTGTTATGTTTTATTCGACGATTTTAAAAATGAAAACTAACTATTTGATTCGGTAAACTTTTGAACTTGATGTGATTTAATTGAATAGGACATTTGAACATAGTTGTATATTCTGCTAGAACAAAACCAACTTGGAGATATCCATTTAAGATGATGTTATCATATCGAGCCTAGAAGATAGGCAAGATGCGTTTTAAAGATGAACAAAATCATTTGGATTTCTTGATTTATGTATTCTGCAACCAAATAAACCAAAAGGTAACACAAAGAAGACGAATCAAATCAAACAACTCTCTACTAGTCTAATCACAGAATCTGATGCTTTCTTTTTCTTTCCAAAAAAAAAACAAGCAACAAAAGAGATGTGGATGAAGGAATGTTACAATACAGAAGAGGTTTATTCACTTCCAGGTGAAGAGTCCTGATCAAGACTCGTTTCCACAACAGGGACCGGGTCTGATGCACGCCCGTGAACCCTGAACCGGTAGATGCAAGTGTGCGAGTCGCTTCCATGGTTGGAGGTGAAGTCTAGCCTGACAGTATCGATTGGACCAGAGTTTGATGAGTCTAAGATGTTGAATGTTTGTGCGTTCGACCTATCTAGGTCGTAAGTGAACTCTGTTAGAAGTTGCATGTTCTCATTCTCCGCTGAGGATTCCAGTCCTTTTCCTTGTCCTTGCAGCCATCCTGATACACGGCAATCTTTTGGAGCACTCGATCTGTCGTAAGCTACACTCTGTTCATTTTCACAATGCATGAATCCATCAGGTCAGTGTACATATACTCCCCAAAATAAGAAAGACCCAACAATGTTCAGAGATTTACTTATGAGCAATGAAAACAGTAAGTAATGAGCTTATCCAATTGTATTCTTTATTTCATTTCACTCAGTTATTGTCACTGATGAAATAACCCCGAATAACAAATAGTCTAGTCCCAGTGATTGCAAATAGAAACAGAAGATAACACAAAACCCTCAAAAGATCCATTTATGCATACTACTTGAACTCTTTGACAAAGGTTTGAGATCCTTCGATAGAGTGGCACTGTGTAATGTATTCCATAAGAGAATGCCAGAAAAAAACAGGCAAAAGGTCTTAAAGAAACTCCTAGAGGTAAGTGGCACACACAGAATTGGAGAACTATGACGAGACCTACTGGATGATGAAGAAACTTATTAAGTAACCATAGTCCTCTTCAGTTCATATCTTTTGCAGCTACGACCTAAACTAACCTCAAGGCTAAACCAAACAATTTCATAAAATGTTATACTTTCCCACTAACCGTCAGACAGAAAATTCCGTCATCTTTACCAGGCATCTCAATATCAAACCATTCTACACAGAAACTCCTATATATGAGCTAATAATGTTCTTTAAAAATGCAAACACCACAGGTCGTAAGAGCACACAAGAAAGAAAACTGATACTAAGACATAATTATTTTGCAGTGCAAGTATCATTACCTTAGCTACATGCTCCAATGTGAAAGCCTCTGGTATGATTGGTCCTCTCAGCCTGATTTGCACATAACCATCGCTACCTTTCAGAGGAAAACACTGTCCAGGCTCCCCAAAACTCGGAGATAACATCTTCACCGCATTGGTATGAGCGCGTCGCATGGTAGTCGCAAACCAGCTACTCCCTTTTCCAACAAGATAAGGATCTGAATGCTGCATCACAAAAGCACCACCAGAAGCCAATGCATAATCAACTCGGCCAAGGCCATCTGCAGCATGTTTCTCAATCTCTTTCTCCATAATGTCACGAGCATAAGCCCTCAACTCATCAATGCTAATCTCACTAAAAGCAGAATCATCCACATTACCCTTCTTCAGTTCCTCATAAATCCTCTCTAACTCATCTTTCGTCACCCAAGGTTTAGCATTTACTTCATCTACTGACTTCTCTAGTGACTCAGTTCTAGATTCTATCTTCTTCAACTCACTCTGAAATGCAGAAGCTTTCCTCTCGATTTCTTGCCTCAGAGCTTTTGCTTCCCTCTCCATCTTCTTATCAAGTAATTCAACTTGAACCTGCATAGTACTCGTCGTGGCCTTAACAAGACCATCAACTTCCGCAATTCGACTTTCTAATCCAGAAAACGCCATCCCCGTTTCATAAGAAGAAATCGGAGAGGACGGAGAAGAAGCCTTCAGAATCATCTTCCTCGTCAATTGAATTAACCCAACAATGATCAGAAGTGCCCCAAGCTGCTTTGCAAATATCCTCACCACTGTCTTCCACCGCGCTTTCTCAGGCTTAGGAGTCGCAACCTTCCGCGTCCGGCGCTGCGTGTTGGTGGTATTAGTCCCCGTCGCAGCGGAACCAGACCTCCTCGTCACAGGACCCAAATCTTGACCGTGAGATCGATCAACGATAGCCTCACCGCGGCTCAGATCTCTGCTCGTACCACCGGCTTCCCCAGCACCACCACCGTTCGCAAGCGATTCGCTTTGCGGGTAATCAAAGTTTGATTTTTTCTCTCCGGCAAGAATCGGCGTCCGTCTAGTCGCCGCCGCCGTATTAGCGGTGATCGACACCGTTGATGCCGACATTTGATCTGGTTTGACTACACAATCGCACCCTTTGGAAAAAAAGCAAATCTTTAGACAAATGTCGAAATCAAAACCCTAAATTCACTAGAGAGAGTTGGAAAATTCGAAAACTTTATTTGAAATTGAAGAAGAAGAGTAAACGATGTTCTCTGCGAATTCAATTTCAAAAAACTCTGAACCGTCTTCTCCGTTTGCTCAATTCCTTTTAACGGCGTTTCGTTTCTTCGTTCCTATGTTTTTTATTTCCAAATTTTACTTTTCTTTTTCAAAATTTACATGGCGTCAAAAATAACTGCAGCGGTTACTTTACCATTAATGAAAATATGGAATTATCTCTTCTAATTACGATTTACGAGAGGTTAAAGAAGATAAGAAAACTTTGCGACAGTAAAATCTGTGAACAACATTTCTCCAGTTATCACAATTTAAAACTACAGAACAATCTCTCAGATAGACAAACAAAACTCGTGTCAACAACTCAAGACCTTCGACTTGCTAAACCGGAGTCCCGCAGCTCCCACGCCGGTTTACTCTCTCTAGTAACATCGGACTTGATTGCTCGAACCAATGGCTTCATCACCAACAAGTACTGCATTTCAAACAAGTAAAAAAGATGAATAAATGATGCAAGATGTTTATAATCAAGTCTTATTCTGTGTTGTTGCTGAATGGTTCAGAGGCGCTTACTTGGAATGCAAAGATCAAAGGAATCAGTCTCTTTCCTCTTTGATTTGGGTTTGGCCCTTCCACCAGTTTTTTGTCAACGTGAATCGCCTTGTTGCCATTAAAAGAGATCTCTGTGATTGTGTTGAGCAGATTGGGAATCCAACTAGTCCCGTCTGGAAGAATCTGTCACAGGTTTGGAAAATCCGAATTCAAGATTGGTCCAACTACAAGATGCAAGAAGTAGATTACGTGGTCGAAACAACTGACCTTTTCATCGCTGTCATTCTTATGACATCTTCCACTGTTCTCAACAAGAATGATGGGTGTAGATGAACCCTATAGGTTAATGAAGCTATTAATTTCACTACTATTGAAGTAGTTACAGAGATTTGTGTGCGGGTGTAATATACTAGAAAGGAGGAACCCGCAATACCTGCAAATCCTGTTTCTTCAGTTGGGCGCCTGTACGGATAACTTTTAAAAGAGCATCAGATCTTCTGGAGACAAAGCTATTATAATTTAACCCGTCTGGCGGAGAGAACTGAGCATGTGTGAGAACAAGAGCAGACTTTTTCCATATCTCTTTTCCAAATGCATCGGTTATAGCACTGACAACTTGCCTATCAAGGTCATCCACCCGATATACATCCAAACGGTCTACATATAGTAGCACATCTATAGTCATGTTGAGGAGGAATCTGTTCAAATTCAACACCCACGAATCCAAATTAATATACATGACACAAATGAGCCACTAATTAGGAGAATAACTCCTTAGACCTGGAAACAGTTCAACATACCGTTTTATAATGTTGATGGCTTGATCATTCACATATCCTCCCTCAATAAGACCAGGAGTGTCAATGATATTCAATGTAAATCCCGATCTAGAGCGGGAGACCAAGGTAGGCCTCAGTCCTTCAGACTGTAAAGAGGGAAATCACACATTATATGAGAAGATTTAAAAGAAAGTTAGGAAATAGTCATGAAGACAAGCCATGAGAAGATCATTAAACTTGGCACCTGGAAAGTACTAACTGCAGCAGCTTTCTCTCCTATAACTGAATTCACAGTTGATGACTTTCCGACACCGCCTTTCCCCATTACAAGGACCGTTAGCGAGCTCACATCCTACACCAGTTTTTTTTTTCTTACACATTAGAAACTAAAACCAGAGAAACATGAAACAAGAAAAAAACAGAAAGAAGATGAAGCTAGTAATAAGAAAGGAACCTCTTCTTTAAACTTCCCAAGGATCTCGAGCAATTTAGATTGAGTAGCAGGTGGGAACTGCTGGATACCGATCCATTCCCGAGGCGTTTGCAAAGCTGCCATGGACACAAATCCTTACCTACACTTGAAGGAAAGCCAAAAGGATGACCAAAGAGAAGACTAAATCATCTGCTAAACAACTAAACAATCAGAAGACCAAAGAACAAATTTAGAACACCAAAGAAGAAAAACGAGTAATCGCCCATACAAGAAAAAGTCGTCTGATTCCACTATCTGAATCAATCCTATGACTTTCTAGCAAGTAATGTCTCTGAAAATCAAAAAGAAGAAAACTTTTCTACTAACAACAAAAACCCTTAAACTTCATCTTGATTTGTCTCCATCAGTTTCTTTTTCGAGATCTTTGAATGAATATAATCTCATTGCTTTAGTAAAGAACATGGCGCAAGTGGGCATACCAAGAACTAATAACTTCAGCACTAAACTAATCAAGTATTGACAGATAATCAGAATCCTAAATCCTGAACTGGGTCAAAAGCCAAAATATCAAATGAGCATACTTCAGATCAAATGAGGATACTTGTAAGTGAAAAAGGTGAAAACCGGATAAAGCAAGAAAACGAGAGAGATAGAGAGGGTAACCTACCTGAGCTAGAGTTATTAGTGGCGGATATTCGTCGCCGGATTCGCTGACCTCGTATCAAATTAAAACCCTAGAAATGAAATTGACTTTTGAAGATGATTGATTGCTACAAATCTCAGTACAGAGTTAAAGTACATTCCTTTCAAAATTCAACCGGATTAAACCGAATGTCGTCGGTCTTCACCAATGACGAATTTGCCCTTTTCGCATTTTGTTAAATAATTTCATGCTGTGAAAATTTTAGGATACGATGGGCTGAAAAGCCCAATAAGCCACTGAAACGGCCCAAGTTACTTGTCCTTGTTTTTGTGGATCGTCTTTTCTAACACACACTAGGATTTAACCTCAGACTCGTTTCATCTTTTTTACTCGGCGAGCTTGTGAAGAAGAAAACTGGTGATTTCATCTCCTTCGATCACTCCCAAGGTATCGTCTTGTTCTCTCGCTCTTCGTCTTCGTTTCTGGTCATGATTTTCGTTTTCCTTTGTATGAACTGCATTACTGTGGAAGTTTTCTGGATCTCCATCTTAGGAATTTTCTCCTTCTTCTAAATTTCGCGATCCTGTTTCATGAATTTGATCCGCTTGTGTTGATTTCGATTCTACAGTTATGTTTTTCGATTATGAGCCTCTGATTCTCTTAGATCCGTTGGATCTGCGGGATTTCATCTGAGTTTCTTTTTGTATTGTTGATTCGCTAGTCTAGTTTCGTTTGGATTCGTGTATTCGTTCCTTACCAGATGCTAGATCTCTTCCCCTGATTACGTGATTTATGATCTCGAAGATCAAATCTCGTTTGTTTCTTCTGATCTCGCTCCAAGTGGATTTACTCTAACATTGGTGCTTTGTATTTCAGATTCACATTACCTTTCTTATAGCCGCTGAGATTGTTCGAACCTGAATAGCAAATCAAAATGGTATTGAGTTCTGTTCTATGAATTTTATTGTTTGATGAGTTTTTTGGTTTGATTATTGGCAACTTTACTAAATTTGTAACATGTGCTTTATAGGTCGTGCTTGCTGCTTCCATTGTGGTCAAGTCTGGGAAAGGTGAATTCTACGTCTATCTTTTATTTTGTCTTCGAATCCTAGTTTTTCATTACTTTTGCGTTTTCTCTAACTTTGTTCTTTTATATAGTGCTTGTTTCCAGACAATATGTGGATATGTCCCGTATCAGAATCGAAGGTCTACTTGCAGCTTTTCCTAAGCTGGTTGGAATGGGAAAGCAGCATACCTATATTGAGACAGAGAATGTGCGATATGTTTATCAGCCTATTGAATCTCTGTTCCTGCTTCTTGTTACAACTAAGCAGAGTAACATTCTAGAAGATCTGGCCACCCTCACATTGCTCTCCAAACTTGTATGCTTCTTTCTTCTTTTATATTTTAGTTCTTCTACTTTATTTGAGGAGTTTATTTCCTTGAGTCTGGATGTGTACTGGTTCTTAGTTCTTTTGAAAAGTGAGTGTTCCTAGTGCTGTTAGCACCTTATCTTCATTGCAGCCCAAGGCATGCAGTTTGATCATTTGAGTGTTTCTAGGTACCTGAGTATTCCATGTCTTTAGATGAAGAAGGGATTTCCAGGGCTTCTTTTGAGCTGATATTTGCATTTGATGAAGTCATATCTCTTGGGCACAAGGAAAGTGTGACAGTTGCCCAGGTGAAGCAGTATTGTGAAATGGAAAGTCATGAGGAGAAGTTGCATAAACTGGTAATGCAGAGCAAGATCAATGACACTAAAGACGTGATGAAGCGTAAGGCTAATGAGATTGACAAAAGCAAGGTACATGACAGGAGTGCACCCTGCTGTTTTATGCTATTTTTTGTAACTCCTATTAATATTTCTTATGTAATTCCCAGATTGAAAAGAATAAGCCAGGATATTCGTCCATTAGTTCAATGGGATCTGGAAGACTTGAAAGTAGTTTCAGTGAATTGGGCATATCCAGTGGTGGTGGTGGCGGTGGTTTTGGAAGTGGTTCTGGGTTTGGCATGATTTCAGATGTCGACCCTATCAATACCAAACCAAAAGGTTAGTGTGCTTTAACTAGTGGATCTTTCACAGATGACCGTTCAATCCCAAGTATTCAAATCAAAATGCCCTTCCATCTATGGTTTCTTAAGTGCCTCTATATATATACTTGATTTCGATATGAAAATCTAAATTCTTATCCACCGTTCTTAACTTCACAGATCGATCACGGTCTTCTGTTACTGCTCCTCCTAAGAGTTCTGGCATGAAACTTGGCAAGTCGGGCAAGAACCAGTTAATGGAGTCCCTTAAAGCAGAAGGTGAAGACATCATTGAAGATGTTAAGCCTACTGGCCAATCCAAAGCAGCTGCCCCACCTCCAACTGATCCTTTCACATTAACTGTCGAAGAGAAGCTCAATGTTATATTGAGACGAGATGGTGGAATCAGTTCCTTTGATATGCAGGGAACCCTGTCACTTCAAATTCTTAACCAAGAAGATGGATTTGTCCAAGTCCAGGTACTCCAACGTTCTTTCTTAACTATTTCCAAGAGTTTCCTAGGCATTTTACAGTTTTCTTAAATAGATCACTTTCTGTATTTTATCTTTGTATGAATACAGCTATGTTTTACTTTGTCTTCAGATCGCAACCGGTGAAAATCCCGAAATTCTTTTCAAGACCCATCCCAACATCAACCGAGATATGTTCAATAATGAGAATATTCTAGGGCTGAAGAGACCTGATCAGCCATTTCCCACTGGTCAAGGTGGAGATGGTGTTGGTCTTCTCAGGTGGAGAATGCAAAAAGCAGACGAGTCAATGGTGCCACTAACAAGTAAGGCTGTGGAGGTTATCGTGTCTGTTTTTGACAGGTTTACATGTATATGTTTGTCCCATTCATGCAAATCTTTTGTCTGGTGCAGTAAACTGCTGGCCTTCTGTCTCTGGAAATGAGACATATGTCAGCCTCGAGTATGAAGCTTCATCCATTTTTGATCTGACCAATGTAATCATCTCCGTACCACTTCCTGCACTGAGAGAGGCACCCAGCGTTAGACAATGTGATGGGGAGTGGAGGTTTGAAATAGAATTTGACTTTTTTTTTCACGCTGGTTATCTCTTTATTTGTTCTGAGAAGAAACTCATAATTGTTTAAACCAATCTTAAGAACCAACCATATCTTTGTTTCTAATATCAGGTACGACCCAAGAAATTCTGTTCTGGAATGGTCTATACTTCTTATTGACAACTCCAACCGCAGGTAACTAATAATGACATCATCTGCTTAAAACTACAGTAGAGTTTAGTTTGTCATGTGTATAATACATGAAAATCTTGTTGCAGTGGGTCAATGGAGTTTGTTGTGCCACCAGTGGATTCATCCGTGTTCTTCCCCATCTCTGTTCAGTTTGCAGCCACAAGTACTTACAGTGGCTTGAAGGTATGAATCTTGGTCCTCTGGACAAAACCCAAGTTCCATATTTTGGTTTAAATGAGAATTCAAGGCATTTTTATGTTGGGTTACAAATGAGAGGCTTGTTCACAACGGTGCAGGTGACTGGAATGATACCTCTGAGAGGCGGTGGTGGTGCGGCTCCAAGGTTTGTGCAGAGGACGCAGCTGATTGCACAGAGTTACCAAGTCATATGAGATGCTCCTTTTGGAGCCTCGGTTGTTTTTATTTGCTTCTATACTATCTGGTGTTGGATTTCTCTCTTTTTTGTATGCCAAAAGTACAATCTTAATTTTCTCGGATTCTGCTAGGACTTCTTTCTCAGCTTACTTCTAAGACATTATACTTATTCATATCTTTTGTTTTTGCCAACTTCTTTTTCAATGTTAAGGATATAAACTACAATTACAGTCTCGCTTTCTTACTTCTTTCACAGGTAACCAAAAAATTCATTGCCATTTCATTTCAAATCATACAAACATTATTCATTTACAGATTTTTGTGTCGTTATTTAATTAAAGATTGCATCTATATATTTAACATAAATCAGTTCTAATAGTTGAAACCCAAGTTTTAATCACAAAAAAAACATATTAACCAAAATAATTATTTAGTTAACTAATGTACTAGCTACGTAATTAATGAAATAAAATGATAAACCAATCTTGTACAACCACATCAAATCGGAGATCACATGCAGAGGTTATCTTTCAGTTAATATATAAGATTTTAATACTTGAACATGATAGCTGAAGTCCGATAAATAATTTTTATTCGAATAACCAAGAACATCACTTAGTAAATATTAGATCCCACAAGAATTTCCTCCAGGTCCACCATATTTGAACAAAATTAACTTCTTTCCATCTTTTAGACCATAACATTTGTTACTGTCTAAAAGTTTCTCTAACTTATATTGGTCACTTCCCTTGACCACAAAATCATTATCTATGAACTTAACTTCTCCAACACGTGCCGATCCTGCGTCATCGTCAGTTGGGAAATGACCATTACCCATTGGTGGGCTTTGACCAGAAGGAGAAGCCTGGACTGATCCTGTAACTCCAACAATGTTTGCACTCTTACTAATAAGATCAAATAGTTCTTTTGGCCAATAGCCTATATGTACATCTGGTTCATTGCTTCTTATATCTGTAGTCCACCAATTTCCTGTTTTTTTGTCCTTTAATCAATAGATCAATTAAAATATATATACTGTGTTAGGTTTTCTATACTACAAAAATCATATTTGTTTCAAGAAGAATGTATTTATTATATAACCTGTTGAATAGAAACAGAAATAGCTCTTTCTCCTCCTGCGGAGAGTTGAGGTAAAGGCCCACTTAAATGATCAGTTTTTGATACTTGAACAAAACCATGACATATTGTATTATAACAACCTGCTCCGTTAGCTCCCTGTTTTTGTTTAGTGTTAATATTTTTAATTTCATTCTTATGGTATTTGAAAATAGTTAGAATTGGTGTACATAAGAGGCCATCAAATATGAACATATATATATATATATATCGATAAATGTACCTTCCAAAACCCATAACTCCATGCACGTCCGTCACCAAATAAACTTGGATTTATCTGTGAATTAAATTAGTGTATTCTCTTTTTAAAACAAATTTATATTAAACAATCTAAAAATATTATAAAAATAAATTTACCATCCAACCGGTTTGGATAAAATTAACTTTGTTGTAGATTCCACTGCCAATATATATGTGAGCATATGAAGCTTGATCTCTACTAATATTCAAGTCATGCACACTAAGCGAAGCTATCACACCACGGTAAGGACCTTGATCTGTTGTTCTAACTCCAGCAATCTTCAAATTCTCAAATTTATAACAAGTTTATTATATCCTACACATTTGAAATATATTCATAATTGTAACTCAAATATTCATGTAGATTTGCTTACATGTGTCCCATGACTATCGGTTGTAAGGGGATTTAAGTGTTTTTCTGTCCAATACTGAGCATTTGCAACATATTTTTTTGTATTTCTTATTATAGGAACTGTTCCATTAGGACACTCGATGATATTTTTTCTTTCACTTTCACCTTTAACTTGATTTTTTGGTTTGGCGAAAGATGGTTCCAACTACTCAAAATCAAAGAGTTGCAAGATAGATACTTGAATTTCTATATTTGGCACAAACTATATAAAAAAAAGAATGTATTTGGGATAAACAAGTACATATGTTATTGTATACCTTAAGAAGATGCATAGCCTAGAAAATATTTTATTGTTCTATTAAGAGATAGAGAGAACCATATGTAAAAATGTAAATTTGTGAATAAATACCTGAACTTTATGATTTTGAAGTAGTGGATGACTTAACGACGGTTGTTTATATATATCCACACAATCATATATGGTGTTCTCATTTAACTATAAATAAATTTGAGATCAATATCATAAATTACTATAAAAACAGATATATGGAATTAATATCATAAATTAATCTACAAAATATCTGTTTGGACTTGGATGTGTGTACATATATGTATTATTTCTTCTTTCAATTTACCTTTACGGACATCAAATCTTTTACATTTCCTTTAGATTGAACTATTGAAACTATGAAAAGGAATCCGACGAGTTTAAAAACAAAATCCATGGATTAGAGATCAATATTTTCTTGAGAGCTTCCAAATAATTTCGTTGTTTTTAGATGTACATTTACACCCAAATATTGAAGTATTTATATTAGTTAAGGGTGTTCAAACTATGTTTGGTTCTAGTTTTTAGTTATCTTTTTTTTTCTTAAATTTATTATCATATAAATAAATAACAAAGTTACACTTTATCCATATTGGATGTAGAAATTTCTCCACTTTATTTTTATTTTATTTATAAATTAATTAATTTCTTTAATGTTCTGAATTTCTTTTGCTTTACCAATATTTTTTCATATTTGTATAAGTTTTTAATTTATTGAGATTTAATCTCATATACATAAATGCATATTTTCTCCATCTTATTAGTTTACTTGCATTTAAAAAAAAAAAAAAACAATATACATTGAATATGTTTTACTCTCTTAATTGGTCCATCTAGAACCTTGTTAATAAAAAATATTACTCAACTTGGATTTTTAATAGAACAATTAGTATATACATTAACTTGTTTAAATTTCCCTAAATTTCTGGTTTAATTATATAAGTATCTGTCTTTAAAATTTTAATAATCACTGTATTGTATTTTTCCCCCAATTTACCTTGATAGATTTCGAAACTTTTATAGTTTCTCAGGCTTGAAATAATGAGAGAAATAAGAGATTATACTGTATCTTCTTAATGGTTCACTTAATTAATTTATTCTTTATATAAACTAATAAATACACTTTGATATGCTTACTTTTACTTAATTTTTCGATTAACTGCAGCAAATTATGTGTTATTTTTGGGATTTCTGCTTTCTAATATACTACACTTTTGATATGAAACCTATATATCCACCGCAAATTCACTTTTTCTGTAGTGGACATAACACGAATTCACGAAGTATTTTGTCGTTTGTTTGTTAATTCAAAAGTATCTCATGCCACATCTAAAAAAGGTCAGGACAATAAAGCAAGAAAACTCACAAAGGTAAAAACACACCTAAAAAACCTCATCAAATCATAGGAAAGCTTTCCTTGGAGAGAAGTTTTAACGAACATTAAGCAGTTCGACATCAAACACCAGCCAAGCGTCAGGAGGAATCTTGGTACCAGCAACTTCCGCACCATACCTACCATACCTGGGAGCCAGACAATATTATTATCTATTTTAAGAAATAAGGTTAAAATAAAAACATCACATTTATGAAAAAAATAATATCAAAAATGATTTGCAAAGGCTTTAATTTACCCGAATGCTGGAGGAATGGTAAGCTTTCTTTTGCCACCAACATACATTCCTTCAAAATATTCAAAAAAGAAAAGAGATAAAAACAACATTCTCGATGAACATTATATATAGAGAGAGTGAGAAAAATCAAAAAAAAAGTAAGAAAGTAGCTAGATTACCATTAACACCAACATCCAATCCCTTAATGACTTTTCCAACACCTGCATGCATGTAACAACAAGCACATAAGTATCAAAGTACCACTCACAGACTAATAAAGCTCTTCTTTTCGCAATCTAGTTATAATACCAACCTAGACGAAACTTATAAGGAGATTTTCCAACAGTGGAATCGAAAATCTTCCCATTTTCATGAAGCTTTCCAGTATAATGGACAGTAACCTGCACTCAGAGAAAAGAGAATGAGCCCCAACATTGACATCTCTTATCAGACATTTGTTTGTTAACTTTCTATCCAATATAAGTAAGGCACTAGTTTGTTCGATTCTTAATTATCCAATGTCAATTCTTTAAATGTGCACATTCTTACCACACTGCCACTTGTTGCATAATCTATGACATTGCAAGTAATCATGTAAGAAATTTAGGACCGCATACCCTTTTGCCAGGACCAGCTTTCTTGCCATTGGGGTTGCCCATACACAAGTCGTCAACATTGAGCTCATCTGGGTCAGGCGTTTGCTTCTCAACACTAGTAGAAATGGCTTTATACTCCACTGTAGCTTCCTCACTTATCTTCTCTTTCTTCTTAGCAGATTCAGATGGGGCCATGGAGCTTTCACTCCTGCAATAATACCAAAAGAAAAGAGCATAGAAATTTATAAGATGGGAAAGAATTTGAAAGAACCATTTACGTGTGAGCTAATAATTAATATCGAATACCAATAACAAATGTACTAACTGATATATCCCATATGACATGACTACTTTTGATTATCCCAAAAAGAACAAAGAAGTTAAATAATATTCAGTTTTAAGGCAAAGTCAAGTAGCTAAAAAAACCTCAAGCTGACTTCTATTCATTGTTTTGAAAAGAGTATGCCGGAGGATCTTATATATGAAGGAATTTAGTTAAAACCATTTCAATAAGAAAAGCTAAATTTTACAGTAATATTTGAATTGTGGTTATAGGATACAAAAGTGACTGGAGAAGGATAGAAAAGTTTGTCAGAAGATAAATTTACCTGCTTTTTGGAATGGCTGCATCCATGGCAGAAGGATCTTGGAGAGGAGGAATAGGTTTACTGAAATTGACGCGGCGGCGAATGAGGCGTATAGGTATTTCCGGTTTGGCAGTCACCCAAACAGCTAATTTGCGTCCTCGCATGTAGCTCCCATTAAGTTGAGTCACGGTATCAGCTACGTCTTTTCCGTGAACAGAAGCTCTAACTGAGCTGAAAAATTATCAACAAAATACACAAGTCTCTAGTCGTTAAAGAGTAATTTAAAATAAATTGAAAGTTGGGTAACATGGGAGAAAGAAGCCACAAACCTCTTCTTGAAAAAAGAGAGGCGTCTGATAGTTCCATATGGAGAGAAAAGTTTAACCAAAGCCCTGGAGATTTGACTCTTCCTAAGCGAAGTGTCATATCCTTCAACTATTACAACAACCCTACTGCAGTAATAGGATATTGCCGGAGATGATAAACATTATTATTATCAACAAATCTTATTTTTTAAAGAAATCAGTGTTTACTCGTTTGCGTTTGCCGGATACGGATAAGCCTCAACAGAGACATTCCATCCTCCCACGTTACTTCCAGTAAGTTGCAAGGCCTTCTCTACTGCGTCTTGTCCCCCCAGTAAACACATAACACCATGACTGAAATAACAACAACAACAACAACAAGTGAGCTGATATTTAACTTGAGCTGATGAATTGGAAAGAAATGGAGGAGGAAGAAGCCACCAAAACCTGTTGAGACTCGTCTTAGTCTCATCAAATTTTAAGGGAACATAAATCTCCCAGATCTCTCCACATGAAGAGAAATGTTCTGCCAATGCCGTGTAGACATCATCAAGAGGAAGACCAGTGTCATATCCCGTAACCTTAATCCTCCCAACGTCACTGCAATAATAATACTATCAACGTGACATCTGAAAACATGCATCATCTTACACATACCAATTTCTCAATTTACCTCAGTTTTGGAATGTTATTCCGTTTCGGAACCTAAAAAGTAAAAGAGATCAAATCAGAAACACTACTAACTAACTTGAAGTAATTTTCTTACAAACTTGTGAAGAAACCATCAATTGAGAAACAAAGATAAGAGACCAGAGTGAATCAGAAAAGCCATAAGAGTAGAGTAAGAAGAAGATTACCATGGTGGATGAGAACAACATGGCTAACCCTTTTACAGATTTATCAATTTAGGTCTGGTATTTATAATTGCTTTTTTCTTTTGGGCCTTGAATTTAGTTCTGGCCTGGACTCTAAGGCCCATATGGTCCTTCGACGGACTTTTTACCAACACATACAGATACAGTAGTACCCCTTTTCATGTTTTCTTGTCTTAAAATTCGTTTTTTTTTTTTTTTTTTTTTCCTATTAAGTATCTTACCACCATTATCAATAGATTCTTACATAGACTTCCAAACAATTTTGATAACAAAATAATGTTTAAATATTAGAGAGACTCTTAAAAAAGGAGAGAGTTGATCCAAAAACTCTTAGCTAAGAACCATTTTTCTTATTTTAAGCATACTTTCTTATTTTTTTTATTATTATTTTGTTTAATATAATATTTTGATAGTTCTTGTGATATTTTTAAAAACCTATTGATAAAGATGCTCTTATGAGTTTCGTGAAGCTCTCTGTTCCAATGTCCCTAAGACAAAATTCCAAACCAAGTAAAAAAAAAAAAAAAACTTGTAAATAAAATCAAATTTCGAAATGTAAAATTTGATCTCGTATGTGTTGTGTAAAAAAAGAGAATCAAATAATTTTGCTTGTATTTGTATTTGCTGCACTGCTATCACTTGCTATATACATAACCTGTTTCTTGTTTTTATTTAGCAGATGCCCTTGGCTGCTGTAGTGATTATGGCCTGCAGTCGTACAGACTATCTTGAAAGGACAGTTAAATCAGTTTTAACGTGAGATACTAGACTGCTTCAATTTTTACAGCAAAACTTTATTGAACTGTCTAATGGCTAATTCTTTTTTTTTACAGATATCAAAGTCCCGTTGCTTGAAAATATCCTCTATTTTTATCTCAGGTACTTAATTTCGTACAATTGTAGGGTGGTTGTCTCTTACTTAGTTTGATATTCAATGAATTAGTAACCATGGTCTTCACGAACGACAAATTTTCTGACAGGATGGATCTGATCAAGCCGTCAAGATCAAGGCCTTGAGCTATAATCAACTAACATATATGCAGGTAATTTTATTCTAGTGTGATTTTCTCCTTACTGTTCAAGTAATTTTGTCATGTAGATAAGTGAGGATGAAGGCTCTTTTTCCTTTTTTTAGCACTTGGATTTTGAACCAGTGATCACTGAAAGGCCTGGCGAACTGATTGCGTACTACAAGATTGCACGTAAGAACTGGTTTCTCCTTTCTCTGCGTCCCTCTAGCTCCATTACTGAAACACTTTTTAATACAGGTCACTACAAGTGGGCACTGGACCAGTTGTTCTACAAACACAAATTTGGCCGAGTGACTATATGAGAAGGTGACGCTTTTTAACAATTCTCCCTCATTGTACATTGCTGTTGTACTGTTTAAGAGGGGCTTTCTGTACCTTGTGGAGTATTGCTTAAGAGAGGTTGTCTGTCTCTTTAATAAATGATATGGAAATTGCTCCATACTTCTTTGATTACTTTGAGGCTTAGGGATAAGTATGTTACCTACTGAAGCTAGACTATTATAGTATAAGTTTCTACAGAGCATACAAATGTTTTATGGTGCAACCATGTGTAGAACCATATCCTGATGACTATAGTTTGACGCTTCTAAGACTTTTCTTAACAAATATCCACTTACTGGGATTATGCTGTATATCATATGAGTTCCCATTATCATAGTTGTTCTGTTTCTTTTTTACTTCTATTAAATTGGCCTATGCTCGCTGCATATGACTTCTGCTTTCTGTATGAAAAATGTATTATTGCAGGGGAAATTCGGTATAGCTGGACAGAGCCATCAGTTGTTTCATGTTCTGATTGTTGTTGGTGCGTTCACGCACTATAGAGCTGGGCTTTGTGTATCTTAAGTGGAGAGACATTGAAAGATGTTGAAGATGAAGATTAAAGATGAAGGAAGATTAAATGGAAATCTCTGATGTTTGAAATCTTGTTTGTAGCTTCATATAAAAGTTGGATTATGTAAAGTCTATGTGTAATCAATTGTTCAATTTTTCTTCTTTATTCAACAAAAGAATTCATATGTTGTTATTACTGATTACAGAAGCTGACAGAAGAATGTTCTTCATATAAAATGATTCCACTCTTGATTGCACCATTAGACGTATCATAATCCAGCGTCAACATCACATAAGCCTTCTTGTGAACTTCACGCAAGCCTTACTGGTTCCAGTCTGATCAATGAGTTAAAGTTCTTGGTCTAAATCCTATATGTACACTAATTTGTTAATTGATGGATACATGCATGCATAAACTGACTTTGAAAAACTTGAGAAATCCATAACAAGCTATCCTTTATAATATATTCATCGATCATGTAAATATGGGCTTAATTAACACCTCTCTAAATTCAAGAAGATGATGGTTCAGGCCTGCAAGAGCATACTTGGATATCAAAGGACAAGTAGAGAACCACTGCCTGGTAACGTTTTGTCTGGTTAACATCAGAAGGATCATTGGCTTCGAACGTGATATAGAGCGTGATTGCAGCAGATGGGTGAAAATTTGCTCTCAAAACCTTGACAAGTTCCAGTTTTATCCCCTACCACAATTATTTCGTAAGAAAGATTCATCAGCAAAAAAAAACACATAACCAATACAATTACATATTTCGTCAAAGAGATTCATCCATCTTTTTTTTTAAGGGCATATTAGATTACTAACCGTGTTTTCGTTGTAGTAGGAGATAGCCATGTTGGACAACCTGTTGAGCAAATCTCTGTTGGTTTCATGAGGCTCGCTAACCATGTTAGAGTCGTCGAGATTCACAGCTCCGCAACCGAATGTGTGACGCAGTTTCGAGAAGTCCACATCAAAACCCTAAATATATATATGTATAACCACCACAAATCAAAATTAATGAATCAAAAATTCAAGAGGGAGATTACAAACCCCGGTCTTGCCCCACTCTTCATCTAACAGGCGAAAATCATCTGACAAAGTTTCCCAATCATCCGAATCATAATTAGGGAACTGAGGTTCATCGTTGGCTGGCTCCTCTAACTTCAGCGTCTTAGGAGAAGGAAGTTCGGATCTCTCATTCTCAATCGATGATATCATCGCTGAAAACGAAACGTGGATGAAAACAAACCCTAACTTTATGAATTGGGTTTTTTTTTTTTTTTTTTTAAATATCGGTACTTGTTCTTAATTATCTTAAAAATCCTACATCAAAATAAGTTCATGACGTCATGTAATATATTTTGTGAAAGGAAAACTCATTTGAATGTTTAAAATTAAGAATGTGAAGAAAAGTACGTGAGACGGTTTAAAAAAAAAAAAAAAAACCTCAACTCTAAAATTTGTTCAATTTCAACTTAACTTCTTACATAAATCGTTTAATCAACCGACAATTTTACTAATGGTCTCTATCATCCATCTCTTAGCTACACTGCTTTATGATTTTCGGTGCTTCATTGTCATAAATCATAATAACATTGTTCAACAGGACACGTCCATATGTAACAAATCTTCATGAAACCATTCAATCAAAAACGAGTTCAAACCATCTATGAACGCACGAGATACACAATTTCTCACTGGATCTTATCTTTTACACATAAACTCTCTCTTAGAGAAAAAAAAAAGTACGACATATAAAGACCTTTCACTCGAATGAATTGTATAAGTATTTGAAGTTTTTTTGTTTGACAACAATTAAACAGATGCAAATTTATCCAAATGAGACAAATGGCCATCATAATCATAATAGTGTGACATAACATCCAAATTTATCCATTGCTACGTCGTATCTAATTTGTCATTAACTAAGTTCTCTCACTCAATATTCCTATAATATTTTCATACAATTAGTGTAGAAACTTGGAGTAATGAGAGCGGCAGATCATACAACTAGTGTTTTAACATACTTGGAAAAGAAAAAGAAACAAAAAAATACACATAGTTGCACAAAACGTAAGGTAGTTGAAAATAAGTTGATAACAAAAACAAAATTCTGTAGCCAAGTCTGGTTATAATACTAATGGTAGTCGTCAGACATTGTTGGAGGAATCATTTACTAATCATCGAATCTCAGACATTGTTCAAACTCTATCTCTTCTCTATAGTAAGTATCCACTATAAAGCAAGCGAAACTTAATTATATTTAGCAATGCATACTCACAAACTTTTCAGAAATTCAAGAAGAGGGTTTAGGCTTGCAAGAAGATACTTCAATATCTCCAGCTAAGTAGCGAACCATAGCTCGATAGGGCTTTGTCTGACGATTAACAACAGACGGATCATTGACTTGGAAAGAGATGTAGAAAGTAATTCCAGCAGATGGATGAAAGTTTGCCCTCAAAACCTTGCCCAATTCCAGACTAGTTCCCTAGCTACCACCAAAACAAATCAAATTTCGAAACATAGTCGTCATAGATTCATGAAAAAAATGTTTCCTTACATTGTCTGCGTTGTGCTTGGTGAGAGCCCGATTGGACAACATGGCGATAAAATCTCTGTTGGTTTGAGGCTCGTCAACCATTGTGCTGTCGTCAAGATCCAATGGTTTCCAATCGAAACAGAAGTTAAGTTTGGAGAAGTCGATTTCAAAACCCTGCACATCTCTCGGGAGAATCAGTTTTGAATCATGTAAAAGCAACAAAACCAAAAGAAACAGAAGAAATTTCAAAACCTGGCTTTTATCCCACTCATCATAGAACAGTTGAATTTCTTCCGGTGTGCCGTCTTCCGAATTATCCGAATCTCTATCATCGCAGATTCTCTCCTCCATCTTCTGACGCTTCCTCCTTCGGGGAAGTCATCACTAGAACCCTAATTTTCTTCAAGATCAAGATCGGATAGCCACGTGGCACTCATATATTTTTAAGGGAGATTGACATAAATAACCCCAAAAAAATTGTTTTTTCCAAAAATATCACCTCATTTGAAAAGTTCCACAAATAGCACCATAAACTTCAATTAAATTTAATGAAAATATAAGATAGAAAATAAAAAAGAAAGCAAACACTAATCTAATATTAAATTGAATCAAAATTGTTTTTAAATAGTGGGAATATATACCCTAATTTGGAAATAGAGAACCCAAATATAATACCACAAACTAATATTAAAATAAAAATCTCTTTTAAATGGTGAAAATATATACCCTAAATTGGAAATAGGGAACCCAAATATAATACCATAAACTAATATTAAAATGAATCAAAATCTCTTTTAAATGGTGGAAATATATACCCTAAATTGGAAATAGAGAACCCAAATATAATATTTTAAATTTATTTCTAATTTATTTTGTTGAATAGCTTTTATATAAAAGTTGTGGTATTATTGTAGTGATAAAATTTTTAGAACAAAAACACTAATAGTAAGTTAACTAGTGCTATTTTTGGAAGTTTATGAAGTGTGTGCTATTATTGTCAATAAAACTTGTTTTAGGGCCATTTTTAGGAATTTCTCTATTTTTAATTACTTTGTAAAACTACTCCAGAGATAATAACATTTGCCACGTGACACTCAACATTCCACGTTGGCTCGCTCGTGCCACAAACACTCATTACTAAATATCTTGAATTCTTGATTTACATTTTTTTTACAATAAATAACTTTTGTTTTTCCAATTAAACAGAAATAGGGAAAGATAATATTAATAACAAAAAATTGATCTGGATCATATTTTTCTATACAAATGATTTAAGTAGTAAAGCTAAAGAATCTTAGATGATGATCACGTAAGAAGAGAGACATCAAATAAAAATTTTATCCTTGCGGCACTTCTTCTTATTCTTTATCTATTATTGATTGATCCTAAATTTATTTTCAGTAAAAAAAAAATTACCGAAAATCTTGGAAACTATTAGAGGACAAAAAGAATTTGTTAGAGAGAGACAAAACAAAGACTGCATGCAGAAGGATTGGCTTGTATTGGATTATTAAGGAGAGAAAAAAAAACAAGAAGAAACAAAGAATTAAAAAAAAAAACACAGAAATCCCCAAAACCCATCTTTAATTTGGCTGATACCAAATCAAAAACTTGAGAATTTCTGAAACTCAGTTAAAAAAAACTTATAGAATCTTTGAATTTTTTTTATTTGTAAAGACAGGCTTCATGAATGGGTTTTTGAGGCAAGGGAAAAACAGAAAATGCAGAGGGAGAGAATGAGCAAGAAGAAGATTAGTCAGGTTCATTGCATTCCCTCTGGTGATCATATTCTCATGACGGCTTCTACTTCTAAACACATTTCTCAAATCAGATTATACAAAGCCTGGAAGGGTAACAACGTAATATTATTTTCTTCCTTCCTCCTCTGAAACACATTTCTCAATGATTGCCATCTTTGCATGAAATTGTCTCTTAATGCCAATATTACATGTTTTCTTTGCTGTTCCACCAGAATGTGAATATTATATGATGTTTGGTTTTGGTTTTGTTTCATCAGAGATTTTGCTGTGGTGGTAGACTAATCTTTGGTCCTGATGTATCATCTCTGTTCCTAACCTCCTTCTTGATTGGTGCTCCTGCGCTTACATTCTGTATAAGGATGCTCTTGTGGATCAAAAAAGGAGATCCTTTCTTCAACTATACCGTTCTAGCTTCAGGATTTATCCTCACCCTCTTGGATTTTACGTTTCTATTGTTGACATCAGCTAGGGATCCAGGAATCATTCCAAGGAATAAAACATCAATGAATCTTGAAGATGATTCAGATAGTTCCTTGACACAATCTATGGAATGGGTTAACAACAAAACTCCTAATCTCAAGATTCCAAGAACCAAAGACGTTTTCGTCAATGGTTACACTATCAAAGTCAAGTTCTGCGATACTTGCTTGCTCTATCGTCCACCTCGTGCATCACATTGCTCCATCTGCAACAACTGTGTCCAACGCTTTGATCACCATTGTCCATGGGTTGGTCAGTGCATTGCCCGAGTAAGTTCTTCCTCACACTTCTTGATCATATCTATCCACTCTTTGTTCGGAGAAAAATTGATTCTTGGTGTGAAACTTTTGCAGAGAAACTACCCGTTCTTCATCTGCTTCATTTCATCTTCAACATTGCTATGCATATATGTCTTTGTGTTCTCCTGGATCAATCTGATTCGACAACCTGGGAAGCTATGGAGAACAATGTCTTATGATATAGTGTCAGTCATTCTTATCGTATATTCATTCGTCGCTGTCTGGTTCGTTGGTGGACTTACCATTTTCCACTTCTATCTCATGTCTACAAACCAGGTACATTCCTTACCTTTATCATAGGATCACACCTAAATCTTGTTAGCTTGCTTTAGCCTTGAGAGCTTTCTTGTGTTGTGTCTGTTTTGCAGACAACATATGAGAATTTCCGGTACCGTTACGATAAGAAAGAAAATCCTTACAAGAGAGGGTTACTGAAGAATGTTAAAGAAGTATTATTTGCCAAGATCCCGCCTTCGCAACTAGATCTCAGAGCGATGGTCCCGGAAGAAGATGACATGACTATAGCATCTAACGGATCCGAGTATGAGTCAGAGTATAGCTCCTCCGTGAGATACGATACAGAAATGGGAGGCAAGCTCACTAAAAGGGAGAGTCCGAGGAAGCTTCCTTTGCCAACACGAAACTTAGATGATATCAAGGAAATTAGTGATAACTACGACAGATCTACGACAACTAGAGATGATGCTTCTGAGCGCGATCCTTCGTTCTTCTCCTCTCAACTAGACTTGCCCAAGTAACTGCAATGAACAATCTCTCACTGTTGTATCATCTTTGTCTATATTCTTTCGAACATTCTGATGAAATATAGCAAGAATTACAGACGACTGGTTCCAGATGTTGATGTGTCTTGTCTTATCCAAGATTACTCAGCAAAACCAGATGTAGATTAGAACACCAAAATGTTTAACATTCGGCTTCATTGGCAAACATTATTATTTCCCAGAATGAGAAATCCTCAAACAACAGATCTCTTACAAGTAAAAAGGAAACAACAGTTTAGGTTCCAAGAGCGTAAGACATTTGAGTGATAGCATCATCATAGTCTCTTCAAGCTTTTCTTTCTAGCGTCTACCTTCTTCTTATCTGCCTGAACCTTGGCCAAACCTGCCTCCCTTTTCTGAGTCGTAGTGACCACACTTGCAGATCCTGCTGTGGCTGCTACAACGACATTAGCCATGTGTTGTTGGTCTTGGGCACTCGTTACTCTCTTTATGTCTGTCATTGAAGAGGGTATTGCAGTAGCAGCACTAGGCGTCTCGTTGTTCGTCTGACCAACATTTAGAGCAGTTGTTGACTCTGAGATTGCTCCTGTCTTGAACTTCGGTTTTGGTTTAGCATGGATACCTGTGTAAAGCCTGCATACAGTAATAGTCCAGTATATAAGCATTTCATCTTTCGGCAAAGAAAAAGTAGAAGGTTTGACAACATTTGAAACCAAAGTAGATGGCTCACCTAGCATGCCTCGCATACTCGTCATAGTTTTCAAGTAGCATCTTGCCAGCTTGTTCATTTAATGCAGATTCTGGAAATGGCTCGATTAATAAGCACCTTACAACCTGTTAACATGTACAAAACACAGATCCTCAGTCTTCAGTTTTAAGAAACCGGTCAAAGAGATGAATACATAAGGGGTTAATCATCTTACAGAGAGAACATGTCTTAATCCAAGACTAGGGTTCCAATCCTTTTTAAGCGTGTTAACACATATCTCTCCATTAGAAGCAACATTAGGATGGAAAATCTTTGTCATGAAGTAGCCTGCAATGTCACTCAAGAAATTAGAAACCATTAATAAAAATTCTCTGTGTCTCTGCCTTAAAGTGACATGCATACCTTTAGGCGGTGAATGTGGAAAATCATGTGACAAAGCCAATTTCATACGGAAAACTCCGTTCTCATAAGGAGTACCAACTGAATGCAATCAAAGTAGAAGAACATCTTACTTTACATCATTCAACATTTATAATCTTGCACGAGAATGAAATAGATAGGGTAATAAGTGTGCACCTGGTCCTTCAATATCAGCACATATTTGTGAGAAATCCTCGTCATTTACCACAACCTTGATGCCATCTGGAGGAGATTCGTCTAGACTCTTCAGCTCCTTGGCAAGCTGCTTGATAACATTGGGTGGTAGATTCTCATTACTAGCCTGAGCATCAAAGAAGACAAATCAGAACAGGTACAACTTCAAAAGCTTTTCACAAGTTTCCAAGTAAGCACAATTCTAAGCAAGGAATACAGAGGGAGAGATAATTACCATGGAGAATTATAAACGTCCCCAGAAGTTCTTCTCCTCAGACTCAAGATAAACAAGCAGAAGCACCAATGTGATAAAATCCTTTTCTGGTCTTCAAGACTCAATTGCGATAAAACTGGGCAAAAGCCACAAAAGGTTATTGCATCGATTCCTTTAACAGATTTGAGTAAACTAAGTGGTCTAAGCAACATTATCCATTCACAGCATTAACGTTTCATCAACACATCAATTTGTCAGATCATAAATCCAATTCCACACCAAAATGAACTACTATTAAAGTAAGGCAATTGAGCAATATCGATGAACAAAAATCTAAACTTGTGGAGAAGAGTGAAGACATGAATTAACTGAGACTAAAGCAATATAATTGAAATCAGACACTGACAATAACGAAACGCATCCAAGACACGAGAACAAAGCCAACCAATTGATGAATCAAAGAAAACCCTAAAACGAATCAATTTGGGATCTACCGCAATCGACGAAGACAGAGACTCTAGGGTTTCCAATAATAACTCATAAGACTAAATTGAGGCTAAGTTAAATAAAAAAATCGACGAAATCTGAGAGAGAACACAGAGAAAGCAAAGAATCACATCCCAAGTCGATCATTTCAAGAAAGAAACAGAAGATTGCATTTTTTCATCAGAAATCTCAAAATACCTTCTTTACCAGAATTGAGAATCCGCAGAGAGTGAGAAAAGGCGATCCCTTTCTCGCTACCTCTCTCGAAGTAATGATTCAACTTGAAGAAATCGGAGAAAGAAGAAGAGAGAGAGAGAGGTTCAATTATTGAATTTTTATAAGAGAAATAGAGACAAATGTTTTTGTTTAATTTAATAAAGGAGCGTATCAAAAAAAGGAAAACGAAAAAAGCTTGAGGGTATTTTCGTAATTTAGGTGCCAGGCTGGAATTGACCGTTAGCATGTCTTCTTCTTTTTCACCCGCTAACTACTAAAGTAGCCGTTACTTGTGTCAGGTGTTTGTTCTTTAATTTTACTGATTTTGTTTCTGATCATCAAGCTTCAAATTTATTATTTTTTATCCCAAAAATGATATATAAACCATATTTAGATGCTAGATTTATAAGAAAAAAACACAACCCTAATCAAGGAATTTAAGTACACTTAATAAAAGTGCTTGTATTTATTTTGGTAGCATTTGGCTAAATGATCAAATCATAATCTTATTATCATTAATGATATATATCAACTTAGGTTGTTTTCCGTTTTGGCCAATAGATTGAAATTTGATAGACATTTGTTTGTTTGTGAGATTCTTTTTCTTTTGAGTAGAAAATGAATGTTGGTTGAGGTCTAGTGAAATTTTTGTGCAAACCATACTTTGACATGTAATTTTACTATTCTAGATTTTTAATCATATAATAGTTTACTGAAAATATTGTATAGAAAATCTATTTATCCCAAAAATAATAGAAAGATATATTGTCACAAAATAAGATTTTTGACTATTTCAAAAATACTAGAATAAATTATATGTAAACACAATAGTAAGCATGATTCTAAACTCATGTGTTGTGGTACAAGTTTGTTAAATTGTTCGCCTTATATCATTTTTCGTCAATTTGAAGGTGTGTTAAAACTTGCTGGATAAATTGGCATGGAAGAATCTTTATCCGTGATTGTTCTCGTCCAAAAGACACCTACGGATAAGAATGATGACGTTGAAGGTTTTAAAGATGATGAAAATTCTATTATCGTTGTTGGTATTGAAGGTCTAAGGTCACAAGACGACTAATTGACCTTCTTATGAGATTTTGACTCGTCGAAGACTCTTTGGACTCCTTCCCATCGCAGTCTCTCCAACTGTGCGTGAATCTCTAGAGGGGGTTGGTACAGACGAGGTTGATGGCACTCCCTACTTGGAGTTGATGGATAGTTACAATGTTGAAAACGAAGATCGTGGCTATCTCCGTTTTGCTCATTATCCATACTGTCAAACGGTGTTTGAGTATCTTGAATTGGAGGTATGTAATTACTTATTACAAAATGTATGTATACCATTTTCTATGACTTACTAATAATTTTTTTTTATTTTTTTTACAGCTATGATCTCTCACCTCCTCCTATCGGTGTGAAGAATTTCTATTTGACTCCAATTTCTCAACTCCTCATCTTCTACTTTTATCTATAACCGATACAAGTCTCCCAATAATGTGCTCATTTTATTTTCCAACTAATTGCAATTAATCCAATTATTATCCAACTATCAGAGTTTTTTTATATTGTAACAATTTTTTATTGGAGGCAGAACCGTACCTGACCACATTACCATGAAATATTGCAATGGGGCCACATTTTTGAGGGACCCCACATAATATTTTTTTTATATATATATACTAATTATTGTATATAGATCATAAAATATTTTGTGTTGCCAAAAAAATTATAATTATTATATTTATTTGAATGATAAAAAAAAAAGTAAGTTATTTTCTCTACAAATTAAGAGATTTTCTTAATCAAACAATCAAAAGTTTTGCTTAAACTAGTTATTTTTATTCTGTTCTATTGAAACTTTGATACTGTTTTTTTTCTTAATCCGTATGGGGCCCCCAATTTCGTTGGTCCGGCTCTGATTGGAAGTTCAAGCTAATGCATAAGGTTATGTTAATTAGTTGTGGATTCTGAACAAACATGGTGGATTATTGGGAAATTGAGTTGAAAATAGGTTTGAGAGAGTAGGGATACTCAAGGTTTTTTTGCTTTGATTCGTTCATAATTCATTGTTGATCATTGACAAGCAGAAGCTGAATTCAGCAAACAATAAAGCAAGAAAACTCACAAAGGTAAACCACACCTAAAAAACCTCATCATTGATTCAAATCTTAGGAAAGCTTCCTTACAGAGAAGTTTTAACGAACATATTAAGTCTTCAACAATGAGACTATCCCTTAACTTTATTATCCCTTCTTCTTCTTCTGAGACTGAGTTTGAAAGAAACATAACTTGACTTCCTTTTCTTCTTCTTCTTCTTAGAAGATTTATCTTCAACAATGAGACTGAAACAAAAAATGTACACTCATAAAGACATATTTATGAGAGACCTAATAATATCAAATACCAATAACAAATATACTTAAATAACATTCAGTTTAAGGCGAACAGATGGTTTTGTGATGTCAATTAGACAGAGACCAATTGAATGAGAAAAGTAGTCAATTAGATAGAGCCAATATCGAATAACAAAATCATAAATCCACTAACTGAAATTTCTCACAAATGACATGAATACTTTTGACCATCCCACAAGAACCAAAGTCCTTAAATAAAATTCAGTTTACACGAAAAAGATGGGTTGAAGTCAAGAAGCCAAAATCCTCAAGCTGACTTCTATTCATTGTTTTAAAAAGAGCATGCTTGAGGATCTTATATATGAAGGAATTTAGTTAAATTTTACAATATTTGAATTGTGGGATAGGTTACAAAAGTGACTTGAAAAGTTTGTCAGAAAATCAGATTATCTTCTTCGAATCACAACAAATCAGAGAATAAACTATCGCTTATTATAATGATATCTAAAGGTTAATATGGAAACTAACTACTGATTCAATATGAGGTAACTATGTACATTGCCACACAATTTCAAACCAACTACTGATTCAATATGAGGGTGAAAAGCTATAAAGCCATGCTATATGTGTGGCTTTTAATTAGGATCAAGCAATTTTAAGATTAAAACAAAACAAAAAAATCAATAAATTTACCTGCTTTTTGGAATGGCTGCATCAGTGGTAGAGCTATCCGATTCTAAAACAAACCACAAAAGTTATCTAGTTTGTTATCAAGAATCGTTTGACCAAAAAAGAAAAAAGAAAAACAGAATCAAGAAGAAATTTCTGTACCTCGGCGCACGCAGGAGGGGCCGCAGCGGAGGTATCTGTGGAAAAGGGTAATTCTCGGTTTAGAAATCACGCGAACATCTAATATGCGTCCTCCCATGTTGCTCCCATTAAGTTCAGTCACCTTATCTGCTACGTCTTTTCCGTAAAGATACGCTACAGCTATGCTGTAAAAAACAACAAAGGAAAGTCTTTTAGGCATTAGAGATTGACTTTAATAACCTGAAAGTTGGGAAAAAATGGAAGGAAGAAGCCACAAACCCGTCGAAGAACATGACATCTTTGAGCTTTCCATATGAAGAGAAATGAGAAATCAAAGCGCTCTCGATAAGTATCTCATGAAGCCAAGTGTCAAATCCTTCAACTTCTATCTCAACCTCACTGCAAAAATAGAATATTGCAGGAGATGATATACATTATTAATATCACACATGGAAAAGAACACATAATAAGATACAAATCTTATTTTTAACAAAATTCAGTGTTTACTTGTTTGCGTTTTTGGGAAACGGATAAGCCTTAACAGAGACATTCCATCCTCCAACGTCAACTCCATTAAGTTGCAACGCCTTATCTACTGCGCCTTCTCCCAGAAAATAAATATAACCACGTCTGTGAAACAACAACAACAAGTTTTTTTTAGTTAGCAATATTTAAACTTGAGCTGATGAGTTGGAAAAAAATGGAGCAAGAAGAAGCCACAAAACCTCCTGAGAGTCTCATCCCCAAAAGAGACAAAGGGAATACAAATATTCGTGATAATTCCACAACAAGAGAAATGATTTCTCAACGCCGTCTCAACATCATCAATAGGAAGATCAGTGTCATATCCCGAAACAATAATCCTCCCAACGTCACTGCAATAATTTGGTTATACTATATATCAACGTGACAATTGAAGACATGCATGCAGCATCTTGCACAACAAAATTTTAATTTTACCTGAGTTTTGGAATGATACTACCCTCACCAATCAGAATCAGTCCCTAAAAGTACAGAGATGTAATCAGAAACTCTACCAAGTTAAGTATTTTTTTCTTACAAACTTTTGTAAGAAACCATAATTATAGAGTGAATCAGAAAAGCCATAAGGGTAAGAAGAAGATTACCTTGTCGGCGGATTCGTCCATGGAGAGAATTTGTTTGACAAGAGCGAGAGACGATAACCCTTTGAAGATGTTTTTACAGATTTAGGGATTTAGGTTTGAATTTAGTTCTGGCCTGTACTCTAAGGCCCATATGGTCCTAATCTACCGAGCCGTCGAAGGAATTTTACTAACTCATATAATGTTTTTGTGTATTCCAAGTGTATTGTGAAGTCACATTACTAATAACTTAGGATCTATCTATATAATCCATTAATTACTCCTCTTTTTATTCTTTTTTTCATTCTACTTTCTTGAATTTAATTAATTGTAATTCATATATAAATTTCTTCCTTTGGTAGGTACACGTATATCTGAGACTTCGAGACCAAACCGAGACAATCGTACGCCATTCACATACAACTCTTAATTTGGACCTTTTCCCTAATCGTACGCCATCATTCCGGTTGTCCTTCATATTGACATGTGTGAAAAAAAAACATCTAGTAAACGGATTTGAGTAACTAATCAAATGGTTCTAAACTTCTAATAATCACATGAGAAAATTCCAAACCAAGTAAAATAAAAAAACTTCCCAAATTTCGAAATGTAAATTTGTATATCATACTCCCTCCGTTTCGTTTTAGTTGTCGTTTAAGGTTTTTGCACACAAATTAAGAAAATCATTAAATTTTTTGTTTTACCCTTTATTAATATATTTTATAATTTTTTCATTGGTCAAAACATTAAAACATTAATGACAAAACATTAATTTTCACCAAACATTTGCATTGAAAACCTAAAACGACAACTATTATGAAACAAAATTTTAATCCTAAAACGACAACTAAACTGGAACGGAGGGAGTAATATGTAAGAAAGAGAATCAAAGAATTTTGCATAAAGTTAATAGAAAAGACACTCAAAATCATAATGGTCAACAAGTGGAGACCACGCGCCAAAGTAGGCGTCGGTCGAATCTAATGATCACTGTCAATCTCAAACAAAAAAACAGATAACAACAAAAAAATATACAAGAATCTTCTCAAGTCTCTTCACAAGTCTTTGCCTCAAAATCAATAATATCTCTCTTCATCATCATTGTGTTTCCTCCTGATTTTTGTTCCACATATTTACCATATTGGTTTCTTGTGAGATCAAGACTCTGAATTTGAGATTCAAGATTTGTGATTTTTTCTTTTTCTTGAAATCTTTTAGTGTTGAGGATGAGAGAAGAAGATTCCAATTGGTTTGCTAAATGGGAAGAAGAGCTTCCGTCGCCGGAGGAGCTCATACCTTTATCTCAATCCTTAATCACTCCTGATCTCGCCATCGCCTTCGATCTCCACCGAGACAACTCAAACTCCGGTCAACCTCTACCCCAAACCACGCCGCCACAACCCAATTCCTCAACCGAATTCGCTGGAGACTCCACCGGAGACGAACCAGCAAGAACGCTAAAACGACCGCGTTTAGTATGGACGCCGCAGCTACACAAACGTTTCGTAGACGCGGTGGCTCATCTCGGGATAAAAAACGCGGTTCCTAAAACCATCATGCAGCTTATGAGCGTCGATGGTTTAACAAGAGAAAACGTCGCTAGCCATTTGCAAAAATACAGACTTTACCTCAAAAGAATGCAATCCGGCGGCGGAGGTGATTCCGATCATCTCTTCGCTAGCTCACCTGTTCCTCCACATTTCCTCCATCAGACAAGTAGACAAAGCTCTGACCTTTTCATACCATCTTTTGTCCCAATTTCAACTCAGCAGCAACATATCGCAGCACCACCGTCTCAGTTCCTCCACCGACAAATCTCCGCCGTTAATTTCACTTCTCCGACCAAAGCGACCGACCAAACAACGTTCTTGGCTAGGCAGCAGAGTCAACTACAGCAACCAGTTTTCAGACCATCTTCATTGCATTTGCATAGTCAAGTGGCTAATTACACTCAAGATTTGGATTCTGGAGCCAAAACTGTCTTGACTCTGTTTCCAACTCGAGACGATTGAATTATATGACACATTCATAATCCGAGTTCTGCTTTTTTTTGTTGGTCTTTGCTTTTGTGACCAGATCTTTAATGTTTCAAAGTGTGTCTACAATCTTAAGGAACATTTGGCCTCCTTAAAGATTGAGTTTTACTCTGTAAAATTCCTGAATGCCTAAAAAGAAGTGATCTTTTTCACTTGTTTAGATTTGATTACACAACTACTTTCTTGTTTTTTTTTTTTCTTATGTGTTCATATTTGTTCTTAAAAGTTGTTTGTAACTTTACACTGAACATCATAAAAGCATTTGCAGGTACTAAAAATTCTCTTCCTCTTCTAAAAGTCAAGACCCAAATGGCCAAATCCATTTATGTATAGTTGAATAGTATTACATAAATATTGACCAACCAGTGATTCAATAGTACAATGTACAAAGAACATGAAACAGCCAAAAAGCAAGGACTAGACAGTGCTAGTCAGAAACTGAATCCCAGGATCTGATGCTCTCATATCCTTAATCATACCTTATTTATTTAATTAATTTTTTATTCATGTACGTAGAATCAGTTATGGGACAAACCCAATCAAGAATTTTTTTCTATTAGTTATTTATTATTATTTAAAATAGTTAATCATATAGTCTTGATAAAGGAAAACTATAGGTTATTTTATTGGATAGGAGGCGATCAATGAAAGCCATCCCATGATGGTGGGTTCATTAGCTGGCATGTTTCTGATCTGTTTCTATAAAAGTCATACCCATAAAAAAGTCCTTCGAATTATTACTAGTATTTTGGTTAGAAAATTTATGAATCCCATTAATAAATAACAAGGCACATTTAATTTAATCAGAACATGAACCTGAACATGAATTCTAAGGTGCATTTAATCAGAAGAATCAAAGATAATTCTTTTATTTGGAATTTTGGAAATACGTTGACTATGTTGTCTATGTTGACCCATACGAACAAGAAAATGTGATCATTGACCCATAAAACTCCCAGACTTCCACAAGACCACAACTATCTACCCTAAATGGGCCATAAGCTTTACAGGCCGGCTCATTTAGAGTAACCTAGTACAAAAATGGGAATGAACGCTTTGCAGATTTTGGATTTCATTGCAAAAGCTTGATAATAATAATATTATAACAAAAGCTTAGAGAATAGAGATGTCTTGTGATAACAGAGGCCAATGTTTGCAACAAGAGCAGAAAATCTAAAGCTACATATCAATAAAACCTGTTTGGATACAAGACATTGGGCTGAACACGACCAAAAGGTCAAGGATTCGGGTGCCTGCAACCAAAAAAAAAGACAGCACAACAATGGTCAATGCAAGAGACTAAGTGTTTAAACGGAGAACATGAAAAAAACTTTCTAAGAGTGAAGTTAACCTGAAATGATGTGTGTCTGACGCATTCAATGTTTGTGCATAAGTCATAGTGGCACTAGGCCACTCTGTATAAGAAGGTGCCGTCATTGCTGGGTTTAAGGGATGTCCATAGTTTAGACTGGCTTGAGTTCTTGGCATCTGTGGGAAAATTGCGTCATGGAACTGAAGCGGAATTGGTATCGGATTGAAGTTTTGTACCGGTGGCGCAACCCTCACATACCTGCAACACCGCTAAATCCATTAATTTTGATGAAGAAACTATGGCGTCAAGGTTGTTATTATTATTAGAGGCAACGGAGGGATTAGTTTAACCTGTTACGGTCATAATCAGGATCATAACGATCCTTCTCTCTATCTCTAATAATGGCGACCCGAGAAGTCCGTCCTGAGTCTCTGATAACACCATTCCTTTCTACATCAACAGGATTACTATTATGATTAATCACCACTTCGGTCTCATTTCTACTCGGACATGTATTATTATGTTTTGAGTCGAGACGAGGAGGGGGAGGAGGAGGAGCTCGTGTTGAAGAATCTTCGGAGTCGGAACTGCTAGGGCTATTGAAGATACGAGCCCGAGCTCTATCATACTCCTCTTTTCTCTCCTCAACGCTTCTCAAAAGATTCTTTTCCACTCCTGATCCACTACCACTCCCACCAGATCCTCTGTTGGGTCTAGGCTTGATGGCAATTTTGAAACCCTCAGGCCTACCATGAATCTCAGGTTGCTTAACAGGAATCTCAGACAAACAGACATAAGGGTATCTACTTTCCGCAGTTTTGGTCGCCAGGATTCTGTTCCCTGAGCCATCAACACCACCACCGTCTAAAGCCGTGGTAAATAGCCCGTAATGCTGAGCAACACGGTGAGCAATAAGACGAAGATAAGATGTTGGCAAAGGCTGGAACTCATATTGTTGCTGCTCTGGACTTTGAAAGAACTTCTGTATATCGAGCTCCATACGCAAAACTAGCACCCCAAAGAAAAAAAGAGAAGGAACATTATCATCTATTGACCATGATGCTTATATACATATATAAAGAGAACATAAGAGTCTTCTAATCAGAGCAATTGCATTCTTAATTGAGCTAATGGTGGAGCCATGGATCTAATCATCAAGTAGGAAAGCCAAACCCTAATTCCTTAAGAAATCGACCAAAACCCTAAACAAGACATCAAATTCGAGAAACCAAGAAGTCAATAACGAACTCTATAGACGACTAGATAACCATAATCAGATCAAATCCAAAAAAGATAAAAAAAATTAACTTGGAATTCAAAGGCTTGCAAGAAAATTGACTTACTGGTGAGACGATGACGAGGGTTCTGAAGAGCCTCAACCAAAAAAGGATCCACCATAGCTTCCTTGTCGCTCATAGCGGCCATCGATGGATCGATGGATGGTTTCTCTCTCAAAATTCTTCTTCTCTCGATCTTAATTATCTTAGAAATCACCAAGGAGAAAGAAAAGGATTGAAATTTACAGAGGATAATTGAATTAGAGAGATTGAGAAGCAAATCGATGAGATGAGGAAATCGAAATCGAAATCCAAGAGGGTCAAGGAACGGAAAAGACCTTATCGACCCTTTATCTCTCTCTCTCTCGGACACAAACTAGTGGGGAGAATAAAATAAAGTCGCAGCCTTTGATTTTATTTTGTTTGTTTTCTTAACCCAAAAACGTTTCCAATTTGAAATTTCCCAAAGCTGTTGTCTTTGGGGCCAAATACTAAAGAAGACAACTTTTCATTTTAAAGACAAAAGAATTTGATTTATCACATTCTCATGATTTGGTGTGGTCGGTTTTGACTCTAGATTTCAACCTTTTTCAAACACACATAATCATATCATATGTTTTAACTTTTACACATGCATTCATGTACATATTTACAAGAAACCCTGTTTAAAGCCAAACAAGCACCGTATTTATTCTCACTACAGAGCAGTTTTTAGTATACACTATAAAAGATCCACATTCACACATGGCACATAACCCAAAAGCTATATGCAACTTCTACTGATACTTGCCGTTTTGATCCTTCATCACTTCAACCATGAACTTCTCCAGTTTGTTGCCCCTCTCTAGCTTCAGCAGCAGTTCGAATTTCACACGGTCTTCAATCACCTGCGCATAAAAATATCATTCCTTTATGTAATTAGGTGCCTGGATTTGGTGATTAAGAAAGAAACTGATAGTGAATATATAATAAGCACAATAACTCAACCTTTGCCCTGGCTAGGATTATATCAATGAGTTTATAGGGGAACAGTGAGTTTGATTTCTGTTCAAGTGATTTCATTGCGTGCTTTGCTGCCTCTTGTACTTCAGGGTTATTTGTTGATACTGATCTCCAGTCAAATCCACTGCCATCTGCCTCAAACAGAGTACATAGATCAAGAAACATAAAAAACTCGATATGATCAAGATCGAAAAGGAAACAGTTTTATGCATCCCAAAGACTAAACTACACCGTGAAAAATCATGGGTGACTGTGACTATAACTAGCTGATCAAAAGAATGACAAGCAGATTAAGATTATCATATTACCAAACCAGAGACATGGTGTGACGATGTTCACTTCACAGCTGATTACCTGGTTTCAAGCCAAGGTCGGAAATAGTGAAGGAGGGGATAACATTCTTGAACTCCTGAAGCTGCTTAAAGTTCATCCATGGCTTCACCCAAACTTTAGCTTCATAAATCTTCTTCTCACCAGCTTCAATAACTTCAAGAGTAAGACGGTAGATCTTGCCAGCAACAACCTGCTCTGTTGCCTTCAATACTCTAGCAAGCTCAAGAACAGCATTCTACTCCATAAAATCCAAAAACCATAACAAAGAATTAACCCACAAGCTGCTTAAACCATACATAGAGATAAACACCGTGAACAGAGAAATCATAAAATTCATCATCACTACTATAAAAATCCTTAATCTTTAATCTTCAGTCTATAAATCAAGAACAATCAGACACGCAAATCACTACAATCCCAACCCTAATTCCAGAGAATATACAAATTAATTTTGGAGGAAACCAAACCTCTCGTCTGTTGTGTTCTTGAACAGCGAAGAGTGCAATATCATCGATATCTTCCCCACCGTTACGATCATTTGTAGAATAGCTAAATCCACCAAGCTTCATCTTTACGACGTTGTTGTTGTACGTTCCTTTTTCTTCATTGCAGATCGCAAACTGACCAAATCCAGAAAGGAGAACCAACGAAACGCAAATTAACATCAACCATGCCGATGATCGTCTCATATCCATTGTTCCCAGTGAGCTTCTCTTATTCCCAAGTTTCCGATCTAAAAGCCGATGAGAATTTTCTTAACAGTCGAAGGTGGTTTCTTTTGCTGGTTAAAGACTCTTTCCGTTTAAGAGAAGCAATAAAATCTCATGGGCCATTAAATATGACTTTCAAGCCCATTTTAGTTGAGTTATGGACTCATCTGAAAGCCCATTTGAAATCAGTCTGTTGTTTATCCTTTTTTTTTTTTTTTTAACAATCAAATTTGGTTGTAATTTGTCATGCTTTCAGCAGTAGAGACCAATTTTACCTTGCTACGGTGTATTTATCAACCACAAAGATCAGTTTGGTGGTGCTTCTCAATATGTGTTTGGTTCTTATGCTCAGACTTTGGCATTTGGTCAAATTTGTCTTATTGGGATCTCTAAGCAGGTTGAATGAACAAGCTTGGAGAAAACTCATGGAGATTCTCTTTGCCATTACTATTTTTCGTCAGGATTTTTTTGTGGGTTTCTTTCCTTGGTAAAAATGTTTCTCGAACATGATTGTCTTCTTCTCCATCCGCCTATTTTCCACTTTCGCCTTCGCAAGTACATCAACCCTGATCGAAGCCGGAGCATCACTCGCCATTGTACAGACCCTTTTGAAGAGATGGCTACCAGAAGCCATCATACGGCGGAAGAAGTTCATCGTCAGTCCAAGCCCTCAAAGTTCACTAACCGTAATTCCACAATATATAGCTTTCAAAAGTTTGTTAGAATAATAAGGGTTAGCCAGTTAGCTTTCTTATCTCCAATGTGCTATTTGTAAAAATGTATAAAATAATGATCATGATGATGAAAATTATGTAATCATTTCAAAGCCGTGTATCTTAAGAAAGTGTGCTATATATATGTCATACTAAAATTATTAAGTTAATACTTTTGATGTGAGAATCAGCATTATAGATTTGATTGTAAAATGCTTTAATCAGTTTCTCTACTCTTATTAAGGTAGTCAAATTTAGTTTAATTGTACTTACTTTTAATAAATATGTTCATTATGTTAATAAAATATGAAAGATAATAATGTTATTTTTATTACCTCCAAAGTGATGTATATGAAAATATATATAAATGCAAGCAATAGAAAACAATAGAAAACTTAAAGGTAAATATCTAAATTAAGAGTTGAGATAATGTACTAAAAGTTGACCACATAATGACACTAATTAAATCTTTAAATCATGTTGACTACATAAAGAGCTACTAATCAACTCTTCTAAATAATTTTGTTTTCAACTACATCTCAAATTTAATAGGGCAACACCAAATTCTCCCAACTCACTTCGGAAAAGAGTAATGTTTGGAACTAATTTTGACTAAATAAGTGCAACAGGTATTAATTCAGAAACAAATTTACTACGCAAAATCGGCAAATGTAAAATGTCAAATATATCTAGTAATTAAACATGTTAATCTTATGTGTGAGTTGTCGAAATGATAAACTAGATTGTTAAGTACTTCAGTTAGTCTTTGTTCTTCATCATTTTTCTCTATAAGTAAGTCCCTTTCCATTTTCATCAATATGCATTTATCTTATTCAAACATCATAACATTACATCATATAACTTTCCTTGATATTAAAGGTGCATACAAAGTATCAAATCTTTAAATACCTATCGGGGTGCAATCACATATCCAAGCCATCAGACCTAAATTTGCAAAAGCCCGATGGATCCGATCGACAATGAAATGTTGTCTTCAGATTCGAATTACAATAGTGATATTAGCGACGATGCCTCCGCCACCGGATCGATAGAGAATCCAATGTACAAATGCAAATATTGTCCTAGGAAATTCGATAAAACACAAGCATTGGGTGGTCATCAAAATGCTCACAGGAAGGAGAGAGAGGTCAAAAAACAACATGAAGCATTTTTGGCGCATTTGAACCAACCGGAGCCAGACCTTTACTTGTACTCGTATTTGCATCCGCATTCATTTCCTAACCACTACGCACTCCCATCGGGATTTGAACAACGTCGTTACAAAGTTGATAGAATTGACAATATGTCCATGGTCTACAACCACTATATGGGATCCTCGAGCTCTGGCTTTTTAGGACTACGAAATGATCCAAGTCAAGGAATGGACCGAGGTTCGACCTTTAACGGGATCCCATCCCAAACCCAACCTCAACCTCAACCACTATTGTCTGCATCGTCACCAGTGTGTTTAGATCTTTGTCTTGGTGTTGGTAGCTCCCAAACCCAACCACAACCTGAAGAACCAAACGATGCAACAGAAGGGACGGATGCTGAGAAAGAAAATGATTGTTCTTCCCTTTCTCTCTCACTCAAGCTATGAAGTTGTAATGCTTCCCTTTTAAGTATTTTCTTTAATTTTGATCACCTTTGTTTTCTTGCATAGTATCGGCTTGTGTCAAATCAGTACTTGTGCACTTAAACATTGTAATAAACTTGGTTGTTATTTGCATTTGAATTCATAAAATATAAAAACTTTATATTGTTCTAACTTTGGGGTGTAAAATTCTATTTCTAAGAATTTGAGATCCAATCTCAATTTTAGTTATTTTATGAGTGATACGATACAAGACATTAACCAAAAAAAAACACTCTTTCGAAAGGAGGCGGTTTTTGAAACTTTCGAGCTCCTTCTTCTCTCCGTCATCGTTCCTCTCCCATGGCTCAGTTTCTTCGACACTTCTCTTCCTCTCCCATGGCGAACGAAGACGAATTTCAATCTCCGGTAGAACCATCACAGCAATCTCAAGACTGTGTTTCGGAGTCTTATTTGATAGGGTTTGTTATCGCGAACATAGTAGGGTTAAAGTACTACTCCGGCCGAATCAACGGTCGAGAGATGGTGGGTCTGGTTCGAGAACCCTTGAACCCATATGACAATAACGCAATCAGAGTACTCAACACGCGATCAGAGCAAGTGGGTCACATCGAGCGTACAGTAGCAGCAGTCCTCGCGCCGTTGATTGATTCTCACACGATCATCGTCGAAGGTATTGTACCCAATACTCGTTCTAACTCCAATAGGTTTAAAATTCCGTGTCAAATTCACGTTTTTGCAAAGTTAGAAGCCTCCTCTACTGTGAAATCGACGATTTCTAGAGGTGGTTTAGTGTTGATTTCGGACTCAGATACATCGTTTGGGTTATCTGAGGCTGTTGTGGTTAAGGAACAGATGGGTAAGGGAGATAAGAAGAGTGTTGACAAGATTTTCAAACTGGTTGATGAGAATGTGAAGTTAAAGGGGAAATTGGTAGCGGCTGAGCCACCGAGGGAAGTGATAAAGTCTGAACTTTTTGCTCATCAGAAGGAAGGATTGGGCTGGTTACTCCAGAGAGAGAAATCTGGAGAGTTGCCTCCGTTTTGGGAGGAGAAAGATGGAGAATTCCTGAATACTTTGACGAATTACCGCTCGGATAAGCGGCCTGAACCTTTGCGTGGAGGGGTGTTTGCTGATGATATGGGGTTGGGTAAGACCCTTACTTTGCTTTCCTTGATAGCTTTTGATAGATATGGCAATGCATCCACCAGTACGCCAACCGAAGAACCTTTGGATGTTGAAGGAGACAAGATTGAAAAGAAGGGTAAGAAAAGAGGAAGAGGCAAGAGCAGTGAAAGTAGAACTCGAAAGAAGCTTAAACCTGATGATTTTGTTGGCACGAATGTGTCTCAAAAGACAACGTTGGTCGTTTGTCCGCCTTCTGTGATTTCAGCATGGATTACACAGTTAGAGGAGCATACTGTACAGGGAAGCTTGAAGGTGTATATGTATCATGGTGGCGAAAGGACAGACGATGTTAATGAGCTAATGAATTATGATATAGTGCTGACTACTTACAGCACTTTAGCTGTTGAGGAATCGTGGGAAGATTCTCCTGTCAAGAAGATGGAGTGGCTGAGAATAATTCTTGATGAGGCACACACCATTAAGAATGCAAACGCTCAACAGAGCCGAGTAGTTAGTAAGTTGAAGGCTTCTCGCAGATGGGCAGTCACAGGAACTCCTATTCAGAATGGTTCATTTGATTTGTACTCTTTGATGGCGTTTCTCCGGTTTGAGCCATTTTCGATTAAGAGTTATTGGCAAAGCTTGATACAACGCCCGCTTGGTCAAGGGAATAAAAAGGGTCTTTCACGTCTGCAGGTAATAATACATTACTCACATATATGCCTTTTTATGTTTTGCTCTTTGGTGAAAAGTTATTCAATTACACGCTTTTCAGGTTTTAATGGCGACAATTTCATTAAGGAGAACAAAAGAAAAGAGTTTGATTGGTTTACCGCCTAAGACTGTTGAAACTTGTTATGTTGAGCTTTCTCCAGAAGAACGTCAGTTATATGATCACATGGAAGGAGAAGCGAAAGGTGTTGTGCAGAATCTTATAAATAATGGAAGCTTGATGCGCAACTACTCAACAGTTTTAAGTATAATCTTACGGCTTAGACAACTTTGCGACGACATTTCTCTATGCCCTCCAGAATTAAGATCTTTTACCACTTCTACATCTGTCGAAGGTAAAAACAAAACTGATACATATTCTTACTTTTGGGTTCATAGCTTAAATCTTTGTGCCTTTGTGAAACAGATGTAGCAGATAAGCCAGAGCTTCTGCAAAAGCTGGTTGCAGTATTGCAAGATGGCGAAGATTTTGACTGTCCAATTTGCATTTCACCACCAACAAACATCATCATCACTCGATGTGCTCACATCTTTTGCAGGGCTTGTATCCTTCAAACCCTTCAAAGAAGTAAACCATTGTGCCCTCTTTGTCGTGGCTCCCTTACTCAGTCTGATCTCTACAATGCTCCGCCGCCTCCTCCGGATGATTCCAACACCGACGGAGAAGACACCAAATCTTCAACCAAATCCTCAAAGGTCTCAGCTTTACTATCGCTGCTCATCGCATCGAGACAAGAAAGCCCCAACACAAAGTCTGTTGTGTTCTCTCAATTCAGGAAGATGCTGCTTCTACTAGAAACTCCACTAAAAGCTGCGGGTTTCACCATCTTACGCTTGGATGGAGCAATGACTGTGAAGAAACGGACCCAAGTCATTGGAGAATTTGGGAATCCGGAGTTAACCGGACCTGTGGTGTTGCTAGCGAGCCTCAAGGCCTCTGGTGCTGGCATAAACCTAACTGCAGCATCAAGGGTTTACTTGTTGGACCCGTGGTGGAACCCTGCAGTTGAAGAACAGGCCATGGACAGGATTCATAGGATTGGGCAGAAACAAGAGGTTAAAATGATAAGGATGATTGCGAGAAACAGTATCGAAGAGAGGGTCCTTGAACTTCAGCAGAAGAAGAAGAATCTAGCTAACGAAGCTTTTAAAAGAAGGCAAAAGAAAGATGAAAGAGAGGTTAACGTTGAAGACGTGATTGCTCTCATGTCTCTCTGAAACCCTCAAGCATTGCTTAGCTCCTTAACCGGATTTTTTCTGTTCCCTCTAAGATACATTAACCGGTTATTTACTGCTTTTGGTACGTAACCTTAACCGATGTTTATGTTGCCTTTATCAACGAGACTTCTGTCTCGGTTAGTTTAGTTTAATTAAGGGTTAGCTTGAAATGCTTTTTCTGGTTTCAGGCCGGTTTACTTTTGGATCGGTCTAGTTTGGTTTAACTTGACCAAATTAAAAGACAGGGCAACGACGGTCCGATACTATTCAGTTCAAGTTTATTTGTTCGTTTTTAATGACCGACTTAAGTGACATTTAAGTTTGTTATTATCATTTACTCTTAGTATGTAATTAGATGAAATTTAGTTGGGCGTTAGATACTTATGATGAGTCCTTCACCAACCATGTTATATATTACTTGACGTCAACACAATAATTCTCATCTTCTAATCTTCATAAAGTCAAAAGAATCAAACGGCGTCACATACGAAAGGGTCATTTACTCTTTTCCATATCGTTAAAAGTCATAACACAAAAAGAAGAACGTATAAATAAATTATCAAAGTAATAATAATAGTCAACGATACAAAACACAAGAAAACCGTATAAATCCAAACTAATTATACGATCTCTGTTGGTTCAAATTTCCGAATGATAAAAAGATGTACTCCCTCTGTCCCAATATATAAGATGTTTTAGGCCTTTTCATTTGTTCTATTATATAAGATTTTCTCTACTTTCAATGCATGAATTATATTAGTTTAATGGTTTTTAATAGTTTTTAATTATGTAGTATATTCTTCTATTGGTTGAATTTTCATAAATGAGAAAACATTTATTGTTTCTTAATATTTGTGCTTTTAGTCCAAACATCTAATAAAATGGGACAGAGGGAGTAGTATTTAGTACAATCAAATTTAAACTTTGATGACACAACTACATATCCGGTTTATATATAACGGTATAATACAATATTTTTCTTAGTAAAGAAAGTCAAAAAATTTGTTCTCCCCATTTCTGCATTTTGACATTTTTCTATCTTTTGATTACTATTTTCCAGCTAAGAAAACATTTTTTGTTAACAATTTAGATAAATCTACGATTTATGTGTGAGTTGTAAACAATTAGACACTCTATTGATAGTTGCTTTGATAATTTATACACTACAATTTTAGATACGAGAGTGACACAAAACACAATAATTTGTTTATATTGATAACCGAAAGTCTTTAACAAGAGAAAAAAAAGATAATTGTTAGTGATGGTGATCTAGATAGTTAGAGCCGCTATAAATTGAAAACATATGAAAAGAGGTGTTCAAACACATTGTGTTTACTTTCATTCCTAGATTAGCCAATTGTAAGGCTGATTCTATTGCTAAAGACGCTCTTATGGCGTTTGTAAACTCTCTTATTCCCTAAGATTTTTTTTTTTCGGCAATCAAATTTATTGAAATCAACGAGAGTTTACAAAAAGCGGAAACATTCCAAGACAACCATTATACGCAAATACATGAAATTGAAACAATTTCGATGAGGAAGTGGAATATAACCTAGCTATCCTTTCGGAAGTCTTACAGGCTAACAGACGAAATCTGTTATGTCCCTTCTTCATACACTTTTTATTGGCTAACAGCTTATAGCTGAGACTCCAAAATGCTCTGGGCATTATATTAACTAGTAAATTTAATCTCGTTGTCGTCAGATATGATTCTGGATCTTTTCGTCTCGTTGAAATCAAGATGCTTGATGGTTGTAACAAAGGTTTTCTATGTCGATGTTGGAGTATCCGTTGTCTTCCTCCCCATGGTTGTTGCCATAGTGGTTGTTTCCAATGCAAACAATAAATAGCTGAATGAAATCCCATCAGAATCACATCACTTGATTGATGCTTCATTAGTTTTCTTGCCTTGCATTCAAAATAATCCATACCAAAACTCCAATTTGTGTCAGGATTGACATCAAGATACGCTGTTGGAAATGGCCGATGGGAAACCAATTGGATTGTGCGAGTTTGTAAGTCTGGGCATTTAGTAATCATGACAAAAGTTCCAATATGTGCTTCTGGTAATATTTGCAAACAAACCCGACATTTACCATCTTGGGCATGTGCTCTTTTGTATTCATAGGAATTTGACAACCATGTTGAAACCACAAACTTCACGAGGAGACCATCAGCACAATCAAGATAAACATTCCCAATTTTTGCAACTATGGACAGATTCAAAACATGAAGTCCCATCACGGTTTGTATGAAATTCCAGATTCGATCCCTAGTAAATCTAATTCCTTCAACCATGGTGATTGATTTATTGATTCCGGGGTCAAAAACCCAAACGAAAATTCCATACCTACGGGTAAGGAGACAATCACCGATTGATAATCGGACATTCCACCGGTAGAGGACTGACTCACCGGAAACTAACCTTCTACAAGGAAGGACATCATCACGATTCCACCGAATCGAAATTACAAAGAAGAAACACAATTGGGGATGGCATGAATCAGAATCGATTGATGAAAACTTGTCCCAACTCGGCGATGGAGCCATCAATGAGATCGAAGTCTGAATTGGAACTGTCGGAGTTAGACCCTGTAACACCATCGTTGTGAAGAAGCCAAAGACATAAGTTTGAAAACCTCGATTTGCCATTATTAACTATCTAAACCTATACAAAAGAGAAAAGATGGAATATCTAGAGGGAAGGGAAGGCCGACCGACGCCGGAGAAGCCGACGCCGGCCGGAAACGGTGGAGATTACGAAGAGTTGTGTTGGATCGCTTGGAAATCGCTCGGGAGAGAAAACAGTTATTTTTTTAATGTTTTCTATAACCATATCTAGAGGTTTCTCTTATTCTCTAAGATAATGGAATCTTGTTCTGTTAAAAAAAAACAGAGATGGATTTTCAATTGGTAAGAGATATTAGTAAGGTAAATATTATTTTAAACTATGATATTATGAAAATTTTAGCTAGCGAAACAGAAAAGTAAAATTATTCATTCCTTTCATTTTTCTGGTATAAATGTAAAATTTATTAAAAAAAAAAAACGTTTGGATTTTATTCCTTTACATTTTAATAAGTAATCAATAATATATAAAATAAAAATCTGACAGTCTGTTTACCACTTCAAAATGATGTTTGGCATTTGAAAGACTGTTTACTGTTTAGCATCAACGTTTGATGTTTTTGATACTCCATATAATGATTCCATCATTACACTATTAGCGTAAGGTACCAACTACCAAGTAATTGATTTGCTTCTAAATTTTCTGCTTTATTCACAGCATAAAATATATATCTCACCTCAGCTTTGCGCTAGCTGTGACGATATCAATAAAGGCCATAAAAGTAGAGTAATTATATTGGTCAGAACTGTTCCATAATGTTGAATCCGGTATGGCATTTTCGATTATATATAAAGTTATGGCTTGGAATAAAGTTTTAAACTCGGATAAAATCATTAGCAACATTGGTTCAACAGGTAAAACAAAAAAATTTGATTCGAATTCTCACATATAATATGATGTTGTGGACAACAGAAATTTGAGTCTTGTGTTGATAAAATTTCAATTCGAAACAAAGGCACGAGACAAACCTAATTTGCTCTCTTCTCTCTCCTCTCTTTTCTGAAAAACAAAGCCGCCGCTTGTTTTCGGCCAACGTCCGGTGGCTCTTTTAGCACCGGCGTTGTGCTTCTTTAGTTTAATTTGTAGGTTTTTCTTCTTCATCTTGCCTATGACTTGTTTCCGTGAGTTCTCTTTTTGCGTTGGGTCTTTCTTGTTCGTGAGGAGGAGGGTGAAGTTTCTGTCCTTGGAGCGGCTTCTTTGCTCGAGTTTTGCGGCGGCTCTCTCCCAAGTGGACTGTGGAGTCGTTTCTGGTTTGGTTTGGCTGCTGTTATGCTTCTCTTGCGAGGCTTGGTGGCGTTTCCGGTCAGTTCGTGGTGCGAGGTGGATCTGAATTGTCCTATCGGGTCTGGTTGGGCCGTGTTTCTTTGTTGGTGGCTCTTTTGATCATCTTGCGCTTTTGTCTCCCAACCTTCGGTGTCAATTTTCAGATCTGGTTCTTTCACCTACTCGGGTATGTTGCTCTGGTTTGCGGGTTCTTCTCCGGATTGATTTGGAATTTTAGGAATCTTCTTTTTGTGAGATCTTTGTCTGTTCTGTGGTTGGTCTTGTTTGAGTGAAGTTTCTGTTCTAGCCATTTGTTTGCTGGTCGTGGTGTTGTGTTTTGCATCGAATGTCCTGGAAAATCTCTCCTTGTGACGAGACGGACTCGATGCTATTTGCCATGGCTCTTGGCTCAATTTCCTTGGTTGGTTCTTCTGTCTCATTAAGATTTGCTTCTTTTTGGAGTATGTGGGTCGCTTTTTTGCCATCATTTGCGGTATCTCGTCCAGTTATGAGGTAATCGTCTTCTCGGGGTTGGATTGGAACGTTTAATACTATCCAGAGCTCTATCAATTCTTTCAGCTGAGAGAAGAGCTATTCATTGGGTTTTGATTCGGTTCCTCGCCACAAGATAATAAGGCATTTGTGCGTGGATCTCGTAGCTCCTAGTTCAGACTTTTTTCTTTTAGATTCTCATGGTTCCTAGTCATTTCACTCATTGGAGGTCTCTAGGTTCGTTTTCTAAGGTTTAGCTTATCGTTTGTATCCTTGGCTGTTTGGTAGCTTCCCTCTTTTGGGCTCTTGTCTTCGGGGATATTATCATTTTCCGCCGACTTATCTTACCGGGGATATTAACTCTTTCCGTCGGTCGTTGTATCTTTCGAAGTTTTATCAATATTATTCAGACGAAAAAAAAAAAAAAGTACACATAGCTCTAATCTACAAAAAAGTGGTCCTATATTTTAAACAATCCGAAATCGCTCACATTTCTTTTACATGTGGTCGTAGGGATAGCTTAGAATAATATTTATGTTTTGTTTTGATAAACTTGATGAATATTACACAAGTAATAACTGATCAGACCTTTAAACAAATGTCCGTTCTAGAACAAGTATGACACAATGATACAAATAAATACATGCATATAGATTGAATAATTTGAGGCTAAAAATTCCAATTTTTCTTTCCAAATCAAGTCTAAAAAGTGTCATTTTATGATGCAATATATTATGATTTATATTTTTATTTGGTATATTGTAATGATGTGGGTAGATGGATTTGTTATCTCTTCCACACAAAACACGCACCAGTTTTCAGTAGGTCCAATAAAACACCGTAAAGCAGCCACTATATCTGATGACGTGTCGGCTAATCAACGTCTGTCACGTAACGGTGTCTGTGACAAACCCGTGAGGGTAGCACTCAAACGAGTCGTAGTGTTTTCACGCGTTTAAGCGTGAATTGATTTTTATTGGCTTTGTAATCACCATTCACCACCGCCCCAAATCCCGTACGACTTCGTTTTGTCACGTATAAAAATCAAATAATTAATAGTATTTTTTTGGGGGTCGATTTTGTTGACCAACAATTAATAAATGCTTCAATTTCCACTAACAGAAACTTCCTTTTCTCTTATTTTTGGGTGCTCTAACAAAACAAGCTAAGTTTAATAGTCCAATTTATATGACTTTGTAAACACAAAACAAATATCTTAACTTTTACTTACTTTTATATACATTTATGATTGTGGTCTCATAGAAAGATAAGACACGCTATAAGAACATGCATGCTAACATTAACATAAACGAATTGCAGACACAAAGATAAACAATGGATATTTTTTTTACCAAAAAACAATGGATATTTTATAAACAACAACAAAACATAAGACAATGAATATCATAATATATAGTAGATGTTATGTCTTTTTGGTAAACTGTTTTAGTAAATTCTCTAAAATAAACACATTATGACTAAGTTAACGTTTGGTTGGAATGGATCCGACCGGAATAATAGTATGAGTCAGGTTTAGAGTTGTAACTTTTATTCATCTTTTGTAGATAAACTCTACACATCTTATGGCTTTAAAAAGTATGGTTATGACTTATGTTGGAAAACAAACACAAGTATGGGTATGGAGAAATAGTCCATGAAATTAATGAAAAACCGTGAGGGTAACGAGCTTTATGGAAATTGGGAACAATTGTAAACAAAGAACTTTGTAAAATCATTTTGTACCTAATCCAAAGTACAAAATAATACAAAAAAATTGTTTAATATTTTAAAACCAAAAGAAATACTTTTTATCTGTCTTATAAATCTGAACAAAGTACCTAATCCAATTACTTATAAAACAAAGAAACATGAATTAATAGTGTAACATGAAACCATTTTGGTTTGGATCGTAGTTAGTATTTACCAAAGATTCTGTATCACTCTTTGACTAGATGATAAACGCTTTTTATCAGCAGCATTAAGAAATAATTTCAATTCAGAGCTTTCTCATTAAAGTCCTTAAACAAATCTCATTAGTAGAATTTACTTTTGACATTTTCCAACGTAACATAATCCATTAATAACTTATTGTAAAAAAATGTAGGACATAAAAAAAAAAAGAGTTTGACCTTGTTTCACTTAACTTGTGTCGTCGTTCAAGTACAACGCATGTGTGGGTGAAAAAAAGAATAATGTTTTTTTAAATAATAATAATGAAAAGCCAAATAAGACCGATCAGGTCAAAAGAAAGCCGTAAAGAAAATCCAACTTATAATAAATAAATCTCTTTTACCAAACAGATACAGAGACTTCGATCAGAGAAATAAATAAGAAAAAATTAATTTTTTCTCTTTCTTCTGAATTAATAAAAAAGAAGAAGCTTTCTTGTTGAATTGAATTTGTAGCTGGTTTAACGTAGTAGCACTTGGGTTTTAGATAGACAACGTAACCAAAACTGTTTCATGTTTTGTCTGTTTTTTCTCCTTTGGTTTTTTGAGTTTCCTCTTTCTCATCTTTGCGGTGCATTTTTCTAATTTTCTCGGGAAAATCCTTTGTGGGCTTTCCGGGAAAGTTTTTTGTCAGATTCGGAAACAGATTAAAAGCGGAGCCAAAAAAAATAAAAAAATCCATAAGAACTACCAAACAGATTTTGTGTTTATCTTTATAGATTCTTTTGATCTCGTTTGATCATCTTCAAAGTCTCAACCTTTAAGATTTTGATCCTTTTATGGTAACTAAGACATTGAAACAAATCTTCTGGGTAGATTTTGGCTCTTCTCTGATCTTCTCTTTTCTGATTCAATCTTAACGATCCCAATCTTCTTCTTCTTCTTCTTTTCTGGGAAAATTTTGGCTCCTTCTGAATTTTTGTGGGAAAATTGAATTGAATCCGATTAGTTGGATCGACAAAAATCGGATTCGAATTTTGACGATGAAAGCATCAGGTTCGTTAGATAGCTGGAGAGAATATTTCCGGCGAGGAGATTCCGATATTTTCGGGATCATCGATCATGCGATCATGGTGGCTGCTACTGATTGTCCTAACAAATTCAAATCAAGAAGAGACCAAATCGCCGAGCTTTTATTCTCCTGCAGAGTCAGTCGTTGCATCGGATGCGACCATCTTGAGTTGTCTGTTCCCGGAGACGACGAGGCTAATCGCGGCCGTGGAACCACCGGTGACGGCGGTGGTGGTACGGCGGTTGATAAAGAGAGCAAAGCTAATAGTGGCAGAGGAGATAATAATCATATGGATGAGACGAATATGAATAGTAATCAGATTGTTAGCAATTATACATTTGATGAAGCTGAGGCTTTGAGTGATGAGATTGAAGAGTTTTCTGTGGTTTCTAAGGAGGTTGCTAGGATCAAAGAGATCTTGCTCAACAAAGAAGATGAGGTTTGATGATCTAAAGTTCTTGAATTTGCAATTTGTTAATTTCATCAATGTGAAGATTTTTTTTTCTGATGGTTTCTTGTTCTTCTCTTGCAGCCAAACTCGGTGTTACTCGATTCCTTAAGACATCTTAAGTTGATGTCTTTGAATGTGGATATTCTTAAGGTTGGTTTCTTGGTGGATAGTGTATGATCCTTGAGGTTTTCGTATGGAGTGAGTGATTTTTAAGGTTTGCGGTTATTCTCGCAGAGTACTGAGATTGGAAAGGCTGTTAATGGCCTGAGGAAACATGGTTCTGATAAGATTCGACAACTCGCAAAGACTCTTATCGCGTATGAGTTTGATCTTTTCCTTAAGCCATAAGTTTGGCACCTCTTACTCTTTTTGCACTTTTGGAATGTGAGATTGAGTTTTTATGATGGGTTTATGCAGAGAGTGGAAGGAGTTGGTGGACCAATGGGTCAATACCACAAAGGAAATTACTGGTAATTGCGCTCTCTCTGTCTCGCTTTTCGATTCTTTAAGTCTTATAGGCTACATCATGTCTTACAGTTTGGTTTCTTGAATTAGATCCATAGTCTTTGGTTCTAATTTTGTGTTTAAAACAGGTGCTGAAGGTACACCAGAGTCTGCAAACCCGTCCGTCGTTGATGAAGAAGAAGCATTTCCATCTCTTCCATATGATGTTGATATCTTTACACCGGAACCAAACGGATTTGAAATCTCACACTTCTTTGATTCCTTGGACTTTGATGGAAGTGAGTTAAACTATTCTCTTGTTTGTTTGTTACCATGTTCTTAGCTACATATATTCGGTTGATTGATTTTCTCGGGGATGTTTGTTTCAGATCCTCGTAACTCTAAAGAATACAACACAAGCCAAGAACACGAAAGAAGACCACAAAATATCGCCAAGAGAAGACCAGAGGGAACACAAATGAGGATACAAGATGCTCCTTTTAGATCTATTAAGCCATCATCAGCCACTGATTTTGATGGGACTAGAAGACCTCTAAAGCAAAATACAGAGCAAAGGATGAAGAACGAAACTGTATCAGTTCACAAGTCTGAAAAACCCATGATCCAAAGGAAACCGGTTGTTACAGAACAGAAGCGGAAAGCTCCCGGACCTCAACAAGAAGTGAGTGTGGAAACAAAGCTCTTGTTTTTATATCCTATTCTTGGACACATTATTGATTGTTTTATTTGTTCTTGTCCCTTGTAGAAACTTAAAGGTCTTGATGCAGACGCAAAGTTTGAGTTTGCTAAGAGGAAACTTCAAGAGAGCTACCAGCATCATGAGAATGGTTAGTTTCATTTCCTTTATTTTGTTTCGAGTTTTTCGATACATTCTTGAAAACAAAAGAACTGACAAACATAAAAATGTTTGTGATCTTGCCACAGCCAAGAAGCAGCGAACGATACAAGTACTTGAGATGATCCCAAAGCAAGGTAGTGCTCAGAAACCACAACTCAAAAGACCTGGAATGAGCAACAGGAATTGGGCTAACGGGCGAAAATAGCTTCTTCTCTGTCAAAATGGTGAATAACTCTCGGCAAAAGTCATTTTACTCCACACTTACCACACATATCTCGCAATCTCTGGTGCAATAAAAGGTAAACAGAGTCTAGTTCCACAAGCTGGAGACAGAAACAAGCAGAGGAGAAGGAACAGAATCCAACATAACTTTACTTTGAACAAACTGTTTTCTCCTCTGTTTTGTTCAGTCTTGGATTCACCAATTGCAGCAAGATAGGGATCCCAATTATTGTTTCTTTTATGTGTTTTTACTTACATTCTTGAGACTTTCGGTACAGTCCCGGTTTAGTCGGGTTATGTTCGGTTTTGGGACAAGGAGAGAGGTCCCTTTACGTATATCTCATATAAAATATAGTAAAAAAGGGTAGAAAAGCTCATTCGAAATTGACCGGCTCTTCACCTAACTTTGTATAGTAATGTGAAATGATTTGGGACACAATATAGAGATGATCACATTTTTTCCCAAATAAATAAATATATCTAATTGTTATGAATGAATGTGATTGTGACCGAATGTTGTCATTTATTATTATTTATATAAAATATGAAAAATGGCATTGAAAGGAGCTTAAGGAAGGTGGGTGGATAAGAAAAGAGGAGAAGGTAGTGGTGGTGGGAGCTAACGTGGATGGATAGGAATGTTGTTGCATTGTGGTCTTTGTGCGTGTTTGTATTATTATTATTATCTCGGCGTTACGCGTTCACGCATTTCACCACATGTACCACGTGGACTTCTACAACTTCTAATCTTTCACCTTTCTATTTCTATTGAAAAAAACAGTTGGATAGAGAAAAATCGGTCACGATTTTATTTTGTGAAAAGGAAATGCACTTTTTAGTTTGATTGAACAAATAACCCAAATATATTGTTGGACAAAAACAAACGTAATGATTTTTGGCGTGATGGTATATTCGTAAGGATGTGTTTGGTTGTTTTAAGTTTAGCATGTGTGAAATACAAATAATTGTTGTCTCTGTACAAAACTGAAACGGCATTTAACAATTTAGTAAGTTTCAAAATTAATACGTTAAATCATACATTAAACTTTAAACTAAACAAAAACCGTAATTAATTCTAAAGCTCTAGAACTTCAATCTTAAATGATCAGCGAAATTTTTAGTAATATCTTTTATTTTATTTTTATCTTTTTATAATTACGTTTATGAGATCTATAATTATTTTCTGGAACACTACAAAACGTGGCTTTATAAAGTGAGCAATCATCCACCGGATCAACAAGATCTTTAATACTCCCTCCGTTTCGTTTTAGTTGTCGTTTAAGGTTTTTGCACACAAATTAAGAAAATCATTAAATTTTTTGTTTTACCCTTTATTAATATATTTTATAATTTTTTCATTGGTCAAAACATTAAAACATTAATGACAAAACATTAATTTTCACCAAACATTTGCATTGAAAACCTAAAACGACAACTATTATGAAACAAAATTTTAATCCTAAAACGACAACTAAACTGAAACGGAGGGAGTACTATTTTAAGAATCATAAAATTCTAACTTAAAATCAATTAATAGTGAATAAATTGACTTATATTCATTATATATCTACTGTATTAGATTACACTTCATTTTTGATGTGAAACATTCTAGCAGGATTAATGACTCAATGTAAATAGAAAATGTGCTCTTAATTAATGATATTTGGTTCCTAGTCATTAAAATTGGGAAGACTTGAAAAGTAATGAAGCATGTGAAAAAATTAAGAAATGCTATATAGATCCGAGAGATTTTGACTATTTCATTTATTGACCACAAAGAAGAAGGCATCTTTTTTGTTCTTTCCATGCAGAAAATCGACATGTTTTTAGACCGAAGTTGACATGAACAAAAGAAAACAATACAATAGCATCAGTTCTGCTGCCCACACAAAGTATTTAGGTTACCATTTTATATTTTATGTGCAGTTTTAGATAAATAGACAGCTAATCGTTACAAAATTCCTTACGTCGTAATCAATCGTGAGATAAAGAAATAAGAGTTGACAAATGCAATAATTTGGAAAATATATAGTTGAGTATCAATTCTATATCGCGGGTTAAGGGTTATGCACACGCAAATTATCAAATAACCTTTTAACCTCTTACATAATTTGTGTGTGTGTGTGTGTGTGTTAAAAGTGTTCTTACATATAGACATGCATTCATTTGAAACATATGATTGATGAAATCGCTTAGGCCAAAAGAGTAACTGTTTCAACATGCACTCATTTGAAGCATTAAAAATATATATATTAAGATTCTAATTGCATGTTCTGGAATTAAAGGCAGATCTAATATAGGTTGGTATAGCTACCACATTTTCGCGTTTTGAAACCCAAGTGATTCCTCTATTTTTCCATCATTTATAGAACGTTCATCAAATCTTCATGGGTTTTGAAAATTGATTATACTATATAATGGAGTAACTCAACTTGTTTCAGTATTGTTGAGTCTTCTCTGATTTACGATCGGACAAGGTTTGAAAACATTAACAGACTTATGCGCAAATTTATTTATACAAAACCTACTCATAAATAAGTAAAATTTGAAAGAATTGAGTGAATTTAGTACAGTCTTAGGTTTTGATTAAAATGATCCACCATTATGTTTCGGTTGGTTGAAGTCATCATTTATAACATAAAGCATCAATATTACATGTGATAAGAATCAACATCTAAATAGGATTACGAATTAGAATTGAACTTATTTAAGAAAATGGTTTTATATAAAAAATATCAAATTGAGATCAATGAAATACATTAACTAATAATATAGTTATAAAATTTTAAATATCAATGCATGATTATAGCAAAAATATATATATATATATATATGAGGTTTTTCCAACCGGTTCATTGGGGGATCAATCCTAGTTTATTAAAAAATCAACATTATTCTTCACAAGAAATATAGAACAAGAAAGAAAAAGGCTAGTACAAATTTGTTGGTTTGAGTTTTAAGAGGTATAAAGATTAATTATTACAAGAAGAAGAAGAAGAAGAAGAAGAAGAAGAAGAAGAAGAAGAAAATGCGTTGTGTTGATCACATCACAACCATTGTGTCGCCCGTCTCTTGTAAGGAGAAGAAGTATTTGTGTTCCAATTCCACCATCTGCCCTCCATCTGCTTGATCAAATTTGCACCTCCTGAAACTTCACATTTCCGGGGATGATTCCGACAATTAGATGAGGAAAACAGTCAGACTCCAAAAAGAGCCAAAGTAAAGTCAAGTCATAGAAACCAAAGAGAAAAGCTTACCTTCCATCGATGCCTAGGAGAAGAACAGTGTTCTCTGATCCAAAACCTACGATGAACTTGGTGGAAGCTGGCAACGAGAACTGAGCAAACGACCGTTCATTTTCGTACAAGTACTTGGGTAAGATCCCTCTTATGAATGACGACGAAGAAGCCGGATCAAAACTAAGAATGTCAGGTCTCAAACGAAATACATGGAGAGTCCCTTTTTCACTTGACGCAGCGACCCATTTCAGATTCGAAGAGATTGCAACGTTATAGATCTCTGCTCTTTCCATTCCTCTCCGAAGCTTCGTCAAGAAAACCAAACATATCAAACTACTAAGTAAATAACAAACCATAATCACAAAAAAAAACAAAATCTTAGCTAGGGAGTTTAACCCAAAACAAAATTAGGGTTAATTACCTCTTGTAAGAGAGTACCATCAAAGGCGTTAAAAATTCTGATCAGAGTTCCTTTCGTGCTAGCGGTTGCGAGGAGACTTCCATCGAGAGTCAAAGTCATGCAAGCAATATCAGAATCATGTGCTTTGATGAATTTGATTACATTCCGTCTCAAGTTATGGACCTGAACTTGTCCCGGATGAAACCCGGGACAAGCCAAGACTGCTTTCGACTCAATGTGAGTGACGCAACACAGTCCTTTCGGATTCATGAGGGTTTCGATCAGACGGTCAACCTTAAGGTTGTTGAAAGTGTAGACATAGATGTTTTGTTTCAGGACAACCACAATGTGTTCTCTCGTTAGTTTCACGGCGATAACTTCTGATTTAAAAGCGAGCTCGCGGAGGCAGCAATATCTGTGATCGTCCCAAACGAAGACTTTGTTAGGAGGATACTCGGAATTGTTATAACCATTTCCAACAAGAGCAAAGAGGTTAGAAAGGAAGAGCATCTCAGCGACTTTGAAGCCTGATTCGTGGGGTTCACGGCTGATGCTTTTCTTGATCATTGGTTTGCAGCTATATACATTGAACCCGCGATTTGTTCCAACGATGAAACCACTCCATTCCTGGTTCCAAGCTACTGATAACACCTTCAAGTCACTCTTGGCTTCATCAGATGGCGAATTTGAAGTTTCAGATTTTGAAAGCGTGAATATTCCACGGACAGTGGAGACCATCGAATTCATTCTTTCTTTTTTCCAACCAGATTCACAGAAGAAACGAAGAGACAAGACTTTAGAATATCAAACGCTTCTCATGAAAAGTTGGGAAATCTTTGTTTATAGTTTGGTAATATTCACAAGGGTAAAAGATTCCTAAATAGAGTACGAATAGGAAGAGACTCCAAAGTCCAAAACATAACAAATCTTAAAATAATACTTCTATAAAAATTAAAAACCAAAAAAAAAACACGTCTTCATTAAGACATATTTTTGATAAATAAAGACACCAACCACTTACATTAAGTTATGTTTATTTATTAATTACTCCTATTTGTGAAAGGGTTTTCATTAAAACTAAATGGATACAATGTTTTGGCTCAAAAAAAAACAAAAACCCTAGGCCTTACAAATTAAAGAAATAAATTGAACCAAACCTACTTACGGCTGACTTGATGAAACGAAGGAGGAATGTGACTGATCCTTGAAATCAAACTAGTAGAATCTCAGACGCTTTTAGAGGCAAATTAAACAATGACTTATGAATGAGGCTTTGTTGCGAAAAGTTATATGGATCTTCTTATAGATTTTGGCTGTCGAGACTCGAGAGTCTGGCAAAATTAAGTTTGAATTCTAGAGTTCCTTTCTCTCCATACTTCATCAATAGTCGATTGCCAAGCAATGGTCCGTGTAATAAATGCATTAAGCAAGTCCTCAAGTTTCAGAAAAG